GAGAGAAATGGATTGTACTATGCACTAAAAATATACTATAAGGTATAATACTTTACTACGAAAAGTGACAGCGAGACGAGATTGTATTCAGTACACTAAATATAATGAATATACTACAATGAATTGCTACATGTATACAAGAATTACTGCATGTATAATATTTTTTCTATAATACGATTCGTACAATCTATTTCTTTCAGTGTAGTACTCCACCATTCACAGTAATTAGTATCTCTTTTAGGTGTTGGACACTTCAGATAATAATCAAGTTCAATCCCAATAGGACTTTTTTCATTGAATACAACTTTATTTATATCAGGTTTGTCTTTAGCAACCTCATTGTAACAATCCCAATACGATATATAAAATNACTTACTACAGTGAGAGAAATGGATTGTACTATGCACTAAAAATATACTATAAGGTATAATACTTTACTACGAAAAGTGACAGCGAGACGAGATTGTATTCAGTATACTAAATATAATGAATATAATACAATGAATTGCTACATGTATACAAGAAATACTGCATGTATAATATTTTTTCTATAATACGATTCGTACAATCTATTTCTTTCAGTGCAGTACTCCACCATTCACAGGAATTAGTATCTCTTTTAGGTGTTGGACACTTCAGATAATAATCAAGTTCAATCCCAATAGGACTTTTTTCATTGAATACAACTTTATTTATATCAGGTTTGTCTTTAGCAACCTCATTGTAACAATCCCAATACGATATATAAAATCTCTTGTTGCAGTTTCGTCTAGTTTTCTTCTCTTCGCTTATACTTCATCATCACATTCATTACTAACAGAACTGTCGCTGTTATCACTTTCGATTATTAATTAAAGTATCCTCTTTTTAATGCAAAAAGCCGTTTTGAAAAATCACTTTTAGTTCTTGAGAAATAAATTTTTGAAATAATCGACAATTTTTTCGAATTTTGCAATTTTCGCCGATTAAGTTTTAAAAATTCGTATAAAATCCATTTCTTGGAATATGAGTATAAAAATTTCCCAAAGTGTTAATAAAAGTGTCCTCTTTCCAATGAACCAACACGTTTTGAAAAATAACTTTTAGTTTTTGAGAAAACAATATTTGAAGTTGTGATAAAATTTTCGATATTGCAATTTTCATCGATAACTTTCAAAATTCGCTATAGAATTCATTTCTTGAAGGATCCTTGTGAAAATATCGCCAATTATTAACGAAAGTATCCTTTTTTATTATTATTTTAGTATTCCTTTTTTATAACCATAATGGCCGCATAACCGGATATCCGGCCGAAAGGCATGCCGAATATCCGGTATCCGGTTTTTCGCAAAAGCACTATCCCTTCCATCACTAATCGTCAAGTTCCTCTTTCCATTAAACCAACCCGTTTTGAAAAATCACTTTTAGTTTTTGAGAAAACAATATTTGAAGTTTTGATAAAGTTTTCCATGTTGCAATTTTCATCGATAATTTTCAAAATTCGCTATAAAATTAATTTCTTTAAGGATCCTTGTGGAAATATCACGAATTATTAATTAAGGTATCCTCTTTTTAATGCAACAAGCCGTTTTGATTAATCGCTTTTAGTTTTTGAGAAATAAATTTTTGAAATGATCGACAATTTTTTCGAATTTTGCAATTTACGCCGATTAAGGTTTAAAAATTTATATAAAATCCATTTCTTTGAATATGAGTATGAAAATTTCCCAAAGTGTTAATAAAAGTGTCCTCTTTCCATCCCGTTTTGAAAAATAACTTTTAGTTTTTGAGAAAACAATATTTGTTGTAATATATTTCGAAGTTGCAATTTTCAAAATTCGCTATAAAATTAATTTCTTGAAGGATCCTTGTGGAAATATCACCAATTATTAAATTTATTAATTTAAAGTATCCTCTTTTTAGAGTTGCTTCGTTGGTTAAATCAGCATCAAAAAAGTTCATTTTATATCTTGGATCCAAATAAGTTGACATATCTTATCAGCTTTCTTATTAATTTCATTTTGATTCAAATATCGCAATAATGTGGCAATGATAGACTTTTCGCAAAATCACTATTCCATCACTAGTATCGACCTACTAGTTAGTGATATATGAAGTTGCAATGGAAATGGCGTAGAATTGTTGAGGAGGCCAAAGCCCATCTACGGTTGTAGAGCCAAAAGAAGAAGAATTAAATAACCCTCAAGAACTCATTAATTTCAAATTAACCCATTTAAATGATTGTTAATGACAAGTTAATGACCTCTCCTTAAGTACAAATATCAGAAATTTTTAAAGAAAATTCAGTTTGCTTAGTTCTACCGTAAGTAACACTTGTTCTTATTTGTGTACTAATCAAAATGTTTTTCCAGATTTTCCCGAAGACGATTTACGCCAACCAAGTGCCGTTCTTTTTGGAGCTACCCCCGGAGTTAATTATGATTGTTTTAAGTTTCTTGGACCCAAAGTCTCTTTTGACTGCTGCCGGGACTTATCCGAAGGTGATGGAAATATGCCAAGGACACACGACGCTGCGAAAACGATTGAGAGCTGCTACAAAAGCTGAAAAGAAAGCAAGAATGAATTTTTTCTTAAATCCAAGTCGTGGATGTGTAATTACAAGAAATGGGCCGCTTGGAAATTGCACTACGAAAATTGAAGTTGCTAAAACAAATTTTGTGGATTTAGAGTTAGTTTGTAAGGTTAATAAAAATGTTAAAAGTAAATATAGGACTATGAATCATGTTTGTAAATCTCGAAATTTTAGATTATAAGTTTATTTTATGTTTATGAATTTGATGCTTTAATTCACAATAAAAATAATTTTTTTACTTATTTATTTTATTATTATTAACATAGCTCAACTAAAACTAACACTTCTTTAAGTCTCTTCAGACTTATTGAAGAAAACTCTAATACCTCCGTCATAGATCTTTAATGGGACTGCTCAATATAACCGGCAGTGTTAAGGCAGAATTTTGTACTAAAACAGGCATACCTTTTTGCGTGTACATTTACTCATTAGAAATGTGCACTGTAACATGCCAATATCTATCTGAACCAGGCGAATTTTCGTTTTCGATACAACGCGGGATGTGTAAACAATAATTTATTGAGATTCTAATACGTTGACAGCGCTCTCCGCATCCGGGTCTTCATGGAAGTGTTCCAAATATCGATCTTAGGATCATAGAGCGATGCAGCGATGGCAATACTACGCCACGAGTTTAATCACTTTAACCATCTACAAATCGAACAAAATGAGTTTGGTAAAGGTCTCGTACGCTCCAAACGATACGCGTTGTTTAATTAGTTTGACGTAGTCTTAATTGGTTAGTGTGGTGCTTCTCTTCAGAGTGAAGGCGAGTTATGAATCTTGAATTTCTTGTACTTTTAAAAGAACGTTTAAATCATGTTTAAAAATATAAGAAAAATTTAAAGTTTTATTTAGACATTTTATGAACTTAAAATAATCTATGAAACAGCAATTTAAAAGTCAGTTCTAAATTTTAAGCTAGTCCTAAATATACTAGAACTATACTATACATATACTCGAGCCGTGTATCGCTAAAGACGGCTGAACTCGAATGTTTCTACCTCTAGGTCGAGTAGTATTAGTCGAGGTTTTACCATAATTTTATTTTATATACAATATTAATTCAAATAAAGAGATATTGGATAAAGTTTTTCCCAAAACAAATAACGCTCATTAAACATTTTAGAAAAAGTACTTAAATTTAAGTTTATATCTAAATATTGTTGATTCTTTAAATCAAATTCGGGCCATTTATAGAAGTCGGTATTTGGATTGCCAGTTTTTACGAAATTACCCCAAATCGTCGTAAGATAATCAACAATTTTACTTTCAGGTTCTTCTGTGAACATGGGTGTTCTACGTGAAACGTAAAATAGATACAATAAATCATCGTGATGAGATGCACCTAGAAATTTAAACTATATTAGTTGGGTTCAAAATTGTGTCTAAATTTTTACCATAAAGACCTGTATTGTTGGTATTGGGCACATAGAAGAAGGAGTATTTTCCTTTATAACTAAATCTGTAATAATAAACTTTGCTGGAAAGGTATTGAGTTAAAAGTTTCGCTCCTCGGTTGCTACTAAAACCAGCTAAGCAATCGGCGTATATGTCAGCGATGTTTTGTCGATTAGACACAAGAATTTTTTGATTTGGAATGTAGAATTCGCGTAAACTCTCGCTAACGTTTGAAGAAAATTCGGTGTCTCTTTCGTAACTGAATACAATCGGCCAAATTCTTTTGTAATCTTCATCGAATTCTCGTAAAGCAGTTTTATTATTAACGATAACTAAAATCATTCGTTGTTTTATTTAGATTTAAACTAATACTAAAAAAAAATAATATTTACAATAAGATCTCCCACCAAATTCATCTTTCGTAACTCCAATTAAAAGAGGAACATCAGCAACTCTTTTATTAACAATTGATTTTATTGGGTGTTCCACCAAAAATCTTTCCTGCCCAAAATCTGGTTCAATAACCGCCCACCATAAACGAATAGGCTCATTAAGAAACTCTTTATACCCCAATATATTATTAGATAACTCCTCCGAAGTTTTTGTTTTCAAACATTCCACAAGATCATTAATTACATCTTCAGGACAATTCACTAGTTGAGCTTGTTTTCTCGCCAATCTCAATAGATCCGAGGCAAGTGGTTGCGCCCCAAAACCAGAAGAACTCATTGCGATTGCTTTATGAAATAATCCTTTAGACATCGGAGAAACCATGTGAAAGGTTACGCTGGCTCCTCCAGCACTATAACCACTTATGGTTACATCTTTGGGATTTCCTGAAAAAGAAGCTATGTTTTGCTGGACCCAACGAAGAACTTGAACTTGATCTTTAAATCCGTTATTCCCTGGGGCTTCTTTAGTACCAGTGGCTAAAAAGCCGAGGGTTTGAAGGCGATAATTTGAAACGACCAAAACTATGTCTTGATCGAGGAGATAATGAGGACCATAAAATTCACTTGTCGCGCTTCCTTCGTAAAACCCACCGGAATGAAAGAAAACCATAACAGACTTGTTTTTATTATGACTTTGAGTTGGTATCTAAAAAAAATTTCTTTTTATAATATATCGAAATTTAATTAATTCAACTTACATGACGAGTGTAAACATTAAGAAATAAACAATCCTCTTGGGTCGCATTTACGAAAGATTGCGGACAACGAGGTGGATTTTTAGTGGCATCGTAAACATTTTTCCACGGTTTCGCAGGAACCGGAGGCTAATTAATAATAATTAATTTAAATACATTTTTTGGTAATTTTATTACCTGGAATCGTAAATTTCCAATTGGTGCTTCAGCATATCGAATTCCAAGAAATGAAAAAATCTTTGCGCCTTTTCTACTGATTAGGGTCGTTCCTTGAAGTTGTCCCAAAGGAGTAGATACAATTAAATTTGTCTCTGATTTGAGATTACCATATACTGTTATAAATAAATAGAAAGGAATTAGAACAGTTATAAATCGCGACATTGCGAGAATCAACTGAATACATTTTTGTTATTGTTGGTGTTTATATCTTAGTGGCCTGGAAATTCCTATGACGTAAGTCCAATGAAATCAACCGTTTTTTATATAGTAAATGTAACAAGCACTGGAATTGCTTCTTTAAATATTTCCTTATAAGTTGAGTTGTTTATTGGCGTCGTATTTATTGGAATTTAGGTTTTGTGTTACTTTAATTAAACAAAGAATGACAAGCGTGATTGCCGTAATAACACTGCTTAACGTGGCGTATAAGATATTTTCAAGCTTCATCTATAATAAGAATGAGCAAGTATGCGGAGGAAATCTTGGGGGATTACGAATATGACTTTGATGCCAACTGCTTGTTCATTTCAAACAGAGTTTCGACTCGGTGGACAGGCAACAGCTCTTTTAGAACCTATTGCTGCTGAGTATCCCACAGAAATTGGTTAGTTTTGAACAATTAACATTGAAGGAAACCAAGGTGGTGGTAGCAGGAAATATGACAGATATGTTTGAAATCAGATGCGGAGTCAGACAGGGAGATGCCTAGAGGAAGACTTCGTAAAAGATGGCTGGACGACATGAAGGATGATTTGGAGTAGACTGCAATGGCATAAAAATTGTTGCGAAGACCAAAACCCACCAAGGGTTGAAGAGCCAAAGGAAGAAGGATTAACCAACTCTTAAAAACTCATTAATTTCCAATTAACATATTTAAACGATTTTTAATGACAAGTTAATGCCGTCTCCTTAGCTACAAATACCAACAATTTTTAAAGAAAATTCAGTCTGCTTAGTTCTGCCGTAAGTAACAGTTGTTCTTATTTGTGTACTAATCAAAATGTTTTTCCAGATTTTCCCAAAGACGATTTACGCCAACCAAGTGCCGTTCTTTTTGGAGCTCCCCCCAGAGTTAATTATGATTGTTTTATCTTTTTTGGATCCTAAATCCCTTTTGACTGCTGCCGGGACTTATCCCAAGGTGATGGAAATATGCCAAGGACACACGACGCTGCGAAAACGATTGAGAGCTGCTACAAAAGCTGAAAAGAAAGCAAGAATAAATTTTTTCTTAAATCCAAGTCGTGGATGTGTAATTAGAAGAAATGGACCGCTTGGAAATTGCACTACGAAAATTGAAGTTGCTAAAACTAATTTTGTGGGTTTGGATTTAGTTTGTAAGGTTAATGAAAATGTTAAAAGTAAATATAGGACTATGAATCATGTTTGTACATCTCGAAATTTTAGATTATAAGTTTATTTTTTTTAAACATAAAATTATGTTTATGAATTTGATTCACAATAAAAATAATTTCTTAACTTATTTATTCTATTATTATTAACATAGCTCAACTAAAACTAGAACTAACACTAAGAACACTCTTCAGACTCATTGAAGAAAACTCGAATACCCCACCGTCATGGAGATCTTTAATAGGACTACAATATCGCAGGCAGTGTCAAGGCTGAAGTTACTATTGTATTGGTGGTTATAAAAATCTGTATCACATGAGAATAATAATAATGGAAATCATTATTGGTTATTCGCGTTTCAAGCCTCAATAAAGTTTTTAGTAACTCATTAAACTTGAGATCTTTGGTAATGTTTTAAACCATAAGTTTTCTTTCTGCTGGGTTTTCTTCTGTCGTTCAATGGCTCCGTGCATGAAGTTAACTTCCATGTACGAGTGGTCCTGTTTCAAAAATGTATGTTCAATTACGTCTAATTCAGTTTACTAGTAATAGTCAGGTTTATATTCTGATCTGATTTATTTCATTCCTTCAAACTATTTGCATAAGCAATAATTTTTCAACTACCTCGTTTTAATTTTAATTAACTCCAAGCTTTGGAGTAACAATATGCATGGTCACAGAGTGTCATAAATCGTTAAATTAAACTTTTCTGAGAAACACGTGAGAAGAGCGTATTGGCAAAACTGACTGGAAGTCGAATGTTACATAAAAGATCCATTTCCTTAGAATTTTCTGCAAAAAAAAGGAAGCTTATTGTTTGTACCAAAAACTTAGGCTTGAGTCTAAGTACAGTCCATTAATCGACTTTTCAATGTAATGGCTTTTCATTGTAAATGTGATCCCTAACTATTGGAAAATCAATCAACTAACTCCAGGTTTTGGCGTGACGATACGCTTTGTATGGTTACAGAGTTTCATAAATTGTTTACTTTTCTGGAAAACACATCAGAAGATTGGCAAAATCTTTTCTTTAACATTCGACTTAACATTCTGACTGAAAAAGATCGATTTCCTAAAAATTTTCTTGTTGTTAACCTAACTCAACTTTTCTTTGTAAAAAAAATGTTAACAATACAAACGACTAAACATCACAACGTGTGGTATCTCTCCCGTTTGTAATGACATAGATAATAAACGTAGCGTAAAAAAGGGATACTTCCCATGGATCTCTATATTTCTTCTACCTTTGGACTGGTGGTAGTTTCCTGGGGCGATTTCGAGAAGAGAGATCGGGAGTTAATTTACCAGATAGCGATCAAAGGGAGCTACGGTCCGTGTTGGCGGTCGTAAGTGGTCCACGGGGGGCGCGCTCCGGAGGCTTTGTCGTTGGCGGAGGGAGCCCCCCGCGTTCATGCTACCGGTCTCGACTGAGATTATTAGTTCCTAAACGTCGACAACACACTATGTTCGCTCCATCTACCGTGTGCACACCTCTTTATAACACGTTTTTACCGCTGTGTCGGATCAAATACCGTGTAGAAAAAATAGAGCTTTACGTCAAGTATCTAAGCCCTCCATCAATAAAAACTGGATCCATGTATTTTTAATTGTTGTGTCGAAATCATGTAGACTAGTCACTTTATTGTCGTTTTAAATTATTTCTACATCGGTGATAAATCCGTTGGTTATTGCAAAGGTTAGAATTGATAGTTAAAATTTAACAAAAGAAATTTTTTAGATGGTTAATTATTAAGACATATCAAACTAAATTCTGTACTAAATAAATTTCATAGTTCCAAGGCAAAAAAAAAATACCAAAGATGCCGGAAAACTCTATGCCCCAAACAACTTCTTATTTTCACACTGAAAACGGGCATCTGTCGTGTACTTAGTACGATATAACGTGGAAACGAGACATTGCAAAGAGACGAAGATGTCGTTGTGAGGATGTTAAAGCACAGTGGGGATACTGGGGATTTCGAAGGGAGGTTTTGTTGTAGGTGGATTGTCAGGGGGATGCCGCTCGATACCGAACGCCGCGTATAAATCTTATTACTGCGAAGAACGAGGCGGAGTCAACATCGGTTTGTCAGTATCCGACGCGTCCTCCGCTAAATTAAATATTGCGGCGCGCCGACGGAGCTTGCGTCGGCGTCGCGACGCGCTCTCTCCGTATTGATCTATCCGTTTCCGCACTCTGCACCCCCATTTTTATTTGTATTTTTTATTTTCAGCGCTTTGGTGTTCTCTTCGTTTTGTTTGAACTCGTTTTACCCGATGTATATTCAAAAGTATTCGTAATAATAGGTTTAAAATAATAAGCTCGGGATGAACTTTCATAACAGTGAAAACATGTTATCATTTTTATTGTTTTCATTATATACTTGAATATATCCTAAAAAAAGTTCTAAAAATTCTCATCCAGAAATGAGAATTGTTCATCCACTCATCAAAATCATGCTCTATGAAAGACTCGTTCGGTTTGATAACATCTTCTCCAGTTCTGCAATTTAGCTTCTAAGTCCCATTCAGCTTCTACTTCATTGTTATTTAATGATGACCACAACTTCATCTTTGATGATTATGCTCTCAAATACATTATGTCAAGATTGCTTCTTTTAAGTTTATGTCTTTTACCGTTTTAGTAACATCATCTTCTCAAAAAGCTTTATTCACAAAGATTTTTTCTGTAAGTAGTTTTTATCATTTAGATCACATTTTAATCCATAGGTTGAAGCAGCAGTGGACTCTTAAAGCTAAATTGTGGTTTAGACCATATGCATGTGTTATAAAATAGGAAGAGCTTTCGAAACCCTTCTACGAGTACGTCTTTGGTTATCAATGCTTTGTATGGGATTTTTTAGTATTAGTACAATAGCAACTCTATCTTTGGGCGTGTTTCTGCTTCCTTTCGTAGTTCTCTGGAAATATATAATTTGTTTCATGAAAAACGCAGTTTTTTCTTGAATTGTTAATTGCATAAGCATGCCGAATTAGAGAGCTTGTACTTACCTCCATAAAGCAACACAAATCATCTGCTCTTTTGCAATGCAAATCATCAATGTAAAAAAACAAGCTTTATAATATTCCACATATTTGTAAAGGTTTGACATATAAAAGAAGAGTCTATTAATTTTGCTGAGGTTTTTCTAAGAATATAGCCAAAAAATTCTGCCAACACACATGGCAATACTATTTTTTTCAAACAATAATTGACAAAGAAGGAACGAAAAAGGGGCAATATAAACAAACAAATAAAATAGCGTCAGTGCCTATTTCATTTTTTCTTCTCGTAAAAGCTCTTGATATAATTTATTCTCCATTTTCGGATTCTAATTGTCTTGGTAATGACCAAGACTTTTTTACTGCTCATTGCCACCACCCAAATTCGCTACCTTGGGAATATCGAAGTTTTAAAGTAAATTCATCACAATTATCGTTAGTTAAAGGTTTCTAAAAGGAAAAATTAAATTCTGTCTAAACAGTTTCTATAAACACAACGTTTGGCTTTTTAATGGCCTTGTTTAAATATTGCTATTTATGGTTTTAACAGTTTTTCGCAATATGGGAAGGATTAAATGCGTGCTCTAACTCAAAACATGTCGTTCTCTCACATTTGATGAAACAACCCCACCACTAGTCTGCTCTCTCCAATACAGTTTTTTTAGAAAATCTGTTAGTATAAAATTGAAATGGTTTCAGTACATACTTTTTGCAGAGTGATTTGCCTTGGGTTTTTCTTGACCTATTTTTCAAAATTCTATTTTCACCAGTGTAACTTGAACTCTTTGATTTTGTTCCTGTCTTCTACGTGCTTTACTTCTTATGGCTCAACATTTCGCAAAATACTAAAACATGTTCTACATTCTAGGTGCAAAAAGAATCGTGCTGATAAAATACTGCTGAAACAAATTTTGTAGTTATGGTTTAATGGATTTACAATTTTCAGAAGTCTTTATCAACACTATCAAGTAAAGCTGATCGAGGAAGTTAAGATATTATTTCTACCCTAACATGGGCAAAAGCGACACAAAATAAAAATATCTCGATCATCTGCTATTGGACTATGACAAAATGGCCACAAATTAATTAAATAAAACACAAATTTTTGTTAATTCATACTAGCATTAAAAATAAAAAAGTTACGCCCCTCTATATATATATATATATATACAGAAAATTAGATAAAAAGGCAAAAATGTTACCTGTCCTGCTTTCAATTCTCCTTTCTTTTGTGTTATTTGACAATGGAATTGTTTAATTTCTTTAATAGCGTTATCGCCTAGCATTAATGACAAATGCTTAAATGTTACTGCTGGTAAGATGAGTTCTTCACCAATCGTTTTTGGTTTACTTTTTTAAGCTATGAGTTAAAATTCCTTTCTTTAAACTGCCTTATTGCGGCTGATTTGTTTGATGTTAATATAGCAATGTGGGAAACACTTCTTTGAATAATTTACAATTATTTGTTCTCCCTTCCTAAAAAAATCCAGGTGTTTTTGCAGAAACTGGCTACGTCATTTCAAAAAGGTTCCTTAATTTAGTTAGTTTTATAGCATCATTTTCCAATACTTAGCTACAAATAACACACTGCGGTGGAATTTCGTTAGACTCCAAAGACAAAAACTGCTGCTATTATTTTACATTTTGATCTTGAAGGTGTCGAAACATGTTCAACAGTGTCTTCACTTTCATGACTATTTGCATCACTTAGGCCCACTTTTACCACCTCTTGATAAATTTATCCGATTGATAAATTGGCGCTCTTAGCCAATGAGAGTGCTTAAAACCGCTGTAACCATGGTAATTATCTATCAGTTAAATTTATCAAGAGGTGGTAAAAGTGGGCCTTAAAGAGATATTCCTACTTGCATCTTAATTCTCTATTTTTAGTAATTGCAGAATTAACCAAAGATTCCTGGCTCTATAGTACTAAATAGTTTTAATTAGCCGAACTACCCAACAGTTCAGTTTCTTGGGTTGTCAACTGACAATATTACTTAGAGAGGTTGCTTTTTGAGAATATCAGCTACAAAGTTTCATTTTAATCGTTAGGAATAATATGTAATAAATCAAATATTGCTATATAAAAATCAATATTGAATTTGGCCACTTCATTATTCTTTAAATAATTATAAAAACAAAGCAGTCGCTATCAAATAAAAAATAAATAAAAAAAGCGTCAAAGATCACCCCATTAACTAAAAACGTTATATACTACTTCTTTCTGTTAAGTAATGTTAAGCATACATAGTTTAACATTTCTCCCTGGCAACCAATTTAATTTCTCCTAAAGAATGTCCTTTCGCATAACGCTGTATTAAAAAATCTGAAACAACGTTATAGGCTTTATTTGCAACATGGAGACATCTTACCGCATTCCTGCTTTGTAACCAGATCTCTACTACTATTTGATACTTTGAATTAGCAAATGCTTAATTTATTCCATTCGTGTTTTGTAATGTTGTTAGTTTAAGACATGATCAAGTTTAACGTTGAATAACAATTAAAACTAAAACTAAAATTAGCATTAGTATTAATACAAGACCTAGAAGTACAAAAATTCGGGTTTAGCCGTCTTAAGAGACCTATGGCTAAACCCGAATGTTTGTGGTTCTAATGTTAGTTCTAGTTTTAGTTCAATAAAAATGTGCAACATTCTAGCGCTAAATAACAATTAAAACTAGAACTAACACTAGACCTAGATCTAGAAACTTTCGGGTTTAGCCGTGCGTCTGAAGATGCAGCTTTAGTTTAGTTTTAGTTCAATGTAAAATATACAACAACCAAACAGTGAATAACAACTAAAAGTAAAGCTAACACTAGCACTAGAACTAACACTAATCGATAGAAACAACAAAACTAGCTAATAATATACAAAATAGTCACATTTAATAGAAAGTGTTAGAAAATTGTTGATAAAATAATCTTTAAAAAGAAATTCAGAGTTATCATAAATAATTCGCCCAACAAAATAAATAATTTCATTCCAATGTCTTTATGGATAAATCGCAGAAATAAAATAACAATAATAATAATACAGCCGCTTTGAAGCGGGATTGCTTCCCCGTAGGGGGAGGTTTTGAAATGCGAAACAGAGGGGTGAAATTTCATCCCTGGCGCCGCCGCCATTCGTGCACTTGTCGTCCTGGTAACGCTCATCACTGGGGCGGAGCATTCGATCGAATTACTAAAAGGGGGAACGGGACGGCATCCCCCGACGGTCTCCTCTTGTGTTCCTCCCCATCCCCGTTGCGCGTTGGTAAATAAAGACTTCGCTCTCCACCAAATCTAATAAATCCACCGTTTTGGATCGAACCCGGACGACACGAGATACGAAATTTCTACACATTATTTGTTAGGGGGAACCTCCAACTCAAATTTCCTCCTTTGTCTCTTCACTTTAAAACTTAAAACTTTTTAAAACTGAAATATGTTATAAAAGTTTCAAATTTGTTCTACACAGACATTCGTAATATTTTTAATTTTAGACTAGTTTTTTCATTAAGTTTTACTTAGGATTATTTTTTAATCTCTTCTTTTTTAAGGGGGTGTTTAAAATATATGAATTTCATTAGCGTTTATGTGCCATATGTGTTGGTTGGGGGTGAGTAAAATAGCAGCAATCTTTGACCACCCGGAGATAACTAAGCGTCCCTGAAATGCGGTTAATCCGGAAAACGAATTCGTTTCAACACCAGCCTTCGTTATTTGCGTGCCGGATTATACCCCGATTTTAGGGGCTTACCTCTCAGCTATAGAAACCCAAAGCTCGATTCGAATGTTTACCCGGTTTAATGTAGCAAAATTTTATTTACTATTTTTCACCCCCGAACTCAATAGGTATTAATATCATTCAAAGGGGACACTTTGTCAAAACATCTGGACTAGATTAGTTAACTCCTAAAACATACCATTTTTATTAATTTTTTTTTGTAAATATAAAAACGATATCAATCTGTTTTTTAATTAATGAATTAAGTTTAGTTAGGAAAATGATTATAAAGTTAATATTTTGGAATGTATTTGATGAAATAGATTGACTTGTCATTGGATCATACGCCAACGAGCTCCGTAATGCAAATAACGCATCACAAAGGCCTTATATTGCCACCGCAGGCTTCGGTCCTTTGTCGGGATTATATTGCGCCCTTTGTCTCAGGCTCGTGCTCTCGAACAAATATAGTTGAACGGCGGCTATAGACGACGGATTCATTTTCATTTTTAGTTTGGTACGAAGCTGAAACGCCAGAATCGAACTCTCTGTGAGTAAATACTATCTCTGAAATGTCCACATTCTTTGTCTTTATTTGATGTAAACTATGTACCATTCAAGCACTTTATTATTTTTAACTATATATGAAATAATTCTCTTTTATTTAATGTTAGGATGAAAATAAAAATGAAGCAAAATTAATTAACACGTTTATGAACACGTCTTGGATAGAGATCGCTTCAACATAATGCACCTATAATAATAAACATACCAACGATTTAACCATTTACTAACTTTTTTGTGCGGAAGCCATAGAGGCTTATTCTAGCTGCATTTTATATATACTTAATGAGGGCGACCAAGCTATCTTTCCATCTTTTTTAAGATCGTCCTGGATGCTAATCTGCAATCTTTGATAATGCTTAGCAGGCTATTCCTTTCCGTTCATGAATCGTGCTAATTGCAAAGTCTCCTGAATGCACACATCCACATCTTCCACCTCGCATTACTCCCGAATTTCCTTCTTCTCTGATCCCATAATGTGTTTCCAGTGATTACTGCCAAAATCACCATCTCGTTCGCACCATCCTTTTGGTTTCCGCTAAGTCTGCCCGCACCTCCGTAGTATACGTTATTATTGGCCTTACGCAGGCTTTGCATATCCTCCTAAACTTTGTTTGTTATTTCTCCAAATGGTCGTTTTTAGTGCTAACTTGTTAACCAGTTTTCTTACGTTGTTTTTAAGTTCTCCATGAAACAATATCCTTACGCCCAAGTAAGTATAATCTGATAACAATTTAATTGGTAACATTTATCTACATGTTGACTTTTTCTACCGGTATTCTAAAAGCCTGCAGCAACCAATACAACCCATCCTTTCAATATTACTTTGTCCGCTTGTCATATAACCTCGTCCAGTAAGATGTTGAAGATTTATTTTTTCCAACCCACCGGAAGTAGACCACAATATCTTTATACAAAAATAAGTTGATTTTATAAGGTTTATTGATACCCAGAGGCAGACATTTTTCCATTTGCAGATGATACTAAGGATAGTGTTCCATCTGAAGGGAAGTTATGCGGCAGTGGGAACCAGAACTGATATGGCGCTTCGAATACTGTAGGTACTGGTACTGCAAATGATGGAGAATTGGACTAAATATACAGAAGAGGGATGTACTACTAGGCTTCAACAGCAAACGCACGAACAAAAGCTTCCAGAATATTTCGAAGATGTTAGTGGTAAAGAAAGTCACAACCTAGCAGTAAAGAAAACAAGCTATCAAGCGGCTGAGCATTGTGAAAAGAACGACGAATAAAATGTTGTTCGTCATAAGAGGACAGCCGACATCAGGGTTGATCCAATTTCTCCTTAGTTCTGCTCAGACTCTTTATTGTATTACTACTGCACAGACTCTTTCTGCTATTTCCAGTCTCTTTCTTCCATTACAGGCTTTTTTCCAGTCTCCTTCCTCTCTGCCCAGTTCCTTTTTTGTGTTTTCTGTCTCGGTTCAGTCTATTCTAGTATCAGTCTCTATCAAGAATTCATGCTCTCGTTTTGCCCGTTTCTACTCCTTCTTGTTTTTCCAGCCTCGGTCCAGACTTATTTTTTCTCTGTCTCTGTTGTCTCTTTTTGTGTTTCGTATAGGTCATGGTCCATTTCTTTGGAGGATTACCGTTGATGGTCCTTGTGCCCAGGACTTCCACTGCGACTTGATTAATGTCGTTTTTAAGACTTTCCAAGCATTATTTACTGTGTTTTGAAAAGTTGATTGAAAAAGACTGTTACGTTCATATGGATAATGCTTCCTTTAAAAATCTTCATCCATTCATCATAAAAATTGAAGTTTTTGATTCGGAAGGACATGAATTCACTGACAAAGACAATTCATAATAAATCTTTTGGGCTCTTTATTTGCCATTTATTTACCTAGAAAAGCTCCGATTTTCAACACAACTTGGTGAAACATAGGTGAACGGATATATTTTAACCAGAATTTCGAGCGGACTATTTTCAAAAACGATTTCAATACGTTCAAGCATTTTTCATTAACGCAAACAATCTAGTTTAACTGTGCCAACATTTTTTTATACTCTGTGTTTGGTAAATTGCAGAATTCTTTTAGAGTATCAATATGAACACTATAAATGTAAAACAATAATAAATTTAAACAATATTGAGCTCCACGATGTGTCTATAATTTTGTGTAAACATTGTTAACGCATTTTCTATTTTTCTATTCGATATCTTTAAGCATTGACAAGCTAAATGCAGCACCTAATAACATTTTCTTTTAATCACGGCGGTTTTTGGCCCAAAATCTATATTCTGTTGGTTATACATATCTCCTCTCTGCTAGATAATGTCATCATCATGATGGGAAACAAATTGAAGATGTGGTTGTCCTTAATTGTACAAATAGAATATGAAAATCTCTTTCCAAATTCTCCTTCTTTAGTACAGCCTCATATTAATTGATTACATCAGAAATAACAAGAATATCTTCATGTAAACGTTATTGTAATAGTGTAATTAATAATTGTTAAAAAAATGTTAAGAAAATCAAATGTTAATAGGTTAACAATAATCAGGAATGATATGTCTCGCCATCTATGATTGAATAGCTGCACCTCAAAGACGGAAACTATCTTAAACGTATGAAGAAGTATTGTTTTAACCAAATTGAAATCTGAATATAAATTGGGAATAAACCTAAACTAAACATAGAATATTGTCTTTATCAAAAATATATTATTCAAGTTGTTGTATATTTTCAGGTATTTTATCCTTAATCATTAGATTTTTTGATGTTGTCTCAGTGATGCATTTCATATATCCGAACCAATAAATAACTAATCCAGGTCCAAATCTAAAAATAAACTATTTAAAATAATACTCAATTAATAATTTCAGAATTAGATTAACCTATTCCAATAACTAGAATACTGGTTTTTTATATACTCAGTATGAGATTCAACATCTCCAAAAACCGCTTTACTTTCAATCCAATGAATCACCAAACCATCAATCATTATTGGAATGTCCAATTTAAAATCGGGTGTTTTATCATAGCCCAGTTTTCTCAACCACTCTTCGTCACGAAAAGCTAAACCAAGCTCCCTTAATTTTCTGTTAATTACTATTTCGTATTGTTGACCTACAGAACTAAGTTTTATGTTATTATTAATAAAAAATCTATTTTAATTGAATTAAAAACGTACGTTCTCATTACTTCGACTATATGACTGTACTGATCATCATATAAGGTACACTAAAAAAATGGGGGTTACATTTATTTTAATTTTTTCTTTCTTTAAGCTAAGTTACTCACAAGAAATATTTCATATGCAAGGACTTTATCATCAATTAAAGAGGTATCCCTAAGATACTGACTAACATTAGTTTGTAAAACAGATTCATCATTAAGTACATCTTCATATTTTTTTAATAAAATTAATTTAGCCGCTAAACAAGGTGCAATTTTATTTTCAAGGGATAATCTTATAATAACACCAGAATCTTCTCCATTTGTTATCGCTTTTTCATACAAATCATACATTTTGTTAATTGATGAGGGTGATTTCTCAAAACGGTGCTTCATATGTCGTTGATATTCCAAGGATAAAATGCTGTATAAAGTTTCTTTTTGGATTCTAAGGATAAATTAATTTTTTCATTAGCAGATAAACATTTTTGTATAAACTTACTTTGGAAATTTTTCTGTGAGAACCATAAGGCAATTTCTTGTTAACCCATGAAAACCTTTTATGGTTTTCATTATTTCACCATATTCCTCAGTTTCCATAACGATTTTATTTAAAAATTAATTAATTATATAAATTAACAAGTTATGTGGAGATCATAACAATGTGACAGTTGACACGGTTGACAGTTCTATTGTTGTGTATATAGTGTATTTAATTTACAATGAAACTTATTACTTTTTTTAAAAAAAACACAAAATTAAACAATTAATTCGTTTTGCTTTTTATATATTTGTTGTGTTTAACGTTAAAAGGAATAATAACAAGAATTTATAAACAATAACTTATTAAAATTATTTTTATATCTCAACATTATGATTTGACTCCATTTATTTTGAGTTCACTGTATTTGATTTGACGTTTAAATACCACGAGAATTGTTGAGGTTATGTGTTAACTTTAAATCTAATACAACAATTTTATTGAAAATAAAAGGTTTATTGAGACAAAATAGGCAATAATGAGTTCTTCAGACGAAAGTGATTATGGAGAAAGTATGTTGGAGATGATGGAAAGTGAAGATTTGGAGTTTTTAAAAAATGCCGTTCAAAATAAATCTTACAGTGTTTTAAATAAAGTAAAATGCCTTAGGTATGGTTTAAAAAAGATTAATATAATAAAATTATTGTTTAATTAATTGCTTTAGGAAAAAAACTAAGAAAAACAAGAAAGAATCTTTAGATTTGGAAGATAAATATGAGATAGAAAATGATAATGATGAACCTAAAACTAAAATTTTATTACCAATAAAAAGTAAGAAAGGGATAATATTAAGAACTATTGAGTGTTCAGATGAAGAAGAGAGAGATGATACTGATAATCAAGAAAATGGGGATAAAGAGAATAAAAGTGACGATTTTAATGAGGATATGGATAATTACGAGTTTGAAACTGATGAAATTTCAAAAGAAATCAACAATCCCATTGATGTTTTAGCAAAATATAATGAATCATTAAGAAATAAAAAGGTTCATATTGGTTATATGTGTTCTGGTTTATTAGAAAATCCTGAAGATAAAATAGGAAACTTTAGAGTTTTATTTAAAATGTTAGAGGAAGAAAGTAATGATGCTAAATTGGCAATTAAAAAGTTAATATTTGTGTCTTTATTGGAGGTGTTCAAGGATATTTTACCTTCATATCAAATTCAACAGCAAGAAATCACGAAAGATGTCAAATGTAATGTTAAATATTAAAAGATGTAATTTAATAATAATTGTTTTAATAATTTTTTAGTAAAGAAGGATACTTTAAAGTTACACAAAATGGAAACGACACTTTTGCAATATTACAAAAAATATTTGCAATTATTAGAGAAATATTCTAAGATTTTAATAGTTAAAGGAAAGAATCAGAAAAATGAGGTAATTTTTGCTTAAAAATTGTTTATAAATTATTTTTTTTATTTTATTATAGGAAGATATTAAAATAGGCGAAGTTTGTATCAATGCTTTGTGTGAATTATTAATTACACATCCTTATTTTAATTATTCCTCAAATATTGCTCAAACAACAATTCCTTTTTTAAATTGTAACAATATTAACGCAAGAGAAGCTGTTGGAAACGCTTATAGAACCACTTTTAAACAAGATAAAAAAGATGAATTAACTCTAAAGATTGTAAGGGGAATAAATGCTTTCATAAAAAATAAAGCTCATAATATCAGACCGGATATGTTAGAAGTTCTTTTACATTTAAGAATAAAAAATGCGAATTTGGATCAAGAGAAAGAAATTGATATGAAAGAAAAGAAATTGTCTTCTCATAAACAAAATGTGCTAAGATTATCGAAAAAGGAACGAAAAGTATGTTTTTTACTTTTATAGTTAATAAATTAATTTTAAATATATATTTTAGAGAAAGAAACGTCTGCAAGAACTTGAAAAAGAAATGTTGGAGGTAAAAGCACAAGAAAATAAACAAAATAAAACCAAAAATATTACAGAAATTGTCAAAGTTGTTTTTGGAATTTATTTTAGAATTTTAAAATGTTCTGAAAATAATAAAATTCTTGGAATGTGTTTGGAAGGATTAGCTAAGTAATAATACATATACAGTAAAACCTTAATATAATGGCCTTAATATTTCTAAATAAAAAAGGACGGAAGTTTTAGTTTTAATTGTTATTCAGCCCTAGATTATTGTACATTTTTATTGAACTAAAAGTAGAGCTCAAACAAACAGCATTACAAAACACTAATAAAATAAATTAAGCATTTGCTAATTTAAATTGAGAAATAATAATTACCCATGCGTGACGTCACGAACGGGTCTTCAAGCTTCTTGGGACTTATCAGTCCTGTTGCATTCTAACGTCCTTGGTATAAATATAAAGCCACGTAGACTATACGCAATTATGTGGATAGCTGTTTGAATTTGTGTACATTAAAATTATTCATATAATGGATTTTTGTTATAACATATACTCCCTTCTCCGTATTAATCCGTTATATCGAGATTTTACTGTATTTATTAAAAAAATGTACTCATATCTTAATATTGTTATTGTTTTAGATTTTCTCATTGTATAAATTTGGAATATTACATGGATTTATTAAACATCTTAGATTCTCTTCTAAAAGAAGATTGGTTGACTTACAGAGATCGATTAAATTGCGTTCAAACCGTTTTCACGATCCTTTCAAATCAAGATGATATCATCAACATCGATCCAAGTCGGTTTTACATTTCCCTTTATAAAAGCATTTTGAACGTACACGCATCTAAAACGCACAATGATACTGAAATACTTTTGAAAACTACAGCGGAGGCGATCATAAAACGAAGAAAACGCATTACAAACAAACAATTGATTGGGTTTTTAAAAAGGCTTTGTACTCTTAGTTTACAGTTGTTGCATAATGGTACATTGGGGTCGTTAGGAATTGTTAAACAAGCGCTTCAGTTAAATAGATTTACTGATGTTTTATTGGATGTTGACCAAACTGTTGGGGATGGCGATTATCAACCATTTTTAGAAGATCCTGAGTATTGTAATGCTTCTAGTACAGCTCTTTATGAAATGACTTTGTTAAGGAATCATTATCATCCTATTGTTGGGAAATTTGCAAAACATATTTCAAGTGGTAGTCCAGCTACAGGTGAAGGAAGTTTACCACCAGAATATGGAAAAATGTTAGTTAAAAATATTAAATAAATTAGAATTATAATAAGTCTTATTTTTATTTCTAGGAATCAAGAACATTTATTTGAGAATTTTGACATGAATGAAATGGCGTTTAATCCAAGTATTCCTATTCCAAAGAAGGGCACATCAAAATTAAAAAGGAAAAGAGAAATGTTTGTTGATGAAGATTTTGAAGATTATTGTAGAAAAGTTGCTAAAATGGCACGTGGGTGTATATTTTTAAAATGAAAATAAACAAATTCTTTAAACATAAATGAGTTTATTTACAATGATATAATATTTACAAATTTTAATTAATTTAGCTAAAAGTATCTTAAGTTAATTAACAATAAGAATTATATAAAAAAAACTTACCTGAGGATGATCAAAAAAATTAACCATTTCTGTAACAATCTTTAAATATCTGTTTACAAATTGAAATGGGAAATATTTAAAATAACCGGTTTAAATAAATAAATTTAAAATATTGATAAAAACAATTTTAAGAAATTTATTTTACTTTAATCAAAGTGATTTTTGAAATAAATACTCACTCAATTGATCAAATTCCCATTTAAAAAACACAAAATACCATAAAGAATACCATAGCCATAACACACCACAAATGCCATATTATTATTATTTTTTTTTGACCAATCACCTTTATTTTTAATATTTTTCTCGCTGAAACAGACATTTTTTCATTTATAGCATAACATTTTTTTAACTCTTCGATTATTCTGAATTAAAGCGATTCATTTTTATTATGAAATATTACAAGTTTTCGAAGTTTTTTTGAAGCTGTTGCAATAGGAAATTTTATTAATATTATTTCTTGTATAACTTTCCTATCACAACATTATTATTCTTTTTGTTTTAAGAAATGAAGATAAAGTCAGACGAGAACAATTTGAGTGTATTTTTTGTTGGTGTTCAAACGTACAGTTTGTATCATACCCATTGCGTACCGGAAATGTGGCCACGCTCGGCATCTCATCTACCCAAATGAACCGCAGTCAACCGTGTCTCTGGTTGATTGGTCGGGATTGATCAACGAACGGACGGGAAGTCCAACTGTGACACACACACAAGAGGCTAAGTTAGACTGCTCAATAATATTTTATATACAAAATCGACAACTCAAATTCATAAAAGAATAATAAGGATAGATATAACAAATCGAAATAGAGATATTCACAATACCTATTAATTTTTGGAATTTACCAGAGATAATAAACAATACGTAATTAATAATTTAAGAATTAATTCATCACTATTTTTTTTAATAATTAATATAAGATTAATTACTTCGAACTTACCTTACCTTACCGTCTCCGCTTTAACTATTTACTTGGCGGTAGGGGTTCGGTAACGTTTCTCTTATCTGTAATAATCCATATTGATGAGTGTTAGCAATAAAGTCTAAAAACGTAACCTCATTCCTAAATAAATCATTTCAAAATGGTCCTCGCTTTAGATGATAATAATAAATTTCATGAGGGGCATAGAAGATGAAATATAAAGTTGTGTAAATGAAAAGCAACAAGTGATGTACAAACAGTTGAGAATTAAAAATCATCGAATATAGCGTATCAAAAACACATCAACTATTTTCTATATTTAAAAAAAGAAAAAAAGTAATAATAAAGAACAGGCTTACAACGTAATAAATCTTTTTTTAAAGTGGGAGGGTGGCAATGATCAGTGCTCTACGGTATCTGAAAAAATAAGAACAAGATAGCAACAAATATTCTAAAATAAATGTTATGCACAACAACGTCTAAGATGTCTAGGAAAACTTGTAGAAATATTTTAAGAATAATTTATATATTATATAAAACTTTCCTGATCCAAGATTTCCTGAAATATGGGACATACAGTGACAAGAATATGTTAATAATAATGATTACTTACTAAAATAGTATTGGTATAAAATGGTAATCTTTCATTTCGTATCATAAAATTTAAATACTATACACATTATAGTGATGAAAATTGCCTAAAAATAACTAGGAAAAGCAGAATAAATTCATAATCAAGACACATTAAAAATAGTTTTGGTGTAAACAACAACAATAGGTGATTAAATAAACTAGGATAGTCATAAAAAAATTATAATTGCATTTTATAAACATCATTTAAATTTTATCATTAAAATTATAATTGCAACAATATAGAAAATTCATTTGGCCTAAAAAAACAACTAAACAAGCACAAAACCCTATTTAAAGTCTATTTTTTTCGTTTAATCACTACGCCATTAAATTAAGGTTATTATAAAATAAATTTGTTAATAATAAAAGGAGTTTAAAAGTAATACTTTGCTGGAATTGTCCTTTAAAATAAGAAAATTATGAAATATATTTTTTAATACAGTTCTTTATCTATTAAGTATGGCCATACCTAAAAATGTTAATCCATTTCTGTTAAGCTTTCTTATGGTTGCGATTAGATAACATAAAAAAAAAACTGTTTACTCTCCAATAAAAAATGAAAAAAAATTATAAAACGTAATTAATTCAGTTTCAACGATGGTAAATCAGCCTTAGAAGTTGTTTTGGATTTTTTTCATCAACAAGAAAAGTAATAGAACACTGAAAACAATACTTACAAAGCTTCATTCATGAGAAGAGGACAAAAAACGGCAAAGAGAGCAAATAGAAATAGATGATGAGCAAGAAATAATAAATAATAATAAGAGAGGAACTAAGAGATGCGATAAAATGGCTGAAAATTGTGGAAAGCACCAGAAGAAGACAAAACAACAACTGAAACCGTCAAAAACAGGAGAGAAGTGACTCTGCTATTTCTAAAATTTGTATTAATGTATGGAAAGACAAGTAACAGTAATAAAGATTTTTGAAAAAGTAATGGAAAAAGTCACGTCCTAAAAATATTACTCAGAACCTCATCATCAGTTTGAATTCCGTATGGGACTTGATACAAAGAAAGCACTGTTTGGCCTTCAGATACTGCTAGAAAAGTGCCGAGAACGCAAAGACGTGTTTCTTTGCTTTATCGATTACGAAAACGCGTTTGATACGAAAAAGTCTAACACAACATGGCATAGATTATAAAAATATGATCCTTATTAAGAACCTGTAGGGTGAACCAATGACATCGATCAAAATAAACGATCATCTGACAACAGACATGTCGATAAAAAGAGGAGCGCGCCAAGGCTGAGTACTTTCTCGACTATTATTTTAATATACACAAGGTTGAAGTGCGAGTTCGTATAGAATATACCAGATCTGCTTTTCAAAGAGACACAGAAACTAGTAAAACCAATATTTTTCGAGTGCAGCAATTCCAATATTCAGGGATTAATATAAAACAAAATGAGAGACAGGATATAGAATTGAATAATAAAATAAAAACGTGCAAGTTCATATATATGGTGAAACATGGGTGTTATCGATAAAAGCTCTATTAGAGCAGCAGAAATAAAATTATCATGAAGAGCAAAGGAAGTGACAGCAACGGAGAGAATGAGAAATGAACAAATCAGAATCAATTGAAGAATATATAAAATACAAATAATAAAATAAAGACATCTTTAAGTACTAAATAATACATGGAAAAGGAAAAAATGAAATGGAGCCAAAACAGTCAGTTGTAATACAATATTGGGTCTCTCTCAAAAGTAGAATTGTTACTGTAAAAAATTTTACTACTTCATGGAATTCTAACGTTGCAGATGATATGTTACGTTGACAAAACTAAAATGGTTCATTTTTGAACTACAAAAAACACAATTAATACATTTTACCACCCAATACAACAAATGGGACTTTTTGCGTAACGAAGATGGAGGATAATAAGTCAAGTTTTTGGTCTTCATCCCGATGTAATTATTGGTTGGGATGAATGTACTAGAGTTCAATTAAGCAGCATGGAGGTTCACTCATAGTAAATTTTTATGATGGAGAGTATTATCAGATCATTGTGCGATTCTGACCCTTCCCTGTATTATATAAGTTTCTCCACTATTCTGCTAAAATTTTTCCCATAATCATTTTATAATCATGTAATTATTGTTAAGTGTATTGTATATTCCAATACATATACTTCTATAATTAATATTCTAATAAAATGTGATAAGAATAATACTGTGTATAATGTTAGTTGATTCAATATGTTTGCCTAAAAATAATTAATCAGGTGATATTTTATTCATTTTGGATGACAACAGCAATGACTTATGGATGACAACTTTTATGCATTAATACTAAACTCTCAGTGTAAGACCCAGTGTATTTTGATTCTTAGAATTTCTTTCAGCACTCAAAAACTGCTACCAAGTATATTTATTAATAAGAGAAGGCGAATTGAAATATTCAGGTCGCCTGTTTGTTGTTGTTTTAGAGTTAGCTTATATTTTTCACAACAAACGCATTACAAACAAAAAAAACTATACTTCTACCGACCATCTATTTTAGATACCTTTTTTCTATTTTTGCCTCTTCTCATGAGTCTTTTTCTGTGCCACGGCACTGTTCATGCACATATGGCGACAGAGATTCAGATATTTTACTCCAATAAATTAGTGCAATATCTATGAAGACTGTAAGATTCACAACAACTCGAATATATGTTACAAGCGTCTGAGCTGTGCTCCCAATCTTCTTGACGTCTGACTCAGTGATTTTATTAAAGGTATACTACTGCGTTGAATCTATATCTGTATCTCTTCTTTAAGTCTTTTTATATCAATTATTCCAGATCATGAATCTCCTCCAAGCTCTGTCAATTTCTTCGTTTTTAATGTGTTGTAATTTCGATTAGGAGCTGCAATAGTAAATGAGTATCAGGAAAGAAGAGGTGGAATAGAATCTATTCTGTAATTTGTATCTTTCAATCAAGTAAACTAATTCAAACTGAACACTAAGAGTGCGCTTTGAAAAAGATTTGGAACAGATCTTACCAATCATTTAGCAGATCTTGAGCATCATATCAGTCGTTCATACTTTCACATAATCCTTTTTTCTCATTGCGTTTAATTTAATGTGTATCTTAACATGTAATATTCTGTTGTCAATACCGAAAAAATTTGACACACCTTCATCTCAAACTTCTCATTCAGGTATTTTTACCTCTCCTTTTAATCTGAAAGTTGAGAACTGTCGACTATAATTCCCTGTAAGATTAGTGAGTTTCGAAGGCTCTCCAGATACTAGGATTTGTTATATGTTCAATTATAATAATATAATATATAATATATATAATAATATAATATATGTTCGATTTGCCATTGTATAAGATTGTAATATGCACAGTAATAGCAAAGATATTTTTATCAAAGAAAATATGGTTGATAAAAAAAATACATTTATGTAATGTTATAACAAACTCATTTTGAGGTGAAATTAAAAAATAAAAATATTTCTTACCCACACTCCTTAACGACGTATTTTATCTTTCAATTCATCGAAGTTGTTTCGTTGGAAACTAATAATACAGAAGATAATAATTATATTATTAAGAAGCGAATTGATTTGCGTGACCACAATTGATTTAATACATGGTGATGAAACGACAAAAATAGACTTTACAGTATTTTCTAAGTCATAAAGACTTAGGAAATTCTGTGATACAAAATACAAATCAAAACCAATTATAAAAAATAATCCATTTAAATAACTTTTTAAAATTAATAGTGATGAAGTAATAGTAGTAATAAATAGGTAATGTGATAATAAAAATAAGGATATTGGAGAATTTTAATAACTTGAAGATCTGTGGGATACCTGCGAATAAATTTACATAAAAACAGACAGAACAATCATTAACGTAATTTAATCGTATTGCGAATACATGTAGTAGCAAATGAAATTACAAATTAACTGTTATACAAATTACACTGCACAGTAAACTAACGGAAAAAAAATTATTGTAGTACTTTAAACGCTAAATCGTTAAATTTAATAGGTAGTAGTGGATCATATACATTATTTAAGAGATTTTTATTATTTTTTTTTAATAAAAAAAGCACATTATCTCTGTCAATTTTTACCTGGTCGTTACACTTACATACTCGTACATGAGAGATGCGACAATAAGAAAAAATGTACAACACTGTATAAATTAATATAATAGTAGTAAACAGTTTTTTTTCTATTTTTTTTTTGGTTTGTGTACCAAAAAAAACAAAATGTAATAAAAGACCTTACCAAGTTAGAAGTGTGTTCCGTTGATCTGTCATTCCATTAAACGCCAGAGCTAAGACGAAATTCCTATTGCTAATAATTATTTAATAATAATAAAACGAGTGACGAGTATAAATGACAATTGATAATAGGGTGTGTAACAAGGGTTTTTAATGGGATATATTATATTGACGTTTATTCAACTCGGCTCGCCTCTATTTAAAAATATACAACGTAGCAAAAAAAAATACTGGAGACGCCGCCCGGTTCCAAAATAAAAATTAATAAAAAAAAATAATAAGAAAAGACATCGTTAAAACAAAACCTTACTCTCTAATAAAAACTTTAACCTATCCATATTATCTACGGTGTATTTTTGCCGGAGAAGAATCAATGAATAAATATAGCACACGGGTGGATCGCCTCTGGCCACGGGAACAAACGCAGCCTGCCACATATGTTTATGCATAATCTGTAAACGATACAAAGCTGAATCTTGCTGGGTCGCAGCGCCTGAAAGGAACTCATTTATCATTGAGTGATAGCTACCATTCGCTATCACTTAACGACCAAAAAAGAAAAAACAACCGACAAAATTTCATTTCAGAAATGTTTTTTTGTATTTTTCCTTTCATAAAATAATATACCTTAACCACTTAACCAAAATTGAATTTAATAATCACTTACCGTTGATGATATAATCATTAGTGGTGATGATGATGAAGATTCGAGCCTGTCTTTTTTTTTAGTTGTCTTGATTACCCGATTGAGAACCTCCACTGTATCCATAGCCCGAAAATCCTCCATATTGATTTTGAGCTAAAAAAATTTTTAATATTTATAAATCAATCTCAAAGTACTAAAGGATGATATGCAAATGTGACAAAATGTAATTTTAAGTTTTTTTATGAACAAAATTTTTTTACCTGGTGCTTGATAACCTCCTTGATAAGGCTGGTAACCACTGTTCCCGCCATTTCCTTGCCCAGGCATTGCTGCAGCTACCGGTGCTGCTTGGCCACCAGGTTGACCTTGCTAAACATCATTATTAAATCAAATAAATTAACTTTCATTTCTATAATCACTTATTATTTCACCTTTGCTTTCATTTGAGCTTCAATAGCTTCAGCCTCTTTCAATTTTCCCATACTTCGATAATACTCCGCCCATTGAGCGCTGTAATCAGGTTGAGCTCCATTTGCAGGGGTTTGTGATTGCTGTTGCTGCTGCTGTTGTTGTTGAATTGGATTAGGCGCGTTTTGAGGAGCTACAGTGGGTGCTATTGACATGTTTTGACCACCCATTGTTTTATTTTTTGCCTAAAAAAATTAATCAATAAAATATGATGATATAAATTTTTTTTTGCTTTAATATAAAATAATTACTTGTTGTTCAATCATTTCTGCTTCTCTAACCATCCCCAAAGATCGATAATACTCTGCCCATTGTAATGAATAATCAGGTTGGGAACCAGAATTTTGGCCACCCATACCGGGTACATTTGTATTGCCATTTTGATTATTACCCCCTTCTGGACCTTGTGGAGCTGGATTATTACCCCACTGTTGTTGATAACCCTGAGAACCCCATCCTTGTGGATTGTAACCTTGTGGAGCCATCCCTGGATATGCCTTAAAAATTTGAGTTATAAAAAGTTTAATTCAAAAACTGTTTACTTACTGTTGGAAGATTATTTGAACCACCCATACCAAGTGTAATATAATTAATTTGCATTTGTACTTTATCGTTAATGATGCGCTTGGCAGTTTCGATTTGTTCAGGATCGCCGCGTATGGTAAATGTCTTTTCCGATGAGTTTTGGTTGTTTTGAGATCGCCTATCTAGTTCGCAATGAGCTCCAGATTGTTGATTTATGTGCTTAATTGTTTCTCCCCCTCTACCAATTATAACGCCACATTTCGAACTGGGAACTGTAAATGTGACCTCTTGTGCTGGCTGTTGTTGTCTTCTATCATCCCAACCATTACCACCACCATAATCTTGATTATTATTTCGATTATTTTGTCTATTATCATAACGTTCGCGACCTCCTCTACCTGACCCTGATCCTCTTCCACCTCCACCGCCATTACCATCAGTATCTCTCCTATGAACACTATCGATTAATTCTTCTATTCTTTGTCTAGCTTGATCTACTTGTTGTGGTTTTCCAGATAAATAACACCTTCTTTCGCCTGGTCCTTCTTCTCGTGCTTGTTGAAATTGTACCTTGGCTCCAGTTTCTTGTTGAATTTTTTTAATCATATCACCTCCTTTTCCAATAACAACACCCACAGCTGCTCTAGGTACCAAAACCTGTTTTTTTTTTTACATTTTTATGAATAAAATTGGTTAAATTTAAAAGATATTTTTACCTCTGCTTCACTATTTCCTCCATATTGATCATATTGTCTATCTTCCATACCACCCCCTCTATTCATTCCACCATTACCCCCGCCACCACCACCACCACCACCCCGTCTATTGTAAGCTTGCATCTCTTTTTCTGCTATTAAATCATAAACTAATTGTTTCGCATATTCAACTTTTGCGGGATCGCCACTGATTCTTAAAGGTTTTTCTTGTTCTTGATTTGGACCATCTTGTATAACAACCATTTTCGCGCCGCTTTTCTCTTGGAGTTGTTTGATAGTTTCACCACCTTTTCCAATGATTAATCCCACTTTAGGTCCAGGTACCATTATTTCCACAAAGTTTCTTCCACCGCCTCCACCTCCTCCACCACCCATTTGTTGATTATTCATATTACCTACAATAAAAAAAGAAACGTAAAAGTAATTATTATGCAGGGTTCTATAATTATTAATAAAAATTCAGGTAGTCATGTTTTATTCTTATTCTGAACAGCAATTTTTTAATAAAGAAACTTTAATGTTTTAGTTGGGTAGCAAATGCATTCTCTGTTTAAAAAGTTGATTTAAATATCTAATTTATGATGAGCTAAATTCTCGAGCTCAATATAATTTCACCATCTCATCTTTTGATTATAAAATCTATTCGTAAAGTATATGGTTGCCTTCATTTGTAACCATAACATGGTGTCGCCTAGGCTGTTGGAAAATACCTAAAACTACTGGTTTTAATAACAAAACATGTTTGCATAATGAGTAAAAAATAATATCACTAATCAAAACAAAGCTGTGAAAATATTATTAATAAAGTCTAAGTAAGGTTTTATGAAAGATTAAGTCAGTGGCCAAGAACAACGTCAGTCTCATCTGAAGATTGAGAAGGTTAAAAGGTTAATGGTAAGGTTAGTGATAGTATGCCTCAGGATTATAGGATTAATTTAAAGTAGAGAACTAACACGAGAATTGTGAAACACGAATTTAGGAGGAATATATTCATACTTCAAAAACCCAGCAAACTACGACAACGAAATCTAAGACTCTAAGAAGTTTTTGGTCATATTCCTTAACCGGAAGTGGTAGTTTATTTGATCACCATCCGTCATTTTTTAAATAAACTGACGTTTTAAATAAGATAAATGCGTGAAAATTTGTATAAGCCTTTATAATTATGAAGTGGTCAATTTTCTTCATTTAGGAAACTCATATTCAAACCTGCTGTGATTGAAGAAGACTGGTTTGTGCAAGAAAATCATTCTAATCATAGGCCTCCCAAATATTACAAAGTGGTGTATTGTGAAAGGTACAGGTCTTTTCCATGCAAGGATGCTTTTAACAAGAAAGATTAACATCTCTTTTCAATGGTCATGCAGTGACGCCTCACCAGCATCACACCACCAAAAGACTAAGGGGCAACCCTATACTTTACACATTGTTTATCAAATTACCATAAATATCACCTCATCCAGCTATTGAATCTCATTAAGTTATCAAATTATTTTGTTCATTTATATACTCTTGAGAAGGATCTAATTTAAATAAGAAATATAATTAATTTTGTGTTCAAAATGATGAATAGAACATGATTACTTAAAATATTAATTGTAATAATAAGACATGTAAGCCTGTATGTTTTAATAACATTAAAATAAATTAAATGAAAATTTATACAATGTTCAGGATTTTAAGGGGGCACAAGGAAGATTTGGGAAGTAATAAACGCGATTATTTTCAAAGAAAAATATACCTTGGAAGTTATTATGACCAAGACCTGAACCCAAATCAAGACCGCCCAAACCTTCAGAGCGACCGCGTTGTTGAACAATGTTCATAATGAGCTCTTTAGCTCGGACGATGGCGTCCCAGGTGCCTGATAAAGAACAAATCCTTTCAGGCATCCCCTGGGAATCAGGAGCCATCTGGATTTTACATCCAGACTCTGCCTGTAACCTTGTAATTTGTTCCCCTCCACGACCAATAACTGTAAATATTTTAATGTTTATTTTAATCTTAAAAATCCCCAAAAAAGTCTCTATTTTTTAACTACCTCAAATTTTTTTTTTTTATAAGAGAATACGAAAACAAAAATGGAAATAAGTAGAAAATAACTTACTTAATCCCACCATTTTATCAGGTACTTTAATGTCTTCATTTTTTGGGGGACCTCCACCTCCCATAGGTGGTGGACCTCCCATACCACCGCTTGATCCTCCCGAAGCATTCATTGGACCTCCTTGATTTGGACGACCACCAGGACCATTATTACCACCTTGAACACCTAACCCTGGACCTGCCACCTTTTTAGGATCAGGTTCTGTAAAAATGAATAATTATTAACTCACGAACTCCAACAACAAAGCTAAAATAATTCACATCACGTCTTTGTGTATCTATTTTATGAATTATTAAAGAAGTAAACATACCTGCAATATCTTCTAATGGTCTTTTCTGCCGGCCATCACCCCCCGCGGACGGGTTGATTTTAGCGGCTATCTAAAATAAAACGATAAAGGGGGGTCGGTCTTCGTAAACGGGTTTCTTTTGGGAGGGAAGATGCAAAAAAGTTTTTTGTGGGAAATTCAATTTCTGTTTCTTACCTGCTTTGCACGTTGCAGGGCGGCGGCGAATGCGGTCGATTGATTGAAATTCTGTTGCGGCGGTGGTGCTACAGCCGAATAATCGCTCATCATTCAACGGAAAACCTCAAAATCGCGACACATAAAAATCTGTTATGGCTACACACATACACAGGAGCGTTGTCACTAGATTCTAGTGACATTTTTTTTCTATCATGGCTACCATTTTGAGTACTTTCAATCGTACCAACGTAAAATTTTTTTGTATTTGATTATTTTTGTGTTAAATAAAACATTAATATTTATTTGTAGATATACTTTATTTAAACACCCTTCACTCATAATTAGTTAGCGGTCAGCATTTTAAATCATTTTTGTTTGTACAATACAATAAAAATTAAATCTAGATTCGTAGAATACTTACTGTTATTAGCTGCAAAAGAAATCTGTTTAAAAATCTTAACTGTACTAATAAATAAGTAAAAGATTTCAATATAATGGTTATATTAGAACTTATTTCACGTTGTAATGTTGGGATATACAACAAATAAATCTTATACAAAAAGAACGGAAAATAAACATGTAATGCTGAGACATGTATATAATTTTTAGTATGTTGCTGCAAGCGAAGAAATCACCTTAACAAAAACTTAAATAAATATGATACAAAAAAAGTGATTATTAATTATTAAATTTGGGTTAGGCAGTAACGCATTTTACCTTATACGAATAACATTAGGTGAACGAATTAAAAAATAAAGGGGACAAATTGCTAATATTATTATTACCATTACTATAGAGTGTATATATGCACATAAATTTACACCAACCTTAAACCAACTAAGTAGTGCTTTTCATGTATCATTCGATTTGAATATATTAAAGATTCTTACCTATAATCTAAAAAATCTTAAAAATAAAATGAATACATCTTCCTATATTTAAAGCAAAAAAGATAAAAACAAGCTGATATTAAAAAGAAAGCTTCAACTCCAAAAATCCCTTGTTTAATGAGTACCAGGTTGTTGTTGAATCTCTATTTTTTCAACCGTCATATCTGGATTCATTGCAGTCGCTTCTTGAATTGCTTCTGCCAAAGCCCTATCATGATCAATCGGATCACCATCTGATTGAATCGTTATCTTTTGTTCTACTCTCGTTTCAACAACACCATCTCTTTCAGTTTTGTACTAAAATGAAATTATTAAAAAAAAATTGGATTAAAAAATTAAATTAAATCATACTGTAATCGTTTCAACTGTTCTTGTTTTTGAACTGATGGTCTGCGAGCTGATTATTTCTCCTGTTGCTGAATAATTTCCATCATCAGAAGTGAGATGAACCTTTCGAGCTTCCGTTGCTACAACTGGTACAGAGGATGTTGTTGATCTGACTATTGTTGGATCTCCACCATATACAACACTTTCAGTTGGAACGATTCCACCGGGAATTTCAGCCTAAAAATATTTTAGTACAATATTTAAAAAAACACTTCAAGTTAACTCAATAAAGTTAGAAAGAAATGAGAGTTAATGGACAATATATAAAATAGCTGAAAGATATTGAAGAAGTTCATCCAAAAGTTTAAATGCTTTTTGTACTTACTTTTGATGAAGACTCCATATTTTCATCATAGTCTGGTGGATCAATTGGAGTACCAGAATCATCTGAACTGATAGAGCTAGTGCTGTCGCGTCGGCCCAACTACAAGCCATGCAATGAGTTATAGGGTTAAAAACATGTAGCTGGGTCACATTAAAAGCAACACATAACAATGAAGATTAAAAAAATCTTTTTTGCAATTTCATAAACAAAAAAATGTAATTTTTATGAATGGGGTCATCACATTACGAATAAATGATTAAGATAATAATGCTATTTAAATTCAAACGATTAGATTCATCAACATAATCAGATTAGATTAAACAGTGAAATTAAATAAAAATTGGAGTAAAAAATTAACCTGTTCTCCGCTAACTACAGTGCTGGTGGTTTTAACTTCTTGGGTAACAGTTCGTTGTTCTTGTCTGGTCGCGCTCGATGTCATCGAATGGGCAATGGTTTTCTCTTCGAGTTGTTGGGTGCGAGCATTTGTTCCTAAATCTTCATGAGTGGTAGCTGTGCGGGTTGTTACAGCATGTGCTCTAACAAACGGTGACTTACCATCGTCCGTTGGCTCAGCCTTAATTTTGTAAACAAAAAATATAAAAAAAAGGGTAACGTTAACTATTTAGGAATAATTATTGCAAATTAAATTGTATAAAATATTTATTCGAATTTTTAAAACTTGTGATTTAAGTGTTTTTAAAGCGCTATTAATCGAGTATGATTTTGGTGTGTTGTTACTACTTCAAAAATATATAAATTCAAAAGTCATTTTTTTAATAAATTGTTATGAAAAGCGTTCATTGTTGTTTTTCATGGGAAATAAAGTGGGAAGTGTTTTAAACTAACGGTTTTAACCCAACCCAATTTCACGAACCTGAAAGATAAAATAAGGAAGAAAATAAAGAGATTAGCAGACTTTTTTAAAAGCTTTCTCTAAGCCTATTAACTGCGCAACGAATTAGCTTTACTTAAGCATCGAGAAGTATAGATAACTTGCGGAGCGGCTGTATCTTGATAATGGTAAGACATAGAAGTATGGGAAAAAAATTGGTGGGAAGTGGGCAAGAAAATATCTGGAAAATATTTTGAAGTTGGTAATTAGACGCAACTGTCATAAAGAAACAAAATTCTCGCTATCTCGGAAAGTAAGATGATGAGCTATAACTTTGACAACATCATTTGGTAACTTGGATAATATCGCATCGCTTTTGCTTTGTGACATTTCGCACATATGTCCATAATAAGGGAGGGCAATGCATTTTGAAATATTTACATCTTAATATCTTCTGGACCATTCAACCAAATTGAATATTTTTGGTCTTGTTCAAAAGAGCATTTTATGTTATGTATAGAAAGCAATCTGCATTAGAAAGCAACAAACATTGTTCGTCATGAATTGATGAATTGTTATGGTAAGTTATATGAAGCGATTTTGAAGAACAGAAAGAAGAATCATTAAAAGAGAAAGAAGGACGGTCGAAGGATTAGTGGTTTGGCAAAGGAAGCAATAGATCCACTGTAAATGCAATAAGGAAGTTATAGGGGAAGCAAATAAACTAGAAAAATTTAGACAAAGGAAGAAAATCAAAAGTATGTTGGAAAAAATTATGCTGGTACTGCAAAAGAAAGGTATATCTACGAACTTGGTTAACATCATCAACGACTACCTAAGTAGAAGATCTTTATAACGATAAAATATACTAGGTAAGTATAGGATTCCCACAAGGTGCTATTTTAGGCCCGCTTTTATGGAATGTGTTTTTCGATCAAATATTTGAAGTACAAGAAAACAATAAGTATGTTAAATTGGTCGTATACGCAGACGACTTAGCGGTTGTGATTAATGAATAAAAAATCGAGAAATGCTGCAGTTGCATCGCAAGAATATGTAACGCAATTTCCCCAAAGAAGACATTTTTCTCGAGAAGTGTTTTCAAAATTGGCTAAACGATTACAGTAAATTGGCAACGTGCAGCCCATTCAGACACTTCTAAGAATTCGTGGTACACATTAGTGCGCAATGCGTTGAGCACCAGAAAAATTTCCGACGACCTGGCAATTCCGAAAACAATTGTCTACAAGATATTTCAAGAGAATAATAAGCATTCCTACCAGACAGTTTTACATCGGACTTACAGATACCGATTATGATAACAAGTTGAACTAATGCTGAACAAATACTATAATAATTTGCATAATATGGATCATTGGTTTGAGCAAAACCCACATTGGATGCAGCAGGTAAAGCATCAAAATCGCTGGAGTTTAAAGGTATGGTGCAGAATCGTGGAAGGAAAACACATGGGTTCGTATTTTTTTGACGTAACCCTTAATGGAGAAAAACTTTATGGTAATCTGGCGCATTATGGCCGAAACGTACGCCAGCATTTGGATGAGCAATATCCAAATCACGTTATTGGAACAGGAAGTCTATTTCCTAGGCCGGCGCATTCGCCTGATTTAACTGGTTTAGATTTTTATCTATGGGGTGACTAAAAGGCCTAGGTTTTCAAGAGAAACCAACTACCAACGGCGATTTTTTCTACCGAAACTAGATTAAATAAATGTATCAAGATTGATGGAAGACATTTCGAACATTTGTGAGCAATTTTTGGCTAAAATTTGATTGATGCTAAATGTTTTGGTTTATTTTGTTTTATTGTCATTATTGATGTTTGCTTGGCTCGTTTGCCTCAACACACCTCAAAAACAGTTTTGAACCAGTCCAAAGCTTGGATAAAGTAAAGTGAAGTGTGACGAACTTCAATCTAATTTCTCTTGTCCACTCTGCTGATAAAGATTTTTTTTCCCAAACCTCTAAACCTTACCATTGTCGAGATACTTCGTTCCTTACCGCGACACCCAGTGCATTACTTTTTCAATACTTCCATTATTTCTTACTTTCAGTATTATTATACGAACTAGTACATAATCTCTAGATATATAATATAGTAGCTAGTTAGATAGCAGTACTAAATTCTGTTTGATATCAATTCAAAATGACTTTTGAAGTACTTATTTAACACAGAAAATTCCAAATAAAAAACACTTAAAAAAGTAATATTTTGATTTCTGCAATTCCATTTCTTTGACAACCAAAATAATTTTAATTTTAAATTTCTAAAAACAAAACTAATATGTACAAATGCATTTGAGCAAAAATTAAATACAAATGCTTATCATGAGAGATGCAACTACGTAATTAAAAAAATATTTATACTAAATATTATTCTCACCTTATTAGTTTGACTTGAAATTGTAACCTCACCAGTACGACCATCTTCAACTTTTTCTTCAATATTCTGCGTTACACCATCCCTATCTTTAGTAATAATTTGTTTTGTAGTTGTTTTTACAACAACTGGAGTGGTAGGCGATTTCATATGTGGTATTTTCAAACTTGGCAAATCCTTTAAAGTTTCCGCCGCGTATTCATTCAAATCTTCATCGCTGCTTTCGCCGCTTTCATCACCTTTCTTTACTTTATATTTAACGTTAGTATCTTTAAGATCTTTGAAATGGCTCGGATCGATTTGGGCGTAATTGAGAATTAATTCGTTAGTTACGGGATCTCTACGTGCTGTTTCAGGGTCGATATCTCCAGTTTGTGGATCTATATGTCCCCATTCAGTGTGGATTCTTCCGGTTTCCGGATCAATTTCGCCGGAAAGTGTTAATATTTGAGTTATTTTTGTGTTTGCATCTCTTACTAAAGGATTATTCGGATCAACTTGAACAACTTTTCCGGTTTTTGGGTCAACCATGCTGTACCAAAAGACGGTTTGAGTGGTGACGTTAATTATTCGTCCAGTTTTTGGATCAATTTGACAATCTTTCGGGTTGATTTCTTTAACTTTTCCATCGGAATTTTGAGGCGAAATAAGATAAACTCGGATTAAAATAAGCTTTCCAGTTTTTGGATCAACAACTGCGTATTTCGTGTAAACATCTCCGGATTTCGGTTCGATTTCGGATGTGGAATAAATCGGATTTCCGGATTTATCGACGTCGTTTGTTTTATAATAAATTTGTTTTGTGTCGGGATCAACTTTTACATTTCCTGGAGTAACTTTTTGCGATTTCGTTATTGTTCCAAGTTTCGGATCTAAAACCCCATAAATATTTGAAACATATCCTGTGTTTTGATCAACATGTCCGGTTGAATAAATATCTTGTTTTAGAATTTGATCGTAACGATCGAACAACCATAATTGTGATGTTTTCGGATCGATTTTAACATCTTTTTCGGCGAATTCTAAAAGATTACCTTTTCCATCTATTTTCGGGTCGATTGTTGACACGGAAATAACTTTTCCATAATTAGCGTCGATCTTTCCTGTTTTCGGATTAACGTAACCTTTAACAATAATTTGTCCTGTTGTTGTATCAACGATTCCTTGTTTAATATCTTGTTGTCCCATTGGATCGACGTAAACTAATTGCCCACTTAACAAATCAAGTTGACCATATTTGGTTAAAACTTTATTAGGTGCGTTTCGCAAACCAGTTGAGACATCCACGGAGCAATTTTTAACATCAATCGTATTCTTTTTCGCATCAATTTTTCCTGTACAAGTTATAATCGTTACTATAGGTTCAATTTCGTTACCTAAAGTAATTATTTGTCCTAAATTATCGTTTATATTATCAGTTTTGGGATCAATAACACCTTTATTAATTATAATATTTCCTTCTGGATTTCTCTCAATCGGTACTTCATCAAATCCACCAGTTTTTGGGTTCTTTATTTTTAAAATGTACTTATTTAAATCAAGAATACCATATTTCGTTGTGATTTCGCCGGTTGTTGAATTAATTTTAGCTTTTGTCGATTCCATTTGGCTTTTATCTTTATCAATTTCACCGTTAGGTTTTTTAACACCTATTAGAGATGATATTTCTATTGTTGGATCATTATGCCCGATAATACTAATTATTTGTCCTAACGTATTATCAACTTTTCCTGTTTTTGGATCTTTTATTCCTTCACGCAAAATAATTTGATCGCAATTTTCAGATAATTTTATTGGTTTCGCATCAACTTTACCAGTTTTTACGTTATTGTTAATAATTTTTTCGCTCTTTGGATCAATTAGACCATAAATAGATTCAATTAATCCCGTATCTGGGTTAAATGTGGCTAAAGATTGTTCGGTATGTCCTTTTTCTGGATCTAATTTTCCCGTTTTAGGATCAACCTTAGTAGTAATAACCGTTATTTTTATTAATCGTTTTTTGGGTACTAAGGTTTTTGATGATTCAATTGGCTCAATGGCAAAAACTTGTCCAGCAATCGGTTCTGATTTGTTTGTTAAAAGTTTATTTCCACCAACCAAAATTTGATTTGTGTTAGGTTCAACTTTTCCTTGAACTATTTCGTTTTTACCAGTTGCTGTATCATAAACAATAACATTTCCGGTTTTTGGTTCAATCAGGCCATATTTTGTTTCAACAAAACCATTATCATCAACCAATCCGGTCAGATTTTCAACCAAACCACTTTCAGGAATGACTTGTCCCGTTTTTGGATCTTTTTTAACCGTAATAACCATAACTTTAACAATATTTTGTTTAGGTACCAATCCAATTTTCTTCGGAGATGTTTTAACACTGTCTGGTTTAATTGGCGTCGGTTTCGAAACGTCAGCTTTAACCGGAGTTTTAACAATTTCCGTTTTCGTCACTGTTTCGACTTGTTTAACAGGAGAAGGAGCCACTTTAGGTGTTTGTTGTTTAACTGGACTTTCAGTAACAAGCACTTTTGGTGGAGCAACTTCCTTAATGACAGGAGTTGTTTTTGGTGCCAATAATTGTTTTTCAACTAAACCATCAATAACAGGTTCTTTAATTTCAACTTTAAAACTACGTCCAAAATGTGAATCAACTTTATCTGATTTTGGATTAACAAAACCGCCTTTAAAGACAACTTCACCTGTACTGGGTTGTACTTGACCTTGACGAGTATCAACAACTCCAGTTGTGTGCTCGAATAATGTTAAAGAACCATCAACTGGGTCTAGTAAACCAGATTTAGTGATGATCTTGGTTTTTGTTGCGTCATAAAGTGCTGAGTTAGTTTCTGGTACAGCTGATTTATCAATAAGATTTTTCTTCGAATCCAACTTTCCTGTGCAAGTTGTTACTGTTATTTCTGGATCAACTTCTGAACCAATTTGTATCATTCTACATAAACCTTTCTCAGGGTAATCATTCACAACGATCGTTCCATCTTCTTTCGTTTCAATTGGTAAATCAACTTTTTTACCTGATTTATCAATAAATGAGATTCTCATCAATTTTATGTTGATTATTCCGTGTTTTGTAACAACTTCACCAGTTTGTGGATTCACTATTCCATTATGCATCTCTGTACTTGTCGTTGATGGGATTAATTTATTCGTGGCAGGATCTATTTTACCAACGGTTGAGTTAACAACACAAACCGATTTGGGAATTTCTAAATTGACGACTGTAACTGTATTTGGATCGATTTTTCCCGTTTTAGGGTTAACATTGTTTGAATCAATGATGATTTTATTAGGATTTTCTGTGTTAACGGATGAAACGATTGGTTTTCCAGTTTTTTTATCTTTTTGGATAACTTTGCCGTTTTGCAAGTCAACTTTTCCATTTCTAAACTCAACGACATTTTCAACCGGATCGTAAGTTGCCGTTAATTTCTCAACCAAACCGTTCTCAGTATCAATTTGTCCCGTTTTTTGATTACGTTGTGTTGTAATCACTACGATGTTTATTAAGCGTTTTTTCGGGATTAATTTTGATGGTGTTTTTTCTGATGTATCTTCCGGTTCTTCAACAATAGTAATTAATTGTCCGCTGTTGTTATCTAGATTTCCCTGGGCATTTAAAACAGGTCCTGATAATAAAATTTGACCGGTTGTAGGTAAAATTTTTCCATTTACAGTTGTTTTTTGTCCAGTTTTCGGATCAGTAATAACGATCGATCCATCTTTTTTAATCACTCCATATTTCGAATCAATATCGCCATTAGAAGACTCAATGCCGACAGATTGATCAACTGTACCTTTATCAACATGTAAATGACCAGATTTTGCATCTTTAGGAGCGGTTATAACCATGATTTTAATAAGTTTTGTTGTTTTAGCAACTGGTTGTTGCTTTGTTGGGGTTGGCACCGGTGTTACATCAATGGGTTGTTGTTCACTAACGTCTAATTTAACTGATCTTCCATATCCAGCGTCGACTTTTCCAGCTTTTGGGTTATAAATTCCTCTAAATACGATTCCTTTAGCATTAGGATCATAATTTCCGTGTTTTACTTCATATTTATTCGACTTTGGATCAATACAAGTTAAAGTTGATTGTACAGGATTGAAAATACCATGTTTTGTGTGTACTACATTATTGGTTTCATCAAAAAATCCTAAAGATTCATCAGAATGGGCCGTTTGGGTGTCAAAACCTTTTTTTGGGTCAGTTTTTGATGCAGCCGATTTGATTGGAATCTCTGATTTATCTTCTAAAGAAATCTGTAGGATTTGACTCATACTATCATCTTGTTTTCCCGTTAATGGATCAATTACTCCGGATAAAATAATAATATTTCCGTTTTCATCCAAATGTATTGGCGTTTCAACGGAATCTCTTTTAATTGTTTTTGAAGATAAATTAACAATTCCATATTTAGTGATAATATTCCCATTTTCCATAACACCTTTTGAAATTTCTTTGTGTGCCTTAGCTGGATCTAATTGACCAGTTGTTGGGTTTCTCCTTGCAGTAACAGATGTAACTGACACAGTTGGTTTTAAATCACTTTCTAAACGAACGATTTGTATTAAGTTTGAATCGATTTTTCCCGTTTTAGGATCGGAAACTCCGTCTTTAATGATAAATTCGCCGTTTAGGTTGGTTTCAATTGGTTTAACTTTGCTTCCTTTTTGATCAGAATACAATATTTGTTTCTTTTCTGGTGAAATTGTTCCCACTTTCGTATCAATTTCTCCAGTTGATGGATCGTAAACGGCGTAACACTCCTCAGTAAATCCTTTTTGTTCGTCGACAGCACCAGTTTTAGGATCTCTTTTAGAAGTAATTATTTTAATTTTCACGATACGCTTTTTCGGTTTTAAAACTTGACTTTGCAGAGTCTCTGTAAAACCAATTATTTGTCCGCTTGTTGGATCAGCTTTTCCGGTTCTCGGATCGATTACGTTTCCTTTAACAATAATTATTTGTTTCGTTAAAGGATCGACAATTCCCTGTAATACTTCTTGTTGATTATTTTCCGGGTTAATAATCGTCATCGTTCCTTTTTGTGGATTAATCACACCGTAATTAGTTTCGATTAAACCAGTCTTAGAACTTTGAGTTCCTTTAATACAATCCAATTGACTATGCTCCAAATCAAGTTTTCCTGTTTTAGGATCTTTTTTAAGCGTTGTTATATAAATATTAATTTTTTTGATAGTTTCAATCGGAAGAGGATCTTTTGTATAACGTTCGTTATCTAAGAAAGCTTCACTATCAGTTTTCGGGCTTTTTAATTTTGCTTTTAACTCTTCGTCTTGTCCAGGAACGTAACTAAACGCAAATCCTTTTTCACGTTTCATCGGTGGAGATTGTTGCGTTGTAACTTCACCAGGTAATTGATTTGGTTGATCGTAAGAAAATCTGGATGGTTTTTTAGGCGTTGATTGTTGTTGAGAAGGTTCGTAATCGTATTGTTTCGTATGTCCAGCCAATTCGGGTTGTTGTTTTTCTTTCTTTTGACGGTCGTCTGCTTTAACGGGAACCGTTTTTGGCGGAGAAGGCGTTTTTTCTGATTTTTTATCACGTTTCGAGCCGAGAAACAATAAACCAGGGCTCTAATGTAAACACATGCAAAAAGAAAAAAAATAACTATAGATATACACGTGCAAAATAAAAATTATTTACTTCTCTAAAAAAACGCCACTGTTCTTACTTCTATTTCTACCATTTTTTTTTAATTCAAACTTTTCATATAATATTAAAGCATATTTTTTATAAACACAAACGAACTTACCTTTGATCTCTTTTCTGGAGACGATTTTTTCTCTTTCTCAGAATCTTTGTGTTCACCATTTTGTTCCGGGAGATTCGCATCTTTATTTTCTTTATTTTTATCAGCTATCTCTTTTTTGGGACTGGTTAAAGAACGCTCTTCAGAGACAGGAGACTTCTGAAACATTTAACATATATTTTATTAAATCAAATTGCAAAATTTGATATTTTGAGGTTGGATATGTCAAATGTCATTTTGACGTTTAAATGTCATATTTAATAGAAATGTCATTTTGACGTGCTTCAATTTTTGATTTTACAACATTAAAATGCATTAAACACAAAATCTAGAGGTGAAAACGATTTCTTTGTAAGAAACTAAAATAAACTTAAATAAAAAACGTCATTTTGACAGTTACTGTCAAATTTTAATATACAAATTTAATTTTACCTGTTCCTTCTTTGAATCCTTTGATTTATCCTTTTTACTTGGTTTTTTCGAAGCGAAATGATTGTCAATATCCGGAATATGTTCTGGTGGATGAGACATTGTATGGCGTTTGTTGCCTTCGTAATTATCTTCATCCATTGCACCACCTCCTAAAGCTTTTACAACGATTTTAATACTTAAGTTACAAATTTTTGATCGACTTACGATCCATGCTTCTGGAAGTTAATCGACGTCCGGTAAGTGATCGTTCGAAATGTGGAGCAGGACGATCGATGGGTGTACGTTTCGTTTCGTAATGAGTTCTTCCCGAATACCTAAATTTGGACCCTAATTTCGGGAATAACGAAGATTTTTGTTTCGTTTCGGGCGACATTAACCGGAAAAATGTGTGGTGTTCAACGCAAGTTTTCCATAATTTTTCGGCAGCTCTATGATTAGCTAATTTGAACCCAATGGTTGATTCGAATTGTTCAAATTCTCCAGGACGAATTTTAATATAAAAATTGTGTCGTTTGTAGCTTATTTTTAAGATTTTCGGCCAAGCAAAACGATTAATTCGCAATTGATCCCGATAAACTAATAAACCAGATGCGCAAACACCTAACATTATGTCGACACCTTCGGAATCTTTAGCTGAATGTAAATCGACGCCGTACATGGCTAATTTTTTAGCATTTTCTAAATAGTGTAATTCAGCTTCTGCGGGACTTTGGCCTCTATGAGTCTTGTGAAGTTCCATAACTTTAGATTCGAGTTCACCGCTTTGATTCGGTGCAAATTTGAATGTAGAGAGATAATTTGTACCCATTGAATCGGCATCGTAATCTCCTAACTCAGATTGAACGAGATACGATCCTAATAGTGCGTGAGTAACAAAAGAACACGGAAGACGATTGTTGAGAATATCGTTGCGTATTTGAAGACATAAATGATATCGAGTGATGTCTTCTTGTAGTTGAGCCGGATCGGGCGGATAAAATTTAACGGCAAAATTAAATTGCCACGGTTCGGATTTCATAACTTTTCCAATTCTTTCTTCAAGATCTAACCAATTTCTTGGGTCATGTCTATCGCTGTAGAGTAATCCGAAATAATCTTTTTCTATTATATTTATAGATTCGCATACTTTTAACAAAAGTTCTTGGCCTTTTGCTCGTCGCTATTAAAAAAATCAAATTTGATATTTATATTTTATTTAGATTGAAATTACTTACATCGATATAAATATCGAGCACAGTTCCATCTAGCAATGTTATTTTTGCTAGGGCATTTCCAGATTTACTAGGCGAAGAAAGCTTGTTGGATGGTGATTGATTTTCGGTTCCGATTGCCATCTTCTTTTCTTCAGGCATTCTCCTCTAAAATTAAATAATTTAAGTTGAGACAAAGATAAAAATAAAACTTTAAACTTAAGCTGAATAATTGTGGTTTTGTTATAATCTTACTAATAAAACCACAAAGTATCTAATTCTAACGGAAAATTAGATGTTTGATTCGTCACCGATAACTTTCTCTATATTTTATGGGTTAAAATACACAAAAAAATGTTTAACAATAGTATAATTTATTGATAAGTTTATTATCAAATAAAACGAAAAGATGACAAGATTAAGTTTGATTAATAAGATAAAAAAATGTAATAAAATAATTCAAAACATTATGTACTGCTCATCATAAAATTCTTGAAATACGCAAGAGAAATGTATAAGCAAAGTTATTCATTCCTATAAATAACCAATTTAAAGAGACAGACAGTGATGCAATCCATACTACCATTTGAAACAAACATGTTTGAAATTAAACAAATAAATAATTCAAAACGCAAGTTGTTTGAATTAACCAAAATAACTGTTTCTAATGAAGTTATTATAACATAATCATTATATTAAAACATTATTTCCTGTCTTTCACTTCATGACATGAATATGACTCATTAATATGTAAGCATAGAACAAGAAAAATTAAGAACAGATAAGAAACAATTACGCATGCATCTAGTATTAGTCATAAATACAGTTAGAATGTAATTCAATGAAAAGAACAAAAAAGAAGTTGTTTTAAGCTGATACACTTTATGGAATTAAAAAAAAATTAGGAATGTTGAGAATTCCAAATAAACTTGTTCACAGCTATAAATAATCATATAAAAACTCGTCAATGACGTAACGTCTTCATATATGCAATAAAACGACTAAATTGTTTATTCTAGATTAAATAATTAAAGAATAAATGAGAAGGATAACGAGAAATGAAATATATGGAATTTAATAAACTTATAATTGAGTGAATATTTTTTAAAATGGAAATAATGGTGAGACATTTTTCCAAAGAATGGTTGCAGAAATTAGAGACAGAATTATGTCATTAATTCATATGCTATTACACAAAAAATGTTGTATATTGTTGTAAACGACTCCTTGGCCTTGTTTATACCAATAACTATTGTTCAGAGTTTCTGTATATTTTATTTTGTAGTTACCAACTCTTTTTTTTTATCGTGTATACGCTGTTGATTTTAAACTGATTTTAAAATGAAAGCAACCAGAGAAATGAGTCGTTACTCCCTCGCTATATTTTCATGTCATGATGCCCGAAACTATTCGTTGAAAATAATGTTTATCCTTTTTTAGCTCTCGAAGAAGCGGCAGTGCTGGGACGAAATTAGCAACATAAGTCTTCACAAAGTTTTCATCAACCCAAGTTTAATGTGAAAACGATGATGTAGAGGAGAATGCATGATATTGAGTTCCTTCATTAAATCATTATAAGTACCAGCAAACGTACAAAACGAATTTTGCACATTGTAAAATTTCTGGGCACCGTGAAAAAGCAGTTAAGTCGCCTTTACCAAATTTTACAGAAGAGCCAAAACAATATCAATTAAGAAAATTGCAGAAAAAGTAATATACGGATCATTCATTTTTATAACTAAAGTGTATTCATTTGCTCACGGGTGGCAGATAAATAGAGAAAACGTATCATTTCCTTTCTTTTTCAAGTCGAAATTTTTGTTTCTTTGGCTGTTAAGTTCTACTCTTTTAGACGGAAACCAAGAAGTTCTGATTTTATTGCTTTGACAACCTCAAATCACGTAGTAATCACTTAGCCCGCCTTGAACAATCAAATGTGGCTCGACAGAACTGGGATATTGAGTAAATATGGAGTCAAGTCAGCACACTGTTCATCGGAACTGTCTGAATATCAGTTATTATCTCCACAACATTTGTTGATACCGGTAAGCTTGCATTGCAAAAAACAAGTTTTATGGCAGAAGGCAATTTAGGAAATTTCCTTTATAATAATTGTTCTTGTGATTTCCCGTCATATCAATGGAACTGAAAAGGTATACTTTCTCTTACCTTTCATTTACTGTGCCAATAACACAGCTAACACAGCATATATGGGGACTTCATCGCTCGTTTTGATCACCGATTAAAACACCAAAATAGGTTTTTTCACATTTTCAGAAAATGGGCAGTTTTGTGACATCACCAGAAGTCCTCCAGAAATATATTAAAACATTTCAAGAGAAATTTCGCAAACGAACAACGCGTTTCACTTGACAATTTCGTCATTGAAAAAACTTTCTTAACTACACAAAACCACACAATCCGAAACTCGAAAGAAGATTGAATAAAAGAATAATACGATTCATTTTTACGTTATTTTTGTATTGTAAAATGTAGTCCTTCTAAATTACCCCCCCATAAAATTTACTACCTGCCAATATGACACGAATTTTTTTTCTATTATTAGAAAGGCATTGTGAAACTAATGGGCTGAACTGTGTTACCAAAACAGTCACAGCTAATGTTATTGGATGATTCGTAGTTTAAAATGGGTATACTAAACAAATTATTGGAACCATAAACAATAAGGAACATCCAGAAACTTTGAGATACAAGTTCCAGGAACACGCAACATAAACACAATGTTCGTTTGTGTTCCTTTCGGTGTGGACGTAGTTTAATTATATTTATCGCTAAATACGGAAACAAGAACTTGTAGGAACATTTCTTTCTGCAACCATAAACATTAAGGAACATCCAGAAACTTTAAGATACAAGTTCCAGAAGCAAGCAACATAAACATAATGTTCTTTTGTGTTCTTTTCGGTGTGGACGTAGCTTAAGAAAAAAAGTGATTATTGGCGAAATTATCTTAATTCCAAAAAGATTTATTTTATACTCATTAAAAAATTTAAAATAATGTTTTCTAATACTTACTCGTTGCTATAAATAATCATTTAAAAATCAGCCAATGACGTAATGTCTTTGAAAAAACAAGATTGTTGGGACCAAATTAAATAATTGGAGATTAAATAAGGAGAAGAAAGCTCATGCGAATTATTAGGGACACAAGAAGGAAGCAATTATTAAAAAGCATTTTTATAAAAATCTTAAGTACTTGTAGGAAGGATAACTTAATTGCAAAAATACTTTATAATTTTATTCGTTTTATCGATAAAACTTGCAAAAAACAAAATATAGATGGCGTAAGTACACTTAGCATAGTTCTTTGATATTCGATTAATCAAAAAAATCAATTTATTTTTCTCGGTAATTTTAAGCGATTAGAAACCGTTTAAATGTTCAATAAGACTTCAATTAAAACGAGCTTTAACTTTGACCTCTTATTCTATCAAAAGTAATATAACCTAAATTATCTAGGTCACTTATTTTAAAATCCCTATTTCAAAGACAAACTCTTAAAACATACATTAAACTAAGTTCAATTTGATATTAAATTCAAAAATACTTCCTTTATTGTATACTTTTTACGCTGGGTACTGTTATATACGCAACGAGCTACCTGTTAACGCCCAACATTTTAATAGGTCGCGGCGCGTAATCTTTATTGTAAAACGTTAAATATTAACTCCAAGTAAACTACCAAGCCCCTTCTCTAAACTTTTATCAGTATGCTTTTATATTTACTTTTATTAAAATCTTACCTCGTCGATTACAGGTGTTATCCATTCAGTTTTTAATCAGTACTTGTATATTTTCTTTTTTTTTTTCTTTTGCCCGCGATTTGTATTGGTGACAGTTAAGAGGAACTCAACACATCGAAGTAAACTGGGATCGGCACATACATAGAAAGAGGTATAAACAACAAACAACACCGATATACACACACACGCACACTAACCGAAATCGCTACTGTTATTTATTGATAATCCGATTTAAATCCGAATCAGTTCGGTGTCGGTTTTTTATCATTGAATTCTCGAATCGAGCGGATTATTTATAATGATGATCTCTGTGAAAACGATGACCGTTTGCGATTCGTTTGTGGTTTGTGTGTTGTTAGATCGGTACTACTTTTCATGCGTACGTATAGATGGCTCTGAATGGATAACATGGACGGCGATGTAGGTATACAACGTCGTCGCAGACTGTACCTACAGTGACGGACAAAAGTCTACATACAGCATTGAATTATGAGGTTTTTGAAAAACATAATAAGATCATAGAAAATTAGTATTACAGTGTGATTAAGGATACCTACTTATTTACAACAAAAAAAAACAAATAGCTCAATAGCTACATAACGAAAAATTAACAAACAAAAAAATGATGACCAGTTTTAAACTGCAATAACTTTTGAACGTATTGCTCGATTTGACTTAGGTTTTTTTTTATTTGAAACCCTTTACCATTATTTCAGTATGTGGGTTCCCCATTTTGGCGCTCTTTAATTTCAGCAATGGTGAATAATGCTAATGCGTGTTTTCTCTCTACACTTTAAACCTTGCTGTAGGTGGACCAACAAAAGATCGTCTTTTCTGATCACTTCTGTTTTTTGTTCAAGTATCTATAAATTGTTGTTAACACCAAAGTTACGCTCTAAAGAATATCAGAAATTAAAGCAAGCTAATGAAATTGACTACTATAATGGATTTTACAGCAAGACACCCCGAAGAAAACCGCTGATTTCAGAATAGAATCGCTGTCTTCGACTAGAATTTGCTTAATATCATGTCGATAAGAGAATGGATTCAAGGTTTTGTTTAGTGTCGAGTCGAAGTACAACCTTTTTGGAAGTGATGGTAGGGCAAACATTTGAAAAAGTGACTTGAAAAATTTGATACGAAAACACTGAAATCTGCGTTAGTCGAATCTTGGGCAGAAGAGGGCCAACGAAATATTGAATTTTAAATACTGTAGTTACATGGATCTAATAATTAATTTCATCTCTAATCACACTATAATACAAATTTTCTGTTATTATTATTACGTTATACAAAAAGCTCATAATGGGGTCATACACGATTTTTTTTTTATTATATTTTCTGAAAGTTTATATAAAAATATAGTTACCGTTATTTTTATTTTTAATATTTTCGAACAAAGTCATTGTTAAAAAAATTATTGAAAATTAATATACCCATTTGCGCTTTTAAAATTCCCGCGTTGATGACGTACGATTCTCACTTTTGCGTCCCCTGCTCCCCGCTCAAATGCGAGAAAGAGATGAACGTCATTTAGGTTGTATTGAAAAGAGATAGAGTATTTGTAGGTTATGTTTATTATGTTTTGTTCATGGATGTAATAGAGACACTCTATTACATCCATGGTTTTATTTTGAACTGTCACACCGCAAGCGCTATCTAACGGACAATTTAACTTGTTTTAGGCAGTGCGGTTCCTACGTCACAGAAAAGCCGCGAAATTATTTCGTTTGAATATTTGCTATTTTTCACTTCAAATTACGTAAATTATAAAATTGATCAAAATATTTCTTTTACTTTGCGTTCATGCATATACTTGCATATATCGTTTGACATAAAAATTTTCTCTAAATTTAATAAGTGTGTATGACCCCATTCAATGGTATGTAAACTTTTCTCCGCCACTGTATANTCTAATCACACTATAATACAAATTTTCTGTTATTATTATTACGTTATACAAAAAGCTCATAATTCAATGGTATGTAAACTTTTCTCCGCCACTGTATAGAACTACACTACATTAAAATTTTGTACATAATGTTCGCATTACGTCATTCTTTATAGATAGAATGGATTCGTCATAAAGATCAATTAGTTGTATAAAAGTTTTTTTTTCGTTCATTTAAACGTTATTTGGTGACCTCTCCTGACCTACATACATAGAAAAATGTCATGTAGAAAAAGTATAACTTTGCTGGCAAGTAAAAAATTCTATTTCTTTTAAAATGAGAGAGATTTGTTTATATTCTAACTGTCGACTTGACTATTTTAAAAGTACGTGATTATATGAAAGAATGCATTGTGTATGTATCTGCATAATATGCGTCCGGAAATGTCTAATTTTCATGTAAATTGTTAGAATTCGTTGTGTGGCGGTTTTAAATTGAGAGTACTATTGTGTGTGTAATTACAGTACGGCATATTATTGCATTAATAATGATTTAATTGGATTAGAGGGTGAAACGTGCTTAATTAATAAAAATTTAAATTGATTTTATTACCTGCAATTAGCAGGTTATAATGAAACATTACGTAAAAAACAGCAAAGAAATTAAATTAATTAAAATAAAACGTTTTCTAAAGTGTTACAGGTTTTACAAGGATTTATGGAGATAGATGTTTTTCTATGGATTCTTATTTTTTTTTAATTCTTGCTGATTTTTTTTGGTTTCCCCAACATTTTTTTAAAATAATATAGATTTTTTCAAGATTTTTATTGAATCAAAACAATTTGTAGTTTAAGATTTTAAAAATTTCTTCCACATTATTTATTATTCCAAATGGTAGACAACCAATTTCAAAAATACGTTAATTGGGTTGCATACTTCTTTTGGTTAAATTTTTAAATTGATTTTTTTTAATATTACACGTGTATTTCAACCAATTTTATTCAAATTTGATATACAAATATATATAGTTTTTTGGCATGAAAAGACGATTATGGAGTCCGTTTCACCGGTTTTACTATAGCCGGTAGAGTGCGATCTGTAACGTATTCTTTATGGATTAAAATAACCACAAGTTTTATGAGAGTATACTTTTTGACTTTTTGCATAGAAACTTTATAAAATAAAGTTTATTTTTTCTAACCAAGAGTTAACGGATATTCATTTTGTTTATGGGTTTGTAAACGGAAACTCAGCAGAAGCAGTACAGGAAAAGATATCCAAATAGAAGACATCAGCATTCTTCTGGGTTTGTGAAAGTGCATAGACAAATAGTTGAACAAGGGATAAATAATGATCGGGTAGATCGTAATAATGTTAGACTGCAAAGAAACTTTAGGAGATGAATTTTGCGTTCGACAAAGACCCGAGTAAGAGTGTTAGAAGACTTTTAAAACATAATCATAGACATGCTTATCATTTACAGCCCGTGCAAGGATTGCAAATTGCAAACAAGCGATGAAGCTAATGCAGCAGCCAACAATCGAGATTTCTTAAATAATGCAATGTGGACCGATGAATCATGATTTACAACACGTGGAATTATTAACTTTCATAATTTACATGTTTGGGCGCATGCAAATCCCCATGCGATTCGGCCACGAAACTTCTGACATGAATTTAGTGTCAACGTCTGGGTAGTTGTTTATAATAATCATCTTTTCTGGTCTTATTTTTTGCCACCACGACTAACCACTGCGGCGTTGTAACAATTTTTGGAAGCGCAACATGCTAATATGTGGGATGACATTGATTTAGCTTTAAGAAAAAGGTTTGCTTTCAAAATGATGGTTGTCCAGCTCTTCATGGTCGGGTGGTAAGAAATTGGTTAGATTTTCCTGCAAAGATGGATTGGTCGTGATGAACCAGTCACATGGCCCCCACGATCTGTTGTGATCTGTTGCACGTCTCTCAAGACGGCTAAAATCCGAAAGATTGTAATTCTAGGTCTTGTGTTAGTTCTAGTGATTGTGTAAAACTAGAACTAACACAAGACCTTGAACTAGAAAGTATCGGGTTTAGCCGTGCGTCTTCAGACCGAGATTCGTTATATCGAGGTTTTACTGCAATGTCAAATTATATTGATATGTTGCATTTTATATGGGACAAAATAAGTAGGTACGCCCTGGTTTCTATGGAAATATATTTTTGTATTCTTGTATTCTTTCTATCTCATTTAGTTTTTGAATCATAACCTGTTATATTGTTAGAAACGCAAAATCAGAACATTTTTAATCTTCGCTTGGGTTGAGTTCGCTAAATTACTCGATGGGTTATAATTGTATACTGAAACTGTTTTCTGGATCAACATGGAACGTTTTTGATTCAAAAGGTTTCCTGCCATCACTTTTAATTTTTGAGTTATAACCTGTTATATTGTTAGAAATGTAAAACCACAGAATTTTTAACTTTGGGTTGGCTTGTGTTTGCAAAATTACTCGATGGGTTATAATTGTGTACTGAAACTGTTATTTGGGTCAATACGAAACGTTTTTGATTCGGGAAAAAGTTTCTTTCTATCTTTTATAGTTTTTGAGTCATAACCTGTTATATTGTTAGAAACATAAAATTGCAAAATTTTTTATTTTGGGTTAGGTTGGGTTCGCTAAATGACTCATTGAGTTACAATCGTGAATTAAAACTTATTAATTAGATTAATTAAGAATATTTTTAACATCTCATCCCCTTTAACGATGTATTAACCTCAATATTTTTATTATCCATCTTTCGTAAAATTCACTGTAATAATAATAATTAATATTTGATGCCAATACTTTAATTAATATTTTCTAAAATAACAAAAACATTTAGGCAACGCATATCAAGCCCGTGTGAGTTGTGTTGCATACGTTGACGATAGTTAACGTACATTAAAAATTCATGCAATCACAAATGTCTTTAGATTTATCAAATCTATTTAATTAATTTTGTTAATCTTTAACTTAATACTTTTTTAATATGAATTTGTAATTTAGTTGTAATTAATATTATCATTATATGTATTATAATCAGTCAATAAATATTCAAATTTTATTATTATTTGTTGTAAAACACTGCCATCTAGTTTAGAATGAACGTAGTATTAACCCCCCACTATTTATATTCTAAAGTAGAGCAAGACCGTTAAAGATGTCTCCATAAATCAACCCCAAACAGCTTTTATTCAAACGATTCAAACTAATTAAAGATAACATTTCAATGTGACAATTTAATGACCTATTATTCCCTTTTAATGACAAGAAGATCGAAACATATTTAAAAGAGGATAATTAAATTTTAATTATCATAAAATCGCTGAATATTAAAACGTTATAGTAAAAACGTAATATTTTCGCAAAAACTTTTTATAGCAAGGCTTATTTTTAAAAATGACTCATTTTTTGTAGTTAAAAACCTAATTTGATGAAATTCAAAATTTTTTCCACACATTATACAGTCGACCCTGCAAATATTCGCCTTGATTGAGAATGTAACGCAACCGAATGTACACAAACGGTCGACTGTGTTACGCGTGTGATTTCCTATTGGATATTTTAGACGTAGTTCCTTCCTCGAAGTAAATATGTCGAGTAAAGGTGAAAATAACAAAGATCCGCCAGCGGAGGTACGTATCCTTAAATATTCCATCATTCGATTATCGCGAAATAAGGGCGCAACGTTTTTATTTGTCGTCGGGGCCCCATCGGCTTCGTTTTGATTAAAAACATCGTCCAACGATGCGCGAGTCTCAATAGCGGTATGGCGTCTGTTTGTTTCAAAAGCGGGAAAACGGGTTTTCTTAATTTCCGAATCAATTTCAACGTTTTCCCTAATCATTTTCACCACGAGGTTGCCCCAAAACTATATCGCAATCACTTTTCGAGGCTATGTAAAAAAAAGATAAAATGGCGGGAAACTTAATATTATCTCATATTATCTTAACACATTAATTTAACTAAAATTAAAACTCACTTTATTATTATATTTTACGTCAATTAAATAATAAAAACTATAGCAACTACTACAATGTTTTTTTCTTAAAATTTCTTTTAGAATAATGACAAAGATGCCGAAAAAAGCGAGGTTAAAAATGATCAAACTGATGATGCTACAACTAAAGAAAACGACGAAAAGGTAAATGAACCCATGGAGACTGATGTTAAGAATGGTTCATCTGTTAAAGATGAACTGGGAGATGCTAATAAGAGCTCGGAGGATGATAAAGATGGATCGATTGATGAAGCAAAACCTAAAAGCGAATTAAGTGAAGAAGAAGAGGTGGATGAAGAGGAGGAAGAGGATGGGGAAGAAGAAGAAGATGATGATGCCTCAATTGAATCTGAGAAAAAAGATAAAAAGAACGCGAAAAAGCCCACAGAGTCAACTAAATCCGAAAGAAAAAGGGGTGGAAAGAAAGACGAAGATACCTCTTCTAACGATACTAAAGAAACAAAAATAGAAACACCAGAAGGACCAGGAACTCCTTTAGGGGAAATCCCTCGCGTCGATGCCTCTATATCTCGATTTAAAAACGACGATTTAAAATTACTCCACCAACTAATTTACGATTTACCCGGAAAGGCAACAGTTTTGAAAAAAAATATAAAAAAATTTAATGGTTTCGCTTTGGCTAAAGGCAGCGACGAATACAACAAAAAAATCGCTAACGTTCAAACGTTCGAAGTGAAACAGCTAAAAAGCATTTGTGAAATGCTCGATATGGAGAAAAAGGGCTCGAAAGATGAAATAGCCCAAAGAATCGTCGAATTCTTAAATCATCCGAAAGATACCGGTAAAATCGATGGTGGTGGGCGACCAAAACGAACGGCTGCTGTTAGAGCTAACAATAGGGGCTATTCGTCACACGATGATTCATATTCAAGTGATGAAAAACCGTCGAGAGGTCGACGAGATAAAGGAAAACGTTCGAATTTAAAAGATGAAAGTTCAAATGAAAGTGACGAAGATTTTCAACCGAGCGATGCTAGTGAAGAAAAAGCTAAACCGAAACAACGGAGACAATCCGCCAGGCGGCGGCAGCAATCTGAGGAATTAAGCGATGCCGAAGAGGACAGTTTAGGAAGTTCAGAAGAATCGAATGTAAGATTAATTGATTTAATTAAAATTGAATTATTTCAATTCAAATTTGTTTTGTTTAGCCCGAAGAAAAGGTGAAAAAGAGAAAAGTAGCAAATAATAGGGGGAAAGGGAATGTCGGAAGAGGTCGAGGACGTAAACCAGCTCAAAATAACACAACACCCGGTCCTAAGAAGCGACCAGGAAGAGGGAGAGGGAAAAAAGTTAGTTCTGAATCAGACGATGGGGATTCTTCCGAAAATGAACCACTTATTAAAAAGGCTAAAAATCAAGATCCGCCTACGGTAAAGTTCTTTATGATTTTATTTAATCCCAAGGTATTCTTATAAAAGATCAATTTTTTAATATCAATCCTCAAATTTGACACACTGTTCATTTTCTGTTTAAACTATTTTGAAAATGGTTGATTGCAACGTTGGTATAGTTAAATTATGAAAATTTAAAAAAAAAACGATGAATTATATTTTTTTTATTCAATTTTGATGCTAAATGTTTCAAAATTTAAGAGATTTCTTCTTCAGGCACAACGACTTAAAAGTACAAAACATATATTTTTAAGTGAGAATAAAACTTTCATAAAATGACTTAAAAAATTATAACAAAAAAGGTAAAAAGTTAATGTTTACTGTCAATTGGACGCGTTATGCATCACTTGACTAAGCGACAAATGAATAATGTTGAAAAAACGGGATTTTCGTTTTCATCTCTCTAAAAATATAAGACTTTTCAGAATAGACAGGCTCAAACTATTGAAAATGGTCACTCGTTACGTTTTACGATTATACAGGTTGTTTCTATAAGTCGTGGCATACATTTATGCCACGACTTATAGAATCACTTAAGATCACTAAAACTATAACATCTCTCATCTTATCCATTTTACAAACAAGTTTCTTAATATTTTTTTTTGTTTTGTTCAAAAAAGATCACATATCAAATTCAAAATCAGATTATTAGTTTCTAATTTACAAAATTAAAGTGTAAAAAGTTGTAAAATGAAATTAAGGACGAAGTGTTACAAGTTTACAAATTAAAATTTAAGAACGCTCTTTTTTAACAAAAGAAATATTAAAAAACTTGGGAAATATTCAAGAATCATCATGAGGCTTAAAAATCGTCGATTTTTTTAAATCAATGTAAAATGACACAAAAAAAACGTTAAAAAGAAAATGCGGAAAAGTGACTAATACTAGATTAACTTCTATTATATGATAACTAACTTCAGGTTTAAAATGTCAACCTCAATTTTGATATATTTGTAATCTTCATTAAAAATCCTTTAAGATGAGTACAAACACGACATATTTATCTTCAATATTAATAAAGTTATGGCCAACTTCCGGTTAAGAATGTCAACGTAAATTTTGACATATTTGTAATCGTCGTGAAAAATCCTTTAAAATTAGTCCAAACATGATACGTTTAATTCCGATTAAGATATAAGCAACTTCCGGTTTGAAATGTCAGTGTCATTTTGACATATTCTTAATTTTTATAAACTGTCTTAATATTTGTCACAAAAACAAAAATATAATAAAAAAAATAAAAAAATTAAGGTTGGTATTAATAGAGAGGTGGAAGTACTGGCTTTCGATAAATATATTCTTATCTTCGTCAGGGTACGCTACAAAGTGATAAAGGGAACGTTACATGTAATTCTAACTACATTTCAAGACTTACATTTAGAGGTTAAAATGTAAAAACTGTTACATTAGTACATTGATGTTGAATAGAAAGTCCCCAAAAAGACATCTATAAAGAGGGAAGATGATATCCAGACCAAAAAACACTAATTAAATTAACGATAACGTGGTTAACCACCAACGCGATCAACCGTCAATAAAAGGCGCGAAACCGATCGTTGGTATTAATATTTAAAAATTAAATTGAGATTTTCATTGTTACTAACTTAGGGTTTAATGTTTTTTATCTACAATCACCTTATAATTGAAGATTTATCCACACTTATGAACCATATAAAGTACCACTTTATCCACTAGTGGAATAATGAAAAATACAATCTTAAATAAATCACATCCTATTTATTATGTATATTAACATTTATATTAATAGACATTTCATTCTTTGATTTGTCATATTTTACGTAATTGTCATCGTTTAGTCATTTAGAAGTCTTGGTTGAAAGTATAAATAGGGTCAAAACGTTCCCAATTATGAGTTAAACATATTCCCCAAATTTCATTTTCCAAGCGTTTATGGTTTTAGAAAAAAAAAAATTAAACCAACATTTTTCGCCATTTTTGAAGGGGTGTAGCTCCTTAGGGGAGCCGAAGTCGCCCATGGTTTATACAGGGGGTGATTCAAAAAACCGCTGACAGACTTCTAGAGTAGATAATACAAGAAAAATTAAGATGAATAGTCTTAATGTACATGGGGTCGGAAATGCCTCGTTGGCGAGATATGAAAAGCACTTTTTTAAAAATATTGTCTACGCCATTGCTCTCTACGCGTGTAAAGTGGTCCATTTTCTATCAATTAGTCTCTTACACAACTTTGGTCAAAGCAATAGTTTTTAAGAAAAACACGTTTGTAGAAAATTTGTTAATTCAATCAAAAACTGTTGCTTTAATCAAAGTTTTGTAAGAGAGCAATTGATAGATAATTGATCACTTTACACGAAAATACTGCCCGTTTGACAAAATTAGCAGTGGAATTGAAAATATTTTTAAAAAAGGGCTTTTTATTGCAGATAATGTTTAATTTTAAAGAAACTTTGACCCGCTATATCTCGTTAAGGAGGCATTTGCGACCCCATGTATATTAAGACTTTTCATCTTAATTTTTGATATATTACCTGCCCTAGAAGTCTGTCAGCGGTTTTTTGAATCATCCTGTATATTAAAGTACACTTAAAATTCAGTAAAGAAAGCACTTATTGCCGTTTTATAATCTTTTATAGCATTATGCAGGACTGTTGAATTGTGTGCAAAAATATCATAGTATAACTTCAAGGCTTGCGAATTGTTTCCTCTCTTTATCATTTCTTTAGAGCGTCCAAATACACGATCAGGTGGCATTGTTGTACAAGTTAATTGTGATTTTCATAACAAAAACTATAACGTGTATGTCTGTCTGAACAAAGTACGTTGTTTTAAACAATAATAAAAAATTGCTACTCTTGCTTAATAATAGTCAAAAATTATTAGTTAAACATTGCGGCACATAGCGCTACATGACACGATACTTTATTTTTTTACGCAAAAACTATTAACTTTAAGGAAAAAATTAAAGAGACAAAAAAGTAGCACTAAAGAATGAGCTTTAAAACTCATGCTGAAATTGAAAAACGATGATACAATTCATCGTTTTTGTTTTAATTTTCATAATTTATCTATAAATCTAAAACTCGTTTTAACCATTTATTTTTAAGGATGAAGAAATCAAAACATACGTAAAAGGTATATTGGAAGGTGCTAATTTGGAAGAAATAACAATGAAAACTGTGTGCAAACAAGTATACGCACATTATCCTAATTTTGATTTAACACATAAGAAGGATTATATAAAAACCACTGTAAAATCAGTAAGTTTTTAAATACACAATAAAACCTCGATATAACGGAAATATAGGAAATACTAGATCTTAAACTAAAGAACATTTAGGTGTAGCCATCTTAAGAGACGTTTGGGGATTATCCTGAGGTTATTTAAGAACATGGGAAATAATCATTTGAGTTGGGTTCTATCTATGAGCGCTAACATTTATATTTAAATATACTGATGTATTAAATAGATAATGTTAATAGTTTCACATAAAGATATGTTGTCCCATTATATCCAAAGTCCATTATATTGAGGTTTTATTTGAGGTATTTTAAAAATACAGATCATTATATGTCTTTTTTTTATTTCAGTTGATATCAACGTGAATGAAAAAAAAAACCGATCCATAACATTATCCCGTTTTTTCTTCTCAAAATGAATTAAAAAATCATGCAAGTACAAAGCAAAATTGTTAAAGGAATTTTTTGTCCTGTATCATTTCCATTATACTTTACCTATTATTAATTTTCAAATAATATGATGAATAAATGATATTTATGTTAAAAAGCAATTACAGTTATTGATAAAATAAAATTAAAAAAATAAAAAAAAAACAGGAGTATGTATGTATACAATATAAATGATTTTTAGAAATACACGCTGAATTTTTAGTAATGCGCAAAACCAGCTCTAGCTTAAAAGATACAAATAAAACTTGTTTTCTATTTTGTGGTCTTTATTATTAAGTTTTATTATTAATTTTTTTCTGAAAGGAGGGGAAATAAATAAGATGTTTTACAATTACATATTTCCTTATTTATTATGGTCATAAGTGCCAATCATAAACCAGTTGTAAAAAAAAAATTTATAAACTATTTCTTTACTTGTCCTCTTCAGAATTTTCACCGTTTTCTGCATTTTCACCTTCACTAAACACCTGGCCTTCTTCATCATCTTCATTATCATCATCACCAGCTACTTCAGCATTTTCTGCTTCAGCTCTTTCCATTTGCTTCATTAATTCTGCTTCATCAGTAGCAGTAACAACTTTAGGCTAAAAATACAATTATAAAAAAGTCGTTCAATTAATTATTATGATTACTTACAGGTGTTTGTACATTAAATACACCACCATATTCGCCTATTTTTACTCTAATTACTTCAATAGCATCTGTTAATATTTTTAAACCATCCTGTTTTTCAGGTGTAGATGTTGTCATAACTGATAAAAAAAATTAATGAGATGAGATTTATCATTTAAACTGAGTTCTTTACCATATCGAGGTGGAGCAATCAAATTAATTTTGATTGGTAGCTCTTCAGTAGACAATCCTAAACCAGCTGTTAAAGCAGCTTTAACAGCATCAATACCTTCATAACCATAACATGCACATTCAATATCAGCACGGATTTTAACAGCTTGAGATGTTAACTTCCTTTTAACTTGACTTAGCAAAACATCTTTTGTTGTTTCATCTAAACCACATTCAGCCAAAATACTAGGATCACTAAAAATAAAATTATTAACTACATCCAACATAACCTTAATCGTCCTAATCATGAACATACACTACTGCTTGTTTAAATGCATCATAAGCACTAGCTTTTTTCTTATATTTTTCTTCGAAATACCACGCAGTTTTTTGATATAACTCTTCAAGTTGTTCGTCAGTTTCATATTTAAGCAATTCAGCAACGTGTCTAAGTATCGAGTTAACAGCTTTAGCTTTAGCAAATCTTTCGGTACATTTTTCAACATCTTCCCCGCTAACACGACGTTTTGATAAATCAATATACCCTTTTTGTTTATCTACACGAATAACAACAACAGGCTCCGTTTTTCCGACCCTAATCAATTTATTAATCGAACGAATACGTCTTCTCGATAACTCGGAAAGTAAAATCATGCCTTCTATGTCATTGTATTCTAGAAGATGCACATATGCACCCATTTCCGCTATGGAACGGACGTTTACCATTACTACATCTTCCACTTCCGGATACTTTTCTTTATAAAATCTACAGGATAACGGCATTGCCACCTGGTTTAAGGGAACAGATTTGAGGTTAACAAGACGTAAAACTTATTTCTTCGCGTATTTAAAAGAACTTACGTAGTATTTTGTATGTGGTGGTTAATTTTTAATGATATTCTTAACTCCAAGTAAAAAGTTTCCTATAAAAACGGAGTTTTAATGACTATTTTTATAAAAATGGGTCTGAACCTGACAGTACCGCATTGACAGAGGTTTGTTTCGGAGGTTAGTTCTTATGTCAACCACCAAATAAATTTAAAATCTTAAAATTAATTCAAGAATTCTTATATTATTAATTATATTTCATGATATGGACTTATTATATACATATCTATGTACATGGAAGAAGTTGTAACTTTAAAGTTTTAGTTTATCTAGGAATATTTTACTTAATCTAGTTACTTAATTATTTGACAGTTTATAACGTCGGACCTGTGAAAGCGTCCATTTTGACCAAAGCCGCAAACGAAGCTTCTGGTTCAGCGCTGACCAATTTCAAATAAACGTATTAAATTGGTTAACTCGACCGGAAAACCAATAAAATCATGGTATGTTTAACCTTATTGCTCATTTTAACAATAAACTCAAACACTTTATAGTAAACATAACCAAAAAATACACCACGTGTTTTTACGCTTTTTATTAAAAATTTTTCTATTAAAAATTAATTTTTTCAGGCTACAATGAAGGATAACCCCGAAAAACCAACGCAAGATGCGTCCCCCATCCATCGTATCAGAATTACATTAACATCCCGCAATGTACGCTCATTAGAAAAGGTGTGTTATGACCTTATCAATGGGGCGAAGAAGCAAAAGTTGCGCGTTAAGGGACCAATTCGTATGCCAACCAAAACGTTACGTATCACCACACGTAAAACACCTTGTGGTGAAGGTTCTAAGACTTGGGACAGATTCCAAATGAGGATTCACAAACGTGTTATCGATCTTCATTCCCCATCTGAAATTGTTAAGCAAATTACTTCTATTTCTATTGAACCTGGCGTAGAAGTTGAAGTAACCATTGCAGACCCTTAAACTATGTTGATTATTTTAAGGTTTATATGTTTTCTTAATTAAATATTAAGAAGAAAAGTAAAATTTGTGTTTTTTTTTTGAGTTTCTAACCTATCAGATTAAATATTACCCTATATCAACACAATAATAATATATTATAAGCATTTTTGTGTGTTATTTATTTGTAATATAAACATTTTCGTGGGTTAACATGAAAATGTCACAATGACATTTTATGTGGGTTGCTGATATATAGATTTACAACAAACGTTTAAATTTATTTTAAATTATTAAGGAACAATCTATTTTAATTCATCTCTTTAAAAGATTATTATTATTAAAAAGATTAAAAGTTGTTTTTTTAAAATCATTTTTGTAGATATCTACATTATCAACCATTGTAAACCAAATTGCCTAACCTCAAAATGTCAATTTTGTTTGGATTGTGATTGATTGTTGTGTGGGGGTACTTTCTTTAACAACTTTTCCTTATTTAAAGGAAAAAAAGTCGGACGGCAACGCTTCTATTAAAACCGTTGCCTCAAGGACACTTCTATAAATACTCTCTGTTAGTACTCCAAATTTTTTTATTAAAAGAAGATTGTGTAGAATGTAGATTTTAATAATTTTAGGTAAAGAGAAAACTGAAAACAACTATGTGTGATGCTGGTTTAAGAGTATCATCTAATGATACAATTGAATCTCTTACAAGAGAAGCTGAAATGCTTAAAATCCGCCTTGAAGATGAACGACAAAAATTAAATGATGTTACTTGTAAAGTTTTTGTTATCTTAGTATTTTCTAAATAATTTTATTATATTTTTAGTATCTTCTGTCGCGGAACGATTAGAAATAATAAATTATATGAATATCAAACCTAGACGTACCTTAAAAGGTCATCAAGCTAAAGTTCTTTGTTCTGATTGGTCACCAGATAAAAGACACATGGTGTCTTCATCTCAGGTATCTATATCAACCACTTTTATGTTTATTTATTATGTTACTACAAAAATTTTTCACTTTTCATACGCCCTATTCATTCTTTTTTCATAAGCACCGCTTTAAAATTTGATTTATTTGTTTTGATTTATTAGTTGCTTGTGGTGAGCCCATTTAGGTAAACATATAATGTTCTATAGGATGGCAAGATGATAATATGGGACGCTTTCACTACTAACAAGGAGCATGCAGTCACTATGCTCACCACCTGGGTTATGGCGTGTGCTTATGCACCGTCTGGGAATTTGGTAGCATGCGGGTATATTTTGCACATCATCCAAATATCATTCATTTAAAAAAAACTAATAGAGAATTATTTTTATTCTTATTAGGGGGTTAGATAATAAAGTTACTGTATACCCATTGACTTTTGATGAGGATGTCACACAAAAAAAGAAAACAGTTGGGACTCATACAAGTTATATGAGTTGTTGTATTTTTCCCAATTCAGATCAACAGGTAGTTTAAAAAATTATTGAAACTAAATTTACCAAATTTAAGTGTTATGTATGATCAAATAGATTTTAACTGGTAGTGGCGATGCTACCTGTGCACTTTGGGATGTTGAATCTGGTCAAATGTTACAAAGTTTCCACGGACATACCTCTGATGTCATGTCTATTGATTTAGCCCCATCAGAAACAGGAAATACTTTCGTTTCAGGCGTAAATAATATATTTTATCCGATAATTATGTTCTATATTAAAATTAATTGTAGAGTTGTGATAAGTTAGTGTTAATTTGGGATATGCGTTCAGGACAGTGCGTCCAATCTTTTGAAAGTCACGAATCCGATGTGAATAGCGTTAAATTCCATCCAAGTGGAGATGCTGTTGCGACCGGAAGTGATGACGCAACAGTAAATTTTTGATCCAAATTATTTTCCTTATAAAATTTGATTTTTTAGTGTCGCCTTTTTGATTTGAGAGCAGATAAAGAAGTGGCTACGTATAGTAAAGATAGTATAATGTTTGGGGTAAATTCAGTCGATTTTTCTGTTTCAGGTAAAAAATAAAAAAAATGATTTTATCTTATATTGTTAATTATATGTTTTATTAAATATTAAATAGGTCGATTATTGTTCGCTGGTTATAATGATTACACTGTAAACGTTTGGGATACTTTAAAATGTGCCAGAGTTTGTTTATTGTATGGACATGAGAATAGAGTATCTTGTTTGCAAGTGTCGCCTGATGGGACTGCTTTGTCAACAGGATCTTGGGATACCACATTGAGAGTATGATAAAAGAATATTTTTAGTTTTTAGAGTGGTAAATTACAATTTGTTTTAGATTTGGGCATAAATTATTAAACATAATTGAGTATTAATTAGATAATTTAAGAAAATTTTACTTAAATAGACTTAGCGCAAAATGTATTCGAAAAATAGAACTGAAAACAATGAAATCTATTTATTGTTTGAAAATTAAATAATAAGTAATTAAGAAAAAAGTAAAATGTAGCTGTGGAAAAAATCATCATGTCTAACTAAAGAATGAGAAAATATTATAGATAATAATGTAGAGTATTATAAAATTATAATAATATATATTGAAGTTAATGTATTATTTATTAAATGTTAAGATGTAAAGGCGTTAAGAAATAAATGTATGTACATTAATGAAATATAAAATGAAACTTTCGCATTTGAAATTGTTCTTGAAATCTGGCGTTCTCTCTGGCTCTCCATTCCTCACTTATTCCTCAAAGCCGACATAGACACACGCTTAATGGCAAATATTTGTGTTTGCACCGGTTCAGACCAACTACAGCAAATACATATTTATAATAACTGTCCTAAGATATATGTTAGGTTGGTTGCCTAAGAGAATTCTTTAAGCTAGAATTATTTTATAATTAAATTTTTTGTAATTCTAAAATTGTAATACACATTATTTATTATTTTTGTTTAAAAATATGAGTCATATACTAAACAGCAATAATACAAATAGATTCAGTGTTTTTTCTTCCAAGACACAACTTTCCAGCTTGAGGAGAAAAAATTCTTCGCATAACTTCTTTAATTTCATTAACACTAAAAGGTGGTTGTCCATTATAAACCCTACTATAATCAGGATTTAATCCAGTAAATCGATGTTCACCATTAAACATACTTCCTGTATAATATAACCCACTTAAATCCCCCAAAGGATCACCGGTTCTTCGATTATCTAATCTAGCTAAAAATGCAAAATCTGCAATTTGCGCCACAGTTTCATAAGCATAATAAGCTAAGACATCAAATGAGTTTGTTGTAAAATTAACTTCTTTTTTGGGATCAATCCATTGACGAAGTTTTTCAAAGTTTCTAGTTTGGGACATTTCTTTGCTATTGAAAGAGGCACATCTCGCTTTTGCAAATTTTATATATTTTTGTTCATCCAAAGCCAATGAAATTCTATCGGCTCTTAATTGTCTTTGATGTTTCACCTCATCAAACTCATTAGTATCCATTAACTCCCCAAATTCATCCATTTTCTCAATAAATGTTAGTAAAGGAGGTTTTGGCTTATCAGTTAAATCAACAACATCAGAATCTAAATGCTTCTTCATGTCTTTGTGTTGAAGATATTTCACAAATCTTCGCATTTTTACTTTATTCTTTCGCATCAAAAACACCAAATGTTCACCTTTCAATGTATTATTTTCAGAATGTTTTAAACCTTCTTGAACTATTAATCTTAATTGACTTAACACTATACTTTCAACTAATCGTACTGTTTCCGGATTTGGTGTGTGACTATCACCAAAACCAAACATCATCAATGATATTTCATTATAATAGGATATCTTTTGCGAATCCATTTCTAAACTATATTATAGGGATGTTCGATCTACTAATCAGAAAATTGAGGAACATTTATAACAACTTCTTTTTATAATTTATAAATTCCACTGTAAAAACGAAGCCCTTTTCATGAAGTTATGTTTATAACTGTCGTAAGATATATGTTAGGTTGGTTGCCTAAAAGAATTCTTTAAGGTAGAATTATTGAACGATTATAATTAAATTTTTAGCCATTTTAAAGTTGTAATACACATTATTTGTAATGATTAGCAATAAATAGCTTTAATAGTAGTCTAGAAATATTATTTGCGTTTAAAAAGTCTATTTCTTAAGTAAAGTTGGTATTCGTTTCCAGTCTACCAACGTTGACATTAATTTCAAAAAGCTGTCAATAATATTAAAGTGAAATTTAACCTAACTTCTTTTTTAATTAAAAAGGCTAATTCCTATCAATAATTAGATAAAGATATATATATATATATATAAACTTGTTGAAAATAATTGTAGAATTCATATCTAAATGATGAAATATTTCAAAAAGAAATGGTAAAGATAAGAAGATAAGTACTATACTAATTTAATAGTTTATTAACACACATAAGTCAATATTTGTATAAATTCTTAAACAATTGTGCTAATTGCGACTTAATAATGCGCATGTCACGTTAACGTCACTTCGTACAGATGTAGAAGTTACGTAAATATAGAACGAGAACGGGAGAGAAACTTTTATATCGTGGTCCGCAATTTTATCGAACGCCATTTTGTGATCGAAGTTCAGTCACGAAACATCTTTTCTTATCATTCGTCGCGAACATAAATTTTTACTACTAAATTACATGTTTCGTGCTGAATAACACCGATTGATTATACCGTTGTTTAGGTGGTTCTTACAAGAATGGAACTCATTTCTGTATCGTTAATTTTCAGTTGTCTCCTAAACATCGCTTTTTCTGGTGAGTATATTTTTGAAAGGAATGTATTTTAATCATTCTTATTGTATGATGAGATTGATGAGGAAGGTGGATGAAAGAATGAGTCATCAGCGTGTTATTGATGATACAAAAGAAATCTTTGTTGTGGAAAGTTTTAAAATAAATAAAGAAAAAATCAATCATCTGACTAGTACTTTTAATTTAGTGTGAATTTGTTATAAATAATGTTATTTGTTTCAATAGTTTTGTTTATTTAAAGATAAGGAAGCAATTATTGCCTTTTTTATTACTTATTATTTTGAAACAAATTGAAATAACATTTTTAATCAAGAATTTTGTGTTTAAAAAGAATTTTTTTAATTATAAGTTTTTTTTTATGATGGACAAAGTAGGTTTATCTGGTTTAAAGTGGTTTGTAGTTATAAATAGATCTACAAGGAAACCTAAATCATTAATTTTTCTTGTAAAAAAAATATTTTCTTTATTCCCATTTTAATTTAGTTCTCATTACTTTTTTCCAGCTGATGTTAAAGTTGAAGTAATCGCTCCAGAGGAGATAGTAAAGTACAACTTGACAAAAGACTTGGTTTTACAATGTAATGTGAAAAACGGAAATGCCACTGCTCTCCAATTTGTTTGGTAATTAATTTTTATAAGTCTTAATGTTTTAAAGTATATGTTTTATTTAAATGTTTAAATTTTTTATTAGTAACTAGAAAATTTTAAACTCTTAAGATGAAAGTGTGAATAACTAGGTGATAAGGTGTGATAAGAAGATGAATTGTACTGTAATCCTATTTAATGCAATTAAATGTATGAGTGGTTACTGTACTACAAATCATGATGATGCTGCTATCTTTAAAAAACACTCAAGATATTATGGTCTATTGTGATGTAAGAATGTTTATTAAGTGACATGTGGAGTCTTGAAACGAACAAAAAATATAGTTTTTGATTAATTTATATGTTTATTATGGTTTAATTTAAAACTAAAAAGTAAATTGTTATGGAAATTATTAAGATTATGGAAGATTTTCGCTCAAATAACATTTTATTTTGATTTTAATTAAAATCGAATATTTCTAAAATTAAATTGTGATAAATTCAGATATTGGTCTTTGGGTTAAAGATGATTTACTTGCAATTTCCCATGCATTTGTCCAATCTTTCCAGATAAATGTCGCAATTGTAATATGTTTTGGCATTGCAAAGTGCCCATATTTCCAGTACCAGTATTTGATGCTTCATAAGATTCTTGACAATTTGCAGCAAACATATCAGATACTTCCCATATAAGTGCTAATATATCTGTTTTTTTTTCTATCTTTCTGGGTTTCCATATTGTTAAATCTAATGAACCTCACAATATCTTTTATATAGGGGGAGCATATGAAAATCATTCAACATTACCTGTCTAACTTCTAAATCATCAACTGCATGCTACACCATGCTTTTTTAGATCCGCTATCAACAGCGGTGCTTTGCTAAGTGAGGTTAAAGGAAAAAATTAATGTTTTTTAAACTGTTCTATTTGGAAACATGAAACTTTTTGAAGTTATAAAGGGCCGTTTGAGGTTAGGTTGTACCAAATTTGTAGTTTCCAAAGTGAAGGATTCATGTTATATACATTTTATAAAGTTGCCAATATAAATTGATGTTTGCTGAAAATGAGGTTAAAGAAAAAAATGGTTTTCTCCAGTTTTTAAGGTTATAAAGGAACGTTTGAGGTTAGGTTGTAACAAATTTGTAGTTTTAAAAGAGAACCGCAACCCAACCCAAACCGCAACTCAACCTAAACCGCAACCCAACCCAGATCGCAATCCAAACCGCTTTTTTTATAAAGTTACCGATAGAAATTGATGTTTCCTGAAAGTGAGGTTAAAGAAATAAATTGGTTACTCCAGTTTTTGAGGTTATAAAGGAACGTTTGAGGTTAGGTTGTACCAAATTTGTAGATTCCAAAGTGAAACGTAACCCAACCGAAATTGCAACCCAACCCAAATCGCAAATCAAACCGTTATGTTATAAAGTTGCCGATATAAATTGATGTTTGCTTAAAGTGAGGTTAAAGAAATTTTTTTCTCCTGTTTTTAAGGTTAGGTTATACCAAATTTTAAACATTTATTACCGCTCCTTATTTATTTCCCCATTTTTCGTATTTAGTAATAATTAGCCATATTACCTTCCAAAATATTCAGTAACCTTACCCTTTCTTTTAGGAAAAAAGATGATAAAGACGTCGTAGATACATTAAAAGATCGTGCAACATATTCATCAAACGATAATAACGTAACATTAACAATTTCTAAAGCAACTGATGACGACGCAGGAAACTATACTTGTATTAGCAAAGATGGCGATTCTGCAACAATTCGTGCAGCTAGTAAATATAAAAATCAATCCCATTCGACGTAAGCATTCTATTTTTTTTTTGTTTTTAGCCACAATTCAAGTCAATACCCCTGAAAATGTTAATGTAGTTGAAGGAGAAAAACTTCGAATTGTTTGTGCTGTTGTTGGAAAACCTGTGCCAGAAATTTCTTGGAGTGTTGGTAATGTTTGCAATTAAAATGTATTAAAACCATGTTTTAATCTTAATAATTTAATTACAGGTGAAATTAATTATTCCTCATCCTCCGGTCACGTTACATTATTACCTGATCCAGAAAAAAATATCACCAATGCTGTCTTGTTAATTGATAATGTCAATATTACTCATAAAGGCCCCTATAAATGTATTGGACGTTCGTTGATTACAAATGAAACTGTATTTGATGAGGCCATGGTTAGAGTTAAGGACAAATATGCCGCACTTTGGCCTTTCTTAGGAATTTGTTTAGAAGTCTTTGTTCTTTGCGCGATTATTCTTATCTATGAAAAGAAAAGGAATAAAACTGAATTAGAAGAAAGTGATACCGATCAAAGTCCCGATCAGTAAGTAAACAAAGCAAATTTTAAAAATATCTTTGTATATTTTTATTTATAGGAAAAACACACCAGATCATGGAAAGGATTCTAATTTAAGACATAGACAGTAAACAAAATCTAAAAATTTGGAAATAAAATAATATTAATACTAAATTTATGTTTAAAAAACCTTTCCATTAACGTAAATATACGTGTTTATTGTAGGGGCTGTTAATTAAATAACTATTATTGTTAACTGTTTTGCTTAGTGTGCTATGATACAAACCAAGATTAAAAAATTCAAAAAAATTATTGTATATATGTGCAGAAATATTTTTGTTATGTAAATACATCTATTCTAAGTTTTTTAATTAAGGTAATTTATGATAATTTAATGGAAACAGTTCTAACTCTAAATGAACGTGAAATATTCATACTAAATTCATTTTAAGATAAATAGAATGTAAATTAAATTAACTAAATTAGCTGGTTAACCTATAAAATAAATGTTTATATAATATCTATTACGAGATTAAGTACTTAAGGGTACTAGTATTAAACAATCGTTTAGCGTTTCAATTAGGCACAAGTAATCGTTTATGTGTGATTTACAAATTTAATATACCATTATTCCTGTTCATTTTTTGGTTTTAAACATTTGGAAATTAATAAAAACATTCTTTTTTTTCTATAAAATGAAAGATATTTTCTTGTAATAAATTTTATCCTTAATAATAAACACTTGGCCAAGATTTCAAACAAAAAATACCGCGCGTGTCAGTATCCGCTAAGAAAAACTGAAAAAGATGATGGGTGTGCCCTATAACTCTTGACATAAATAAGTCTTGAAAAAAAGCAAGAGCTTACCAGAAGAGTATGTAAAATCAATGTTTACTATGACTGCGACTCACCGAAAGTTATCGAAATTTGTTCCAGTTATTAAGAAAAGTAGCTACTAGCTGAATCATTATTTGAATGATATAGTCGCATTGTCTCACCCAGTAGTTCAATGTGGAAGAGAATATTACGAAAACATAAATATATTTCTTTCACATAAAGATATGAAGAACCTCCTTTACTAACTGTTATTGAGAAAATGGATGAGTTTGGGGAGCTAATGGCTATTAATGAGTTTGACGAGGTGAAGCATCAAAGGCAATTAAGAGCCGATAGAATTTCATAGGCTTTGGATGAACAAAAGTACTAATAAGCTGTTGACGTCTTAGCTTATATCTTAGATGATTATATTTATAGATATATGTATATCTATAAACAAGGCTTATATGTTTATGAATCTGTGGCGCAAACGCAGATTTTGTGTTTTTTAGCTAGATTAGATAATCGAAGATCCAGTGATCCTTTGCGGGATTTAAGTGGGTTATATTATGCGGGTAGTATGTTTAATGGTGAACATCGATTTACTGGATTAAATCCCGATTATAATAGGGTTTATAATGGACAACCACCTTTTAGTGTTAACGAAATTAAAGAAGTTATGCGAAAAAATTTTTCTCCTCAAGCCAAGAAAAAACATTGAATCTACGTGTATTATTGCTGTTTAGTATGTTATTTATATCTCTAGCTATTTTATAATAAAATAAATAACGTTATTACAGAAGAAAAATGACATTTTTAAATTAATTCGATTTTAAAGCATTATGTTGGCATTACTGTAAATTTGACAACTTAAATTAACACAAACGGTCGCGCGAAAAATATTTCCATTCAGATATATAAATAATAAAGAATTGCGTTTAAAAAAAAGAATCTCAATGAGTGTAACATCGATAGAAACCACAGCCCCTAGGGAGGTGTCTGAAGACGATGAGGGATTTGATATGTGTGGTCCCCTACTCCTTACTAGTTTAGAGGTTAGGTTCAAATATTAATAACAACGAAAAGTTAACGTTTATATGTAGGGAAATGGAATTACAGCGGGGGATATCAAAAAATTAAAAGAAGCTGGCTATCATACTGTTGAATCAATTGCATATACCCCCAAAAAGAATTTGTTAACAATTAAAGGAATCTCAGACGGTAAAGCGGATAAAATAATTGCTGAAGCCGCTAAATTGGTTCCTATGGGATTCACTACAGCTACTAGTATTCATCAAAAACGATCAGAACTTATTCAAATAACCACAGGGTCAAAGGAATTAGACCGGTTATTAGGTGGTGGTATTGAAACTGGTTCTATTACAGAACTTTTTGGTGAATTTCGTACTGGAAAAACACAAATTTGCCATACATTGGCTGTTACTTGTCAGGTATATCTATATTCGTGCATACCATTGCAGTTTTATCAACATGATGTTAAAAATATGTATCTTTATTGTTAAATAAATAGCTGCCTACAGAACATAATGGTGGTGATGCTAAATGTTTATATATTGATACAGAAGGAACATTCCGCCCTGAACGTTTGTTAACAATTGCTGAAAGATATAAAATGTCCAAAGAAGAAGTTTTAAATAACGTCGCGTATGCTAGAGCTTTCAATACTGATCATCAAACTCAATTGTTAATACAAGCTTCTGCTATGATGACAGAATCAAGGTCAGGTTAAATCATTTTATTATTAAGTCAATTTGTTTTACATTGTATCATTGCAGATACTGCTTATTAGTCGTAGACAGTGCTACAGCTTTATATAGGACAGATTATTCTGGCAGAGGTGAATTATCAGCCCGACAAATGCATTTAGCAAGATTTTTAAGAATGTTATTACGTTTAGCAGATGAGGTAATATTTGTTTAAAAAAAAAAAATTTTATTAATTTATGTTGTTTTCTTTTTAGTTTGGTGTAGCGGTTGTGCTTACCAATCAAGTTGTTGCTCAAGTTGATGGAGGAAATGCTATGTTTAATGCAGATCCAAAAAAACCTATTGGAGGTAATATTATGGCTCATGCTTCCACAACAAGGTTATATTTAAGGAAAGGAAGAGGAGAAACGCGTGTTTGTAAAATATACGACTCCCCTTGTTTACCAGAAAGTGAAGCTATGTTTGCTATCACTGCTGATGGTATCAATGATGCCCAAGAGTAAATTGTTTGTTCTTTAATTATCCTATGATTTTTTTAAATTTAAGTGAAAATGTATTTTTTTGTAAGTTTTGTATAAAAATGTTAAGAGTTTATGTTCTTATTATTACCTAATTAATTTTTTTTAAGTAGGAATGAAAAAATTTTGATAAAATTCCTTTTCTATTAGCAGGTTGAATTATGGACAATTTATAAAAGACATTAATTTAATTTGTTTAAATGGTTTTTACTTTAGGCTGTAGTCTCAAGGTCACAAAGTTTCTGAATTTCTGAATCACTAAATTTTTACTGTGGCGTGGATCCACCAATTCAGGCAACCTATCAAAATAAAATTTTTTGACATGTGTCAAATGTTTGGAATATAGCCAATAACTTCGCCATTTGTGGTTTTAAAGAAAAATGTTTCAAATGCAAGTTATTTTATTAATCGTAGCACATTTTTTGGTGATATTTCCTTGTTTGTATTGTTTTTTGTTTCGTTGCTATGGCAACCAACATTGTTATTTTAAATGGGATACATATTTTTTACAGTTTAAAACTTATAACCTCACTTTTCAACGTGTTTTCAAATTTCATTTAACAAACTTTAATGTAAACAACGTTCCGATTCGAGAAAATGTATCACTTAAAATGTACACAACCCCTTTGCGACCGTTTTTATAAACTAATTACTAAATCAACTTTATTTCTCCGTCTCAACATCTAACCTCTTTTGACGGTAAATATACCTTGCGTTTTTTGAATGTACACCTCATAAATTAGAATTTTCATAATTTTTTAGTCGTGCCTAAGAAGAAGACCATATTGGTCGAAACAATTGTCGCACCGAAACAAATAAAATAAACAATCATCATCGTAAAACTTACTTTTATTTCGGGATACATATAGTTCGTTTTTTTTCTATAATACTTGTCAATGTAAATTTTTTAGGGTTTCTGTTGGTATTATCTAGGACCCTTATAAAATTTATGTTGTTTTCCTGATTTTTAGTAACATTTTCAATAATTAAATAATTGAGGTTAAAATACTAATAAATTTTTAGATAAATACGATTTATTGAAGTACATATTTATTGAAAAAGCGTTTTTTATGCACCTTTTCTTTTTTAATGACGAAAGCTCAAACGTCAGTGTGACATATCTATTTCAAAACATGATAAAACAAAACTCCCTGTTAATTTTGAGAACTTTACAACAATTTGACAGGTATTATAGAAAAAAAATGAACTATATGTTTTTTTGCATATAGTTCGTTTTTTTCTATATGTAAATTTTTTAGGGTTTCTGTTGGTATTATCTAGGACCTTTATAAAATTTATGTTATTTTCCTGATTTTTAGTAACATTTTCAGTAACTAAATAGTTGAGGTTAAAATACTAATAAATTTTTAGATATATACGATTTTAACGAAGTACATATTTATTGTAAAAACGTGCTAAAAAGTAATTAAATAGAACAAAACACCTTTTCTAGGTAAGTAAATGGCAAATAAACATCCCACAACATTTTTTATGCACCTTTTCTTTTATAATAACCAAGGAATAACGAAAGCTCAAACGTCAGTGTGACGTATCTATTTCAAAACATGATAAAACAAAATTCCTTGTTAATTTTGCGAACTTTACAACAATTTGACAGGTATTATAGAAAAAAAATGAACTATATGTTTTTTTGCATATAGTTCGTTTTTTTCTATATGTAAATTTTTTAGGGTTTCTGTTGGTATTATCTAGGACCTTTATAAAATTTATGTTATTTTCCTGATTTTTAGTAACATTTTCAGTAACTAAATAGTTGAGGTTAAAATACTAATAAATTTTTAGATATATACGATCTTAACGAAGTACATATTTATTGTAAAAACGTGCTAAATAGTATATTGTTTTATATGGAAGAGAAGCAGTGCTTTTTATGGCATGGTCTGTCGCTTAGCGACGAACGCAGTGAGTCGCTAATGACAGATGAGCCGTTAAAATTGTGGCGTGTCCGACAGTTTGCCGGACGAACGAAGTGAGTCCGGCAATGACGGACCAGCCACAAACGAATCTGCTTCTCTTCCGAATAAAACATAGTATTTTTTCTTCAAACGTTGCAAATAATACGGCGCTAAAGTGAAATGTTCTTCAACGTTATGGCGCTAAAGTGAAATTTACTTTAGCGCCATAACGCTGAAGTACTTTTTTGCTATGTTGATCTTAGCAACCGTCGTTATGCAACAATAACTTACTTCTACCGCGAGTAAACACGACAACAAAGTTGTCATTTAATGACGTTTGAAGAAAAAAGTAATTAAATAGAACAAAACACCTTTTATAGGTAAGTAAATGGCAAATAAACATCCCACAACATTTTTTATGCACCTTTTCTTTTATAATAACCAAGGAATAACGAAAGCTCAAACGTCAGTGTGACGTATCTATTTCAAAACATGATAAAACAAAATTCCTTGTTAATTTTGCCAACTTTACAACAATTTGACAGGTATTATAGAAGAAAAATGAACTACACTTTGATAGATAAATCCCTCTATGCGACGAACATATCAAATCATATGAGTATAAGAAAAAAGTGGAGAAAAAATGTGTTTTCTGAAAATATTAAATCAGTAAATTACAATCAAAGTAGGCGCCGAAATAACGCCGTTGACAGCTTTAAATGTCAAAAAAATGACAGTTTCAACAATTATGAAAAATTAATGCATTGGTATGGTGGTACATTTAATGTAGTTTCAACATTGGTGGCTGTCTTCGGCCGTCCACTTTTTGGTTTTTATCGCTTCCGGTGTTAAAGAATTTTTTTAATATTTTGGATACTATGATTGTATAATTTGTGTATCCAGGAAATTATTGTTGAACACTGTAAAAGCTTCACTTTGTAACTTCATCATTAAGATTTGGATTCTTCGTCGTTCACTTAATTGCGCCGTATTTGTTTAAACTGTTAATTTTTTGACATTTAAAGCTGCCAACGGCGTTATTTCGGCGCCTGCTTTGATTGTAATTTGTTGATTGATAATATTTTCAGAGAACGCATTTTTTTTCAATTTTTTTCTTATACATACCTTCTTGTACATTTTTGTACATACATTCTTGTAAAACCATATGATTTGATATCTATCAAAATATGCAAAAAAAAAAACATATGCATCCTATTTAAAATTACAATGTTGGTTGCCATAGCAACGAAACAAAAAAAAATGTAAACAAACAAATATCGCCAAAAAATGCTCCACGGTTGATAAAGAATTTTTTATTTGAAATATTTTTTTTGAAACCACAAACGGCGAAGTTATTAGCTTTGTTCCAACAAGCGGTCGGACTCGTCCGTTACTCGTCAAATGCAATCGCACATGTCAAGTAATGTCGTCACATTTCAGCGGATTTCATTGCATTATTTAACTGCGATCGCATTTGATGCGTCCACGACGAGTCAAACGACTGGTTGGAACAAAGCTAATATATTCCAGAGATTTGACACAGCTGTATAACGAACTACATGTAAATACAGGGCATTAAATCTTGTACCAAAGATGATTAGAGCAAAATTAATATTAAAAATGTTTAGGAATAAGACATTGAATTTACCTAGTTCCATGGCGGACATAATTATAATAAAAAATAAATAATCATAATTTAATTTGGTGTATACCTCACCGTGCGGCGGTAGAGTTCGTCTTTCTATACATTTTTTATTTGAAAGTTTTTTGGCTATATCAAATGGTAAACGCGTTCTTGTAGAATTAAATTTTCGGCCTTGAGATTACAGCCTTAAAAGTTAAAGTATGTTTTGAGTTACAAAACAATTATCAGCAATAAATTAAAAAAAACTTGTTGGATAACTTTTAAAGGTAAAATAAAAAAAGCAAATGTACAGATTAACAATATAGGTTTATTTCCAACAAAAAAATTGCATAAAAAACATAATCACCAAACAAATATAATGGACACAAAAAATGTATCATACAGCTTACATCTCCACTTATTTTTAATGATTTTTTATCAAATATAAAAGTAGAAAATATCTCAAATTCTTACAATTTAGCTTCAGTTTGAAGTAAAGGTCCCAATTTTTGGGCCAACATAACGTTTCCGGTTACCTTTAGTTTACCTTTCATGAATGCAGCTTGTGGGTTCAACTTTCCAGTAGCCATTTGTACGAAATCGGCATCAGAAACAGTTACAGTTGTTTGAACAGTTGTTCCAGCTTTAGCTGGACCTTCATAAACAATTGGTTTTTTCAAATCCATTGCTATAAAAAATATAAAATAATATAAAAAAAGGATATTAATCATTATTTAAACACTTACTCCATTGTTTAACAACTTTTCCATCTTTAGTGATGTTATACAAAAAGACACCATTAACACTTTTAGCTTTTTCGGGGGTTTCTTTAACTTTGTCAATGATGAATTGGAAGATTGCGTCACTTTCTAAACCAGCTCCAGACATTTTATTACCTCTAATTGATGGTTTTACTTCTTTAAGATCGACGTAAGCCCCTAAAATAAAAACATACATTTCAAAATTGAGGTTATGTTTCCAATAAGAGATTATTTAAAGATAAATATTCACATACAAGTTGAAGCAAGAAATGTAAACGCAAAATGGTTAAGTAACAACGGATTGGTGGCTTTATAATGGAAAACCAACTGAATTAAAAATGGGAGTGTTGATTAAAAGATGATTAAAAGTGATGACTGTGCATAACTAGATGGCGTTTAGTTCAAAGTTGAACCCGCCATTTTTAAATAATTCAAACCAAGGTCATTTAACCTTATTAAAAATTTTAATTCTCACCTGCAATACAAACTTGTCCCGTTTCAACGACGGAAGTTTCGAAATGAATTCGGTTTCCATCTCTCCACATTTCTACTTTAAGCGTTTGTCCCGGAAGTACAGGTTTAACAAATCTGCATTTAATTGCTTTTACTAAACTGGTATCGTAATTCGCGAAAGCACCCATAATTAATCTGGTCGAAATACCAAAACTGCACAATCCGTGTAAAATTGGTTTTTCATAACCTCCTAAAGCCGACAAATTGGGATCGATGTGAAGTGGGTTAAAATCACCGCTTAAACGGTAAAGAGCGGCTTGATCATCGCTGGTTTTGTATTGGAGAGATACATCAGGATTTCTCGTCGGTTTAGCCGCAGTTGGGACTAATTTTGTGCCGCTTCTTGGACCACCGAAATTTCCACTACCAACAGCGAAACTTGCAATTTGATTTTTGAAGAGGAGTTTTCCTTCTTCATCATAAGTATCAACTAGATCATATTAAAAAAAAGTAGTTATACAAATATTTGAAATCAAATACATTATTTACCTTGATAAACAATTAAAGCGCCTGATCCTTTATCTAAAACTTCGGAAATGCTTAATTTTGAATGAAGAGTTCCGCTTGATTTTAAATCTCCAACGATTTCTAAGTATTGTTCACCATGAAGGATACGTTCTAAAGAAATTTCTTTTCCAGGAACGGCAGAAGTTGTTAATCTTGACATGTAAAGGGCTGTTAAAGCTGGACATACGAAATAACCTGGGAGGGGGCCGAAGGATTCATGATTTTCATAAAGGAATTTCAATTCTTCTTCTGTTGTTACAGATGCTCCAACTAAAAAGTTAAAACAATTTAAATTACTTAATTATTCTCATTTATATGACTCTGTCTCCACCAGCTATAGTAATAAAGGTTGCTTGAGGCCAAGGATGTTATTTCAATTACCAAGGCCATAAGCTACCTGAATTCATAATAAAGAATTAAGAAAGTTTATTTCAATTTGATTAAGAAAAGATAATTATTAATAACAAAAATAAAAAATGTTAAATAAAAAAAAATATAATATAAACGTTTTCCATGACTTGCAACTTTTATATTTATAAATTATCTCAAAACCATCCAAGTAAACACCAAGTAGTGACCTTTTAAAACACAGTAACTGATAAACTCTTATAAAGGAGTCCCAAAGATAAGATTTGTAGCATTTGACAAGTCATTTATTTAATTTTTATTGATCAATTCTCTACTTACCTCCTAAAGCGTACAAAATCAAATCTTTCTCTTCATAAGTGAACGTTTCAGTTTCATCAGATGAACTGTCTTGAGAAGTAGATTTTGATCCAATTCCTTCACGTAACTTCTCTAACGAATTCATTAATTCCAAAGTACATTCTTGGATGTTACTCAAATGTTTAGCGCCACCCATTTCGACCACTTTACTCCAATTATCCCTAACATTTTCAATGGTAACACCAGCGCTCATGCTTCCTCTAAGAAGAGCTCCACTAGACCTGAATGTTTGAACTTTTCCAGCCCATCCAGCTGCCGAATCAATTACAGAACCGTTTTCAGTACAACTTTCGTGACATAAATAAGCCTATTAACAAAAAAATAAAAAGTAAAAAAGAATTTCCAAGCAAAGTGATTAAATTGATTAATTACCACAACTGGAGCAATTAATTCTGGTTTTAATTCATTATAAATATCTGGAGGAAGAATATCTTCAGTCAAACGACTTGCAGCAGTTGGAGCAATACAATTGCAATGAATGTTATTTCTAGAACCTTCAATAGCCAAAGTATTAGTCAAACCGATTAAACCGGCTTTAGCAGCGGAGTAATTAGCTTGGCCAAAATTGCCGTAAATTCCTGAATTTGATGTGGTATTAATAATTCTGCCATAGTTTTGTTTTTTGAAGATGGGGAAAGCAGCTTGACTTGTCTTGAAAGCCCCCTTTAAGTGAACAGCTTGGATAAGATCTGAAGAATTAATTAAAAAGTGATTTTTAGAATTTTTTTTAAATAAATTAAGGATTTACCCCAATCTTGGTCTGAAATTCTTGCAAAAGATTTATCTCTTAAGATACCAGCGTTGTTGATTAAGACATCAACACGTCCAAAATTATCCAAAGCAGTTTGAATAACTTTTTCTCCTTCTACAACTGAGTTGTAGTCAGCAACAGCGGTTCCACCTTAAAAAAATCGATATTTTTGAGTTTTAAAAACACTGAAACAACAATTTCTATTTAAGATAAAGTGATTAGATTTAGATAATTTATATTTTTATTATAAAAATTCTGACATAAAAATTCCTCCAAAAAAGTCGATAAAACAGTTATCTTTTCGCATTTTTGACATTTAAATTTAACATTTAAATGAAAAGTTGTCCAAAAAATACTTATAATCACGTTATATTACATTATTTGTTAAGATTTAGAAAAAAAATCAAATTTAAATAGGCTACATTACTCGGTTAAACAGTTACCTGCTTTTTTAATTTCAGCCACAACATCATCGGCGGCTTTTGAAGATTTTCCATCGCCGTGTCTTCCACCCCCTAAGTCGTTAACGACGACTTTAGCACCTCTGGAAGCGAATAAAAGTGCGTAGGTTCTTCCGAGACCAGCTCCGGCTCCGGTAACAACCACGACACGTCCATCAAACCTCAGCTGATCACCACTCATCGTAAACTATGGTACTAACAGCAAACGAATGCAAAAAGTGCTCAATCACCGTTGGGAACCGTGCTTTTATAAACCTGACCTGACCTATGGACGTTGAAAATGTTATCTAAAGGCGATAAACGTTGAAAATACGACAAAGTGGGACTCGCAATTAAGATTGGGGTTTCAAGCGACCTCTATTGGTAGTATTTAAACTTAAATTTAAAAAGTATAAATTTATTTTAATAAATTAATAAATTTAGTTACTGTTTTATTTATTATTTATGTAATAAAATGGCGATAGAACATTATAGTTAATTTGACTTTGATTTAGAACATGAATATTTAGCTTTTTTAATATTATTTAATGTTTCTTATATTTGATTTGTTTATAAATAAGAACATTTTAATTTAATATAAGATTGTTGTAATAAACCTGTAAAAGAATTCTTAAAGTACTTATAACTCTAATTAAAAACGTAGTTTTATATTTTTTTACATTCAAAAGCTATCATTAAATATTGACGCAAAACATCACGTTTATAATAAAAAATATTGTTATTAATAATGATTTTGCAAAATTTTCCTGATCAATACGATAAATATGGTGTTCTGTTCTATTTATACTTTCAGTAACATCTTTTAATTGATAATGGGATTATTTACGAAACTATACATAGATTTCTGTAATTGTGATAACAGATGGATGTTAAATAAAAAGCGCAATTAAGTTATACATAGTGTTTATTGTATAAAAACTGTAGAAGTGAAAACTTTACCAAGCTTTTAAACGTAAAATTGCAATAATATCATTATAATTGGAACAACTATGTATACTGTACGTAACGATTAGTATAATTATTGTCCGCTAGATGGCATTATTTAAATGTGTTTCAAAGTTGAAGTTTACACTGATTTATGACATTTTGTTTGATTAAGTATTCTGCTTTTAAATTGTGTTTTAGGATGCAAAACGCATGATTTCATCTGGTTTAGAAAAGGTAGCTTGCGGGCAAGACGCTGCAAAGGCAAGTAATGTATGTATATTACCAAATGAATAGCACAATAAATTGTGGGCAAGAAGGAAGTAAGAACAAATACAAAATAAAGAATTTATAAAACTATATGTACACCGACTCTCACATATGGAACTGAAACATCTCTATCATGAAACATCTGAAACAGCAGCTGAAATGAAATTTTTAAGAAAGATTGGAAAACAAGAATGAATCGAATTAGAAAGAAAACTATTAAAACGATTTAGAACAAAAACCGCTGGTAACTGAAATACAAAACAAACAGCTGTGCTGGTATGGACAGAATGGACACCTAGTCAAAATGCCAGAAGGGAGAATTTCCAGAAGAGTAGTGGAAATGGGAATAGCTGGAAAACGAAGTAGAGCTATGCCAAAGATAAAATGGAAGGATGGAGTGGAGGAAGTAGTGCGCAAGAGAGGAGGAAGTGTGTAGAAAGTGAAGAATATGGAAAGCAACTGACATAGTTTTAGAAGGTGGAAAGAGGATCCCAACAACACCCCAACGTTGTGATGCCATCTAAGGGAAATTATAAAGAAGAATTTATGATTATTATTTCTTTCAATGTTTGAAATTATAGGCAGAGAAACTTTAAAAAAGGAATAAATCAATCATTATTTTCCTCTAACTTTAAATTGGTTTCTTTGACTGCATTTAAAGGAATTAATCGTTTATTTTACGTTTATTTTTACTTTATGATGTATTAGTGCCATCTTATAATTAATTATAATATTACATGAAAATGATAAAATAGATTTCTGTAATAATTACTTTATCATTTGGACGTAATCTTTGAATGTTGATGAAAACGTTATCATGGAAACGTGAATTCGTGCATTCGCGATTAGAAATTTGTTTATCAACTTGTCAAGTTTTTGTTTTTTCAACGTGTCCAAAACTATATTCCTCATTCGTTTCCAGTTTGCATTTAAAAGAAGTTCGCAGTCCACGTAACGAATAAATAAAAGCGGAAAGAACTCGAATAACTTCGGTAAGTACCAAACGTACGTACTCGCACTTTACAATTCAAACGCGTACGCGCTCGTTAGGCTTTTACGCTCTTCCGTAAATGCGCAGATAATCAAACCCCACTTAATATATTTTCGGATCGCACGTGTAAAATGCATTTTCAACCGATTGTTGGATCCGTAAGCATCGAAATCTAGTTAGAAAACGAAAAACGTTTCCTTTTCAAAATTTCGTCATCGTTAAACGTGGCTTTATCGGTGAGTTGATACTTTTACTTATTTTCTGGGTGCGGTTTATTTCCATTTTATTTTGAATCTTTTATAAATAACCACGTGTTTTAATTTTTTTGTTTGATAATTTTGTAACCACGTTTTCTTAATAATTAATTTTTTTATGCGAGATTGATTACACAAAAAGTTCTTTAATTCTAAAATGTTAATTTAGGTATTTAAATCTTTTAAATCTAACTGATGAGATGACATCATCGGTTTATTAGAATTTCTGACATCACAGGAATCGCTGTTTGAGTTCCACGCACGTTTCCTGAACATAATCATGTCGCCTTAGATTTTTTTCTCAAACAAAATCGAAACACATGTTTCTTATATTTGTTTTTCTCGCGTTTTAATAGATATGTTGAAAATGACTTAGAGAACGTTTAAAAAAATTTGTTGTTTATGAACCGTTATCGGTATATTGTTTTTTTAAAATACATTTTCCTTATCAACCGGCTTCGTTAAATGCAAATATTTAGTTGTATTTTCATCTGCTATTTTTGTTCGCCGTTTAATTTCGTTTTACAACGGCGTGGGTGGTCATTTTTTTGCGTTTCGTGTTCTAACCCAGTTTTTTTTTCTTATTGAGTTGAGTCATCTTGAATTTACAATTATTTTTATTTTATGATACTTAATCCATAAAGTAACGTGTTTATTTTTGTTGAACATTGGTTTCCGTTTTATTTAGACCGTTTTAACCTCAAATGTTAATTTTAAAATTATTTAAATGACAAGATGAAATTTTTTGTTTTTTTTTTTTAATTTCAAGTTTGCCAACCTTTTAAAGATTTCTGTTACTGTAAAATCTCGATATGACGGATTTATACAACAAATATACATACATAATAGCCGTGCGTGCTTAAGCCGGCTAAACCCGAATGTTTTTAGTTCTAGTTCTAGTGTTAGTTCGAATGTTAGAGTTAGTTCTAGTTTTAGTTTTTATTCAGCGTTAGATTGTTGTATATTTTTCATTGAACTAAAACTAGAATTAACACGACCTAGAAATAGAAACATTTCTAGTTCTAGGTCTAGTGTTAGTTCTAGTTTTAATTGTTATTCACTGTTAGATTATTGTATATTTTTATTGAACTAAAAGTAGAACTTAAAGAATCTTTCAACAATGTTGCCCCAGATGACGATTCTCGATCTTTTCAAGTTGATATGTCTTCTAGAACAGAATCTACGGACTCTAACAGTTCTTTCATTACAACAATGGAGTCTTGTCGTTGAATCCATCGCGTAGGACACAGTTGTTTCAATTTGTCTCGTCTTGATGTGGAATTTATTAACTCATTGATTTTTAAGACATTTTCGGTTAAGATAGTTTGGTGTATTCAAGAAATTGTATGAATTTTCTATTTTATACCCATACAATTTCTAATAACGTGTACAGCACTGGCATCTCACATCTCGGGGAATACCCCGTGTTTATCTATAAACGTGGAATAGAGCAACTTGGGAAATACCACGAGATAAATTCTGTCTATGGGCGCTAATATATCGAGGTTTTACTGTTTATTTCTTCCAGGTTTCAATTTCATAAAAAATGCCAACAAAAATGTTTTGATTTATCTTTATTTTTGTTAAACTTAATCTAATCAAATATTGATTCATACAATGCATTCCAAAAGACGATATCCGTTGATTATAATGTTTACGTTTCTTAGTATTCATATCAACTAAACAGTTGATTACATGTTACGAAAATATAAACATTATTTTTCAATAAATTATCTTTTTTGGTTGTTGCCAATAGATTAAAGTAGAAAAATAATAAACTGTTTTTTTAATTTCTCTGAAAATTAAAAGTTTAGTCATTAAGTTTTATCATTTAATTAATCGAGATATCCTTTTATAGAGGTGTCTCACGTAATTGGTTCTTTAGATTTTTTTATGTTCTACCATTTGTAGTTTTGAAATTTTGGTAGTGATGGTATGATGACTTTGATAAAAGTTATTGTTTTTGAAGTCCTCAAAAAATCAATCTGATTATCTTTGAAATCAATCTCGACAAGATTAATTTGTTTATAATCCACGTATAGAATTTTTTGTTCATTCATTATTTTTCAGGTTTGTGTTCATCAGCTGTATAATGCTTCTAAGGAATTTTGAACCTTACGGTACATTCCCCGATTCGTATCTGGTGTCAAATGTGGTGTTTCTGGGAATCCCAACCTTGCTATTTCTCAGTCTACTCGGTACTTTATCCAATTCAATGTAAATTTTGAATACGCTGCGTTCGCACAATTTGTAACACTTCTCCACCATCGTTCTATAATCTTGGCCTGGGGGAAGATTAGTTAGGCTAATTGATAAGAGGCACGTAATTAGAATGTTGCTGCCAATTCAGATAACGGCGATGAAGATTTTCCTGAAAAATACAATCTTAAAAATGCAGCGAACGTGATGCATGGAGTAGGAAAACCTCCGCAGTATTTTTGATCTAATTTTTAGCGTGAGATTATCAACCACGTGGTTCAATGGACTAATGGATAGAGTTACTTGAAAGAGTATGGTAACTTTATGAAGTGGATCCATGTCACTTTCACGACGACAATGCTAGCTGTCATGTTGCGAGGTCCACCACCAATAGGTACGGCGGCAATGGTCTATACGAATATGTACCTGATTTGCTCAGAGCCCAGACTTGAACCCCATTGAGAATTTTGGGATAAATTTGATCTCCAACTTAAGAGGTGCCAACAACCGTCCAAAATCGTTGAAAGAACGCGTTTTTTTCTAACACGAGTGGAGGAAAATACCAGCAGCCATCATATTGGGACAATATCTGTGAACATGTGTTGTTCTTATTGTTACAAGTTCAATTTGCGATTGAGTGCATTTTTCTAGTTTTTGTATCTATATTTTTACATGTATCTATAAGTATCGTTGCAAATGTTTTGATGTATCTAGGGAATCACGGTTCTTTTTACTAATTTTTCTCTGAATATCTTCATGGTACTGAATATGGAGTGAATTTCTACGCTCTTGTTTGGGTTGGGTATCAAAGATTATGAGCAGTCATTGTCTTAATTTGTATTTGATGATTTGCAGTAGTTCTACTTTTAGTAAAATCGGTAAAAAATATATCTACTTAGGAATTTATCCCGTAGCATTTTCGTTTTTATTGGTACTAATGTCTCTCTTGCATCCATGGTGATTGTACTAAAAGTAGAGTTCTACATGAGCAGAATATTAGCTGTCGTCCGTTAAAATTTCGGTCTTTATTTCACTCCTATAATTATTTTTAAGGCATTGTTCGTATTTTGGTACATGTTGGATTGTTTTGAGTTGCCCACCAAAGTGATGTTCTCATGTTCTTGTAATCTCCATAAAAGACAATTGTGCCATCAGGTGATGTTATGCATAGTTCTGACAAATGAAAGAAAAGCTTAATAATCTCTGAGAAAGCAAATCCAATCACATAGTAGTAGTTGGGTAGGCCATCTCCAGATTGCGCAAGCCATAGTAAACTAGAAACAAACTTCAGCTGCTCAGCCGTATGTCCAAACTTATTCAAAATGTACAATTCCTCTCCATAAGTCAAACTCTTGGTTTTCTTATGGCACAAATTCCTTACCATGAGCCAGTCTCAAATTATCTTAACATTAAATTTAAATTAAAAAAGTGATATTTGATGTTGAGTTAATTAATTTTACTTTTTGTTTTCAAATCTAGATTAAAACCTAAAAATGGTACAACAAGAGAACCAACCGGAAACTCCAACAACCCCACCGACTCCAATTCCAATTAAAAACCTTGCGAAAGGAGTCGAAGAAGGTCGTTATCGTTTAGTAGGATGGGCAATAGACACAACTGGTCGTCGTTTAATTGATGAAATCTGTCAAATAGCTGCTTTTACACCGGAATCGCAATTTTCTCAATACATTATGCCGTTCAGCGATATTCGTTTGATTTACCGTAGACGACATAGCATCCGAGTCATCAACATGGGTCGTTATAGAATGTTAAAAGATCTTCGTACAAACAAATTTGTTAAAACCAAGAGTGAAATTTCCGCGTTAACCGATTTTTTGGTTTGGTTGGAACAAATCAAAGGTGACGCAACTGAAGGGATCATCTTGCTGTTTCACGATATACATAAATACACGCCAGCGATGTTGTTGGAGTCTATGCGTAGACATCATTTGTCGGAACGTTTCGCTAAGGTGGTGAAAGGGTTTGCGAATTGTTTCAATATTTCTCAGGATAAATGCGTAAATACTACGAAGACGTTCAGTTTGAGGGTAATGTCGAAGATACTTTTAAATAAAGAAGAAGATATTAGCAGTGCTGTTACTCGAGCTCAATCTTGTTATGAAATTGTTGTTCATTTGGGACAGAGTGAGGTACAAGATTTAGATTCGAAGGGTAGCGGCGATTGCAAAGGAAGTGAAAGTCATCTTATTGATATGGTTAGACCATACACAAATCCCGTTCAAGCCGAAGAAGGCGAAATTGTTAAATTTAAGGTAAATGATTCAAATTTCTTTGATTTTTTTGTAATAACATTTTAATTTAGGTTTTGCTTGATCGCCAAAACACATTTAAACCCGTTTTTGGAGCTTTATTAAGAGCTACAGCCACCGAACGTCAACACGCAAGTCATATGCGAAGAATTTTGGCTGAAAATAATATTGATTACGACCAATTAAGGACTGCTTTTGATAATAATGCTAAAGATGGTTTAGAAAAAGTTTTAAGGGAAAATATTGTTCAATCAGAAGTAAGTTATAATAATAATTATAATCACTCCTTTTTTTATTTTATTGATTCCTTTTATTTTATTGTTTCCAGGAAACAAATGTTAAAGAGGAAGAAATTAAAGAACTGTTAGAAATTTTAGATTGCTTCTTTGATCCGGAAAAGAAAGCGGTTCAACCCAAACCACGTTTCTACGCGAATCATCACAACGGACCACGAAAACCGGGCAATAAACAACGTGGATTTGTAGATAAAGAGAATAAGGATAAAAATGCGAATATGATGTCGGCGGTTGATGAGAAGAAGCCTGAAATTAAAACTGAAATCAAAACTGAACTGCCAGATGCGTCGCAAATGGTTGAAGCTGAAGTAACAGTTTCATCTGCTGTCGCATGAAAATGATAGCTTTAATAAGCATTTTGTTAATGTTAACGCAACGGTGCCTTTGTTATTACATATACATTTAAAAATAGCAATATTTATACTATAACAATTTGTGAATTGTTATAGAATTGTTGATTGTTTCTTAATTTTTGAATGAATTTATCTTTTATTTTTTGTTGCAAGTTTTTTGAGGAATTATTAATTTTTTAATTTCCATTAGAGATGATTTTTTAGAGTTTAATTTAGAGAATGTTTTTAATTTATTTCGTTCTGATGGGTTTGAGTGAACAAAGGTAATGTTCCAATTTATTTTTGATTTCATTTCATTCGTTAGGCTTTGTTAGTTAACATTTTGATGCTGGCAAATGGTATCTCGTTTATTAACGTTATTTCTTTTTCAAATTTAGGAGAATTTATCAGTTTAGTTATAGTTTATTGATCGTGATAATATATTTTTAATTTTTTTCTTGTGATAATGGGTGATCGAAAGTAATTAGCTGTCCAATGCTGTTACTGTACCTGTTATTTATTTTGAATTAATATTTAATAAATGAATTTATATGGATTTTATTGTTGAATTTATTATGTTTAAAATTACATAGGTTTTCACTTACTAGGCGTAAATTATAATACTGGAAAATCTCGATATAAGTCTGAAGATGGAAAACTAGAACTAACTAGCTGAGGAACTAAAAACATTCGGGTTTAGCTGTGACTCTTTTAAGACTGCTAAATCCACCAGTAACTTTTTATGCAATAAAAAGGTACCACATGCTCATTGCAATAAAACTAACATGAGATCCAAGTACTACATTGCAGCAATATAAGATATAGCACGATTTAAACAAGAAAAAATTCTAGATAATGCAACAAAAGACAAAAGCGTTCAACAACTGAAGAAACGCTGTAACTTATAAATAATGATTGTGGGGTAGATTCTCTTTGTAGATTTTTTTTTACCTGTACTATGTCAAATTAGGATTAGTTGGTATTTTCGGTTTTATATAACTCAGTGTGTTTCATTTTGATGATTTTTAAGTTTCCACAACTAAATCGATGAAACTAATTCGAGATAATCGTAAGAAAACGAAATCTTTAAATTTATAATTAAATCATTTCAAATCTAGTTTTGAAGCGCCATCTGTTATTAGATAGATCAAATAATTCGTCTTTTACAATTTTCTTTGCACAAATATTGTAATTCACCAATAGATAACGCAACGACCATTTAAAAATTTAAAAAATTATGACCAATTCAATTCAAAGAAATTACACTCATCACTTGGATGACGACTGAAGTGAATAAGCACCTATTTGGAGTCAATATAGCATAAGATTTTTTCCTCTTTAACTTTAAAATTTTTCTTGGAATTAGAACGTTATTCATTTTTGAAAAGGGGATTTTTTGGGGATAAATCTTTTTTTTTTAAACTTTTTTTGTTGTTGCTTTCCTTGAGGCTTTTTTTTGTGTGAACAAGTAAAATTTTCACTACAAGTTTTTTTTCTGTTCGTTAAGCAATCGTTTTTATTGTTAACTTACCTTCGACTACGTGGACGCACACCTGCTTCCGGTGACGGCGTCTTTGTGGTGCAAAAGTTGGGTGCCACTTGCTCAAAAATGTTTTGTGCTCGTTTACGCCATTAACATCGTAGTTAAGAGATTTATCCGTCGTTTTTTGTTATCTTTCAATTTTTACACATTGAATTAATTAAGACAAAAAATAACCAACCCGCAAAGATATTAAAGCGTCTTTACTAAATCAAATCATTCACTATGATATGGTTGAAGTTATCTTATTCATTCGTAGGAATTGTAATACATATTTATCACATTGGCAGGTGTTGAGTTGGGTCGTTTTTCCTAATGGTGGGGTTTAAAAAAAGTAAATGATAGGATTTTTCAATAAATGCAGGTGTAAGACTTTGAGATTTTTTCATTAAAAAGAAATGAAAAGTATTTGATTTGAATTCTCTGAATCTCATATATCAAAATCAGATTCTTGGTAACGTCACCTGCGTTTATTAATCTGCATTCGCTTCGCGCTCGCTTTTGCTTTTTTACTCACTATTATTTTTACAGCGAAAAAACTGGAAATTCACCAGAAAAAAAAAACACATTGCTTCCGTGAAAAGTACAGTAAAACCTCGATATAACAGATTAATACGGGGAAGAGAGTGACCGTTATAGCCAAAAGTCCGTTATATAAAAAATTTAATGAACAATTTCACAATAATTCGAACAGGTATCCACACCGTTGGGTTCTTTAGTAGTTAGTTCTACTTTTAGTTATATAATAACTAAAGTTAGAGCTAATACTAATACTAGAACTAACACTAGACCTAGAACTAGCAACATTTAACACATCTTAAGAGACGCATGGCTAAACCTTGCCATGCCGTGCGTCTTCAGACGCACGACTAAACCCGAATGTTTCTAGTTCTAGGTCTAGTGTTAATTCTAGTTTTACATTAGCACTATTGCTATGTAGAACTAACACTATATCTACAACTAGAATCATTTGGGTTTAGCCACACGTCTCTAAAGACGGCTAAATCCGAATGATTCTAGTTCTAGGTATAGCGTTAGTTCTATTTTTACACTGTCACTAGAACTAACATTAGACCTAGAACTAGAAACATTTGGGTTTAGCCGCACGTCTTTTAAGACGGCTAAATCCGAATGATTCTAGTTCTTGGACTAGTACTGAATAACAACTAAAAGTAGACCTAACACTAGACCTATAACTAGAAAGTTTCGGGTTTTAAGGTATATTAAGGCAACTTAGGGAATAACCCAACTTGGATTCTATCTATGAACGCTAACATTTATATTATATCCATTATATCCGAAATCCGTTCTAACAGGGTCCGTTACATCGCTTTTTTGTTATCTTATAATATGCTTAAAAACCCACTATAACATCACTTGAAATAGCCCAATTTAAATAATCGACTTTAGAACAGAGATAAAATCTTAAAAGAATCTAATGAGATATTTCCTCATCTTAAATTAATGGATTTTTCTGATGAAAACAGTTAAGTACTTTTCATGTCTTACCTTTATGATAAAAAGTTAAATGAAGATAACATTCTGTGCAGCGGCATAAGTTACAAATCGTTTTTCTTTTCAGTGGAATCATTTCTTTGTAACTTGAAAGATTTTATCTTTTCAGTCTCTTCTTAACTTCAAAACCTAAATACTGTTTAATTTAGCGTTTGTTTAAGAAGTATTTTTAGGTGTTACCAAAAAATATAAATATTACAAAGAAAACGTATTGTAATCGTTCTTCTTAACTTGAGGGGATTCATTTTGCAGGAAGGGAGGACGTCGACGGTGGCGTGGGCGAAGGGCTGCGGCGGCGGCAGCGGGAGGCGGACGTCCCCCGATGATTGATGGCCGGGAACGAGGGGGGAAACGGCGCCCCGGACTCATAAATTATACGGCCGTCACTCTATCACGGGAGGCCCCTGGCGTTTGCGTTTTATTCGCACCGGCCCGTCGTCGGTCGACAGCTGATCACCTCCACGGCCCCCGTCTACAACGGCGGGGGCCCTTCCTGCAAGCCGCCGCCGTTACCGCCCTTTGTTACCACCAACGTGGTGTGTGGCATCGGTTGCAGGGGCTCCTACGATCCGCTGCGGGTGACTTTAGTGTCCGCCGGTGCACCGTGATACACCTGCATACCCTTTGCACCGGTATACTGTATGGTTCAACCGGTTGGTCGCTGATTTTATTATATTGAGGGGTGACTTAACAAACATTGAAATATATGGGGAACAACATTTTGTTCAAAATTTCTCTTATCTAATAAAATCTCAACTGGCGGCGATCAAAGCCTTTCATTACTTACGAGTATTAACTTAAAAAAAAGAACTTAAAAAATGAAAAACGACGAGACCTTATAGTATAAACCAGTTCGCGTGAAATTTATCGTGAAAAACAGTTACGGTCGCACGCAGAAAGCGACGGGCGAAACCGGGTCGGAAATTAGCGCGTAACGGCGAAACAATAAAAGAGCAAATCGGACATCACTTTTCCCTTTACAAAAATTCGGCCGCAAAAACGTGCCGCGAGCCGCCCCGGTATCAATATTAACGGCGCGGTGGCGGCTGCTGGTTTTGCTGCTGCTGCTTCGAACGCTCTGCCCCGGAAGCGGCCTCGTATTCTGCGACATCCCCTTTAACTCGACAGGGTCCCGCGTGGGGCGGCCGCCACTGCCCGGGGGGGCGGCGGGCCAGGGGAATCGGGGGAACCCGGGGGCGGCCCGCAGAAGGGTTGGGCCCTGCCAGAACGAGACGCACGCACTACGTCCAACCCCCCACGAATTCAAAGAGGAGAAAGAGAGACGCCGACAAACCCACGATTTCCGACGTGAGCGGCGTAAGGAGAGAAGGCGGTCGAGAGAAACGAAAGAAGCACAAATACATGTATGTGTATGAGTATAGTATGTGTGTGGTAGTGTGAGTGAGTGACGGAAAGGGACCGAGACGACGGAGCGGAAGCAGTACCGTACTTTAATTTTAAGACATTTATTAACATACAATATCTGGGTAAAGCTGATTGGTATGAATCAAAATGATTCTAGTCGACTAAAATCATCTGTAGGATACTTAATGATGGTGAAAAAATGCAAAAATATGATTTTGGTGATTATTGAAAATGTTTCAAAGATTCCAAAAAATAAAAAAAGTGTATTGGTGTGTTTCAAAATGGTACTAATCAATTGAAAACATCTTCAGCTTATTTGACAAAGTCAAAACGAGTTAATAACATTAAATGGGGCGATTTGAAAAATTTTAGAGTATAAGTGTGAATCAAAATGATTCTAGTTGACTAAAATCGTCTGTAGGATATTTAATGACGGTGAAAAAAATAATATAATATATTATATGATTTTAGTGATTATTGATAGTGATTTAAAGATACTAGAAAATAGTAAAAGCCAATAAGTGTGTGTCGAAATGGTACTAGTCTAAATAGGTAATGATGTAATGTGGTAATGGAGGTAATATGAGTGGACTTATTCGGATTTATTTTTACTCGCCACTGTTCAATCCATTTTTCCAGCATCAATAAGTGATATTGTAGGTTTTGGGATGCCATTTCAGGAGATGTATGAGTAGCCATAACTACAGTGCCGTCCGCGTATGTATCAATCATAGTGTTGTTTGTCGTAGGCGTGTCGGCTGTGTATAAAAGATATAAGGTAGGCCCCAAAATACTACCTTGAGAAACTCCAGCATGTATCGGTACAAGTGGTGAATATGCATCATTTTGTTTAACGAAAAAGTATCTCTCCATCAGATATGATTCCAATAGTGTACATACATTTTGGATAACGTAGATAGGTTTTAAGTTTGGCTATAAGACCATCATGTCATACTCTGTCGAAAGCCTGTGATACATCTAAAGAAGCTGCTGTACAATATTTTTTGGCCTCTAAGACATCTCACTACTCTGTACAGTTATTCTATAGTACCATGCTGTTTTCTAAACCCAAATTAATAATTAGGAAGTAACTTTTTATTTAGTATAATGCTCTGAAGAGCTTCAATAAGAGCTTTTCAAACACTTTTTGACTTATTGTGATTTTATTTGATTTCAGTACCATAGTTATCTGGGACACCTTTTATTGTATTGGGAATGATCCTAGTCTTGCGATTGCGTTGAAGATAAGCAGTACTATTCGTAGCCCATGTTCAGGAATATGTTTAAGAACCAATCCGATTATAAGATCGTGGCGTTTTAAGCTCACATAATTAAAACTTTTAAATTTCATTACATGAGAAGCGCCTAGTGAAGTTTCATTTAGTTCTCTATGCTGGGGTAATTCTGTATGAGGTTGAAAAACGTTACGCAGGTAAGCTGCAAAGGTATTTGCTTTCTTTTCGTTATTTCTTGCCCAGTAACCATCACTTTTTCTAATGGGCGTATTAATACCTTGTTGTCATTTAAGTTTATTTGTTAGCTTCCATATTCAGTAATTCCTTTCCTTGTCATTAGAGAGATTACTAAGGAAATGGCTAACGTTTTCGTTTTTGAAACGTTTTAGAGCTTCTTTCAACAGACGAGTAGCCATATTCAGTTTTATTTTTTTACATCTTATTAATATCGCGCGGATAATGAATTATTTTATTACGATGAGCTTTTTGAATACATTTTGTGAAGTCATTTATCGAGTTTTCGATGTTCGTTTCATTATTGAGAGGAATAATTAAGAGGAATTTTTTTCTAGTGCAGGGTCATGTTTTCAATCACATCGTCAATGTTGAAACTCATCTATTCTGTTGCTGCAATATCGTCGATTCGAACATAATTTTCAAGATTTTCTTGTGTTTGTTCATTTCATTATCTCACCTTTGCATTTGAACTATCGTAGATAAAAGGAGATAATCTTCTGGATCCCATTCGAATGATGTAAAATCACCATTATTTTTCTGAAAACCAACTTTTTTGAAGCAATTTTCTATCGTTGCTGACGAAACTTTATTCCAGGCTGTTTTAATATAATAAAGTGCTTCTAAAACATTTATGGACTTCTTACTTGATCCGTTTTTAATAAAATGTGCTTCAGTATTATTTACCTTCGATTATAGAATTTAAAATATTCTATGATCCCTCTGGTCTAGTGCTTCTTACGCTATTTTTCCAGTTAACCATTGAATGCCCGAAAGTTGGCAACATTCCTTTGGCCTTCACTAAACGTCCCGATAATGGAATGTTTTGGCTACAAGCAAGAAAAAACCAATTAAAACACATATTATCAATTTAAAGTCCCACAGTTTTCAAAAAAAATCTCTTTCCCAAAGAAAAAAAAAGCTCATAAAATTAAAACCCGTAAAATCATCAAAATTGATAGGTATTAATTCTTAAAGAAGACATAAAATGTGTGGTAATTGAAATGAAAAGTAAAATGAAACTATTAATGTATATAATACGGTCCTGCTTGTGAGATTCCCGTTGGAGAATCGAGTTTCAGTATTCCAACGACGAGGAGAAGAAGATGGAGGAGGAGGAGGAGGTGACGGTGAGATGTGGGGCGAAGCAATGAGGAACACGCGGTTTTCGGACGTTGTGTGTCCATCCGACGCGGAAACCGTGGTCGTGCGAGGAGTACAGAAGTCGGGGCAGGTTAAAAAATTAAAATAGGCTGCGACGAAAATAAAAAATCCGATGAATATTCATGGCGTGGACTTGTGGGGAGTCTTGCGACGGTTACACAAAACCTATTTATGCATGTATTTTTAAGCAGATACCGACGGTTTCGATAACCACAGCAACGTTTTTATCGTAATAATTTAAGTTTGTTGTTGTTACTATTCGTTTTTTCTTAATGTTTAACAAAATCAATAAGAGAAAGTTAAAGGATATTATCGGTAAAGATTTAAATTGTCGATGGTGGTGTGCGAACAAAACTTTGTTCCGCAAACAGGCGAAGAATTTACATTGGCGCTATTTGCAATTCAAGTTTGTCGTTGTACAAGATTCGCTCCTCCGATCTTGTGCATACATTTGCTTATCAGTTTATCATCGTCCCATACACGTGCATCGCTTGACGGCGGCGGAAACGTCGTGTTTGGCGAGGTTACGAAGAAGAAACGTGTGCGTACTGAACGATATCTAACGGTGAATAATTGAATAAATAGAAGAGATAACAACAAAATAACGTACTTGGTAGTTTTATGAAAATGCAAAGAAATTCAACAAACTTATATTTTTATATAGAAAATGTAGGAAATTGTGAAGATGAGGATGTCTCTTTTTTATATTCCGATGTCTCTATTATATTTTTGCATGTTAAGTTATAACCTCGAATATAAATAACTTCCGGACATCCAAAACTCCAAACTCCAAACATAGGTGTGTTGATGGTTACAAGTTCTCCTTTCCTAATATCTTCTTAATAATCCTACGTTGTAGTATCTCCAATGGTATTAAGTGAGTATATAGCCATAGCGCAGCCTCGACTCCACCAAACAATGATACAATGTTTTTAAGTGATAAGCATTGAGTATGGATCTTAGATGTTTGAATTTATACAGTGAAGTTCTCAATGTTTTTGATATACTTTCAACGTGCCTGTCCCACCTCAAGTGACTATCAATTACCACTTCGAGTCAACTATGTGTGGATTTGATGCATATGACAGTTCAAACGTCAGTTTGATTTAACGCAAATTTGATTTCAAAACATGATACAACAAAATTCCCTGTAAATGTTGCCAACTTCACAGTAATTTGACAGGTATTATATAAAAAAATAAACTACCATAACTAAATTATTCAAGAAATCAAGTGGAAATCATCAATAAAATGATAACAGATATCTATAAATATAATTTCACACAATGAAGTGTTAATATTGAAAAAAAAAACTTTTAAAGAAACAATGCTTTTGACGTTTGAATAATGTGAACATTACCCTCTGAAAAGAGAAAAAAAAACTAATATAACGGATAATAAAAGGTGCGTGCGTGCGCGGAGATGAACGTCGCGGATAGAATAGGGAATTCAGTTTGAGGTGGACAGTTAATTCGTGTGGATCGAGACGGATGGTGGCCGGTAACGCCATCTGGCGTCGTATTTGGCGCACGCGCAGTCAGTGAGCTGTCAAAATGGCGACGGTAAAACCTCGTAAACGTCAGTGAGCGCGTTCAGCGCCCGTTCCCGGCTGAAATGGACCACAAAAAGAGTCCAATACGTCGAGCGAAACGACAGGCGAAGCTCGTCGAAGACAACTTTTGGGACTGCAGCGTGTGCACGTACAGGAACGGCGCGGAGGCGTTCAAATGTCTTATGTGCGACGTACGAAAGGGAACGTCAACCAGGAAGCCCCGCATCAATCCCCAATTGGTGGCCCAGCAGGTCGCTAGCCAATTCCTGCCAGCGCCCAGCAAGGAAAAGCGCGAACGAAAAGACGGTAAAAAATCGACTGCGAAAAGGCGACACCCGCCCCGACTCAAGAACGTCGATCGAAGTACCGCGCAAACCCGCGAGGTTACTGTTAATAGTGTTACCGTTGTGATCACAGAGTACAAACCGAAGATGAAGAGCGCGGAAACGATATCCAGCTCCAGTGGGTCGGATCACGGTTCTCAGTCCGAATCGAGTATGGACGCGCCCCGATAATATTCATTTCGTATTCAAAAACCCCAACTTCATTCACCCCCGCGCGTACTTCATATGACGTCTAACGTTTACGTTTTCGCTGTGGTTCGTTACGTTTCCGGCACGTTTACTTCCTTACCAGTAAGTAAAAAAATATAAAAATAAATGCAAAAAAAGTCATTTTTCTCATAAAAACTTGTCATAAACAAAAGGATTTATTTATATCGAAAACGATATTTACTGCTTTTAAAACCGCTTCATGTCACGATAAACACAATACAATGAGAAGGTTAATGGCCATTCTGCCATCCATCTGTGTCGCGGTTTGTAATGAATGATTAACTTTGATTGGGTGTTAGTCGAGCGGATTTTGTTGTTGTGTAGATTGTTGAATTAATGAAACGAATTGATGGAGTGTTAAAAATTATATTAATTGATTATATTTCTATATTAAAGTAATCAAATATTAAAGATTTTTTATTCGATTTATAAGTGTTAATATAAAAGCGTTTTAAAATTAATTAGAACATTAAAAACATAAAAAACTATGAAAGACCTTGTATTCTATGTTATATAGATTTATTTATAATAATACTAAAAGATAGAAACTTTCAGATTTGGAAATGACTATCTCAAAGCTTAACTATAATCAAAATTTATGTAAAACATAGAATTTAGTTTATTCAATATGAAAATCAAAATATAAAATTATAAGAATCTAAATTAATTTCTTAAAAATAAGGAAATAATTTTTTTGTCTTTTGCTGGCGATTATCACATTTAGGGTTATCAATTATCATTAACAATAATCACTTTTCAAAATGTTGATGATGTGATTTTTGAAGAATTTGGATAAATGTTTTTATAATTAACACATCAGAACAGCACCGATTAAGCCAGCTGTCAAATTATTTTGGTAAATTGATTTCCAGAGATTATTACTTAATTACATATAAGTAGGAGATTAATCAGTATTTATAATAATTTTGTGAGATCCACAATGATTTGATTCATTTTTTTATTTTTATGTTGGCATTCTGATATGGATATTTCAGTTATGAGTTGATAGCAATGACTTAATATGAGATCTACAGTGGCGGACAAAAGTCTACATACAGCATTGAATTATGAGGTTTTTGTACAACGTAATAAGATAACACAAACTTAGTATTACAGTGTGATTAGAGATACTTATTTACAAAAAAGAACAACACGCAAATCGCTACATACTAAAAATTCAACAAATAATACAAAAATTAATAGGACAAAAGTTTACTTTTTAACTAAAAATAAATTATTAAGTCCATGTAACGACAGTTTTTAAAACTCAATATTTCGTTGGCCTTCCATGAACTTCTATAACTTTGCCAGTCTCACTGTAATTTTTGACGATGGTCTGGACTGTTGCTCTGCTTAGATTTACAAATTAGGCAATTTCGCAGTAAGATTTCTTTTCTTTTGGATGTTTTATCACCAATTTTCTAATTTCAACAGAAATTTCTTTTCGCGATGATATTTTGCAGCTAGATCCGTAATCGCTACTGAATTAAGAAAAAAGAAAATTGCAATGCTAGTTATTTTATGCAAGTCTCACTTGATTACTGTAACTCAAGTGCGTTGTATGTAGACTTTTGTCGTGTTAGTTTTTGTAGATTTTGTAGCTATTGAGTGATTTGTCAATTCAATGTTGTATGTAGACTTTTGTTCATCACTGTATAACCTAAATAAGAAATAAAGTATATGTCAATCTGTCGCAGGAGATCATTGGTGCCCTTTTTTAGCTGCGTCAAAGGTTTTCAAATATTTTAATAAATGTCTGTGCCAATTAAATTTGAAGTAAAATGTTATACGTTTATACTACTATATATTATATTAGCGATATTTGAGTACTGTTGGCACATCTGAAAGTGGGCGTTGTGTATTCTGTGACTTGTCAGCTGCTTTGCAAACTCTTTAATCTATAAAGACAGAATTTTAACCCAGTTTTATAATCATGTATGCAATATACAGTGTGTCCGTAAAGTATCCCCTACTTATATTACCCCTACTATTATTACTTATATTAATAAGAAAGTTTTTGAAGAAAAAGTACATTCAAGTTTAATTACTTCAAATTTGTTTAAATTTATAAAAAAGCAGTAGCCATGAGTAACTATTTCAAGAAGTCAGAGTCAAAAACTGATTTAGTGAAGTTTGCTGAAGTGTGGTTTCGCCCAATCTTGTTGGGATTGAGTTGAGTCAACACTATCAGAAAATCTGGCCATTATGGAAGGAATGATACCGTTTTGCAAAAATTTGGTCGACCAGACTTCGAGAAATCTTGTTGATGCTCATGATTTTTAAATTTAGTCACAACTCGGCTTACCACACTTTGGCTAATGAGTTAGCGATTATGATAAGTTGCATTAAAGAGGACAACTACTTACTAAACCAGTTTTTGACACTTAGGAAATTGTTTGTAATAATTGGTTACCAAGTTACTCATGGCTACTACTATTTTTAACAAAATTCGATTTCTTCAACGTAGGCTATTGCCTAATCTGTCTCGCCGTTAACATTTTATTAAAGATAACGATTAATTGTTGATATATGAAACAATTGGTTGCCATGGTTACGCATGGCTAGTGCTATTTTTCAAGTGAATGGGAAATAATGAAGCTTTAAAGAAACTCTTTTTAATGGTTTTAGCGAATTTATCCGTTACTTTTGGAAACACTGTATATTAACTTTAACAGTTTCTTTTTTATGTCATGTGTGCAATAATATGTTGACAAGTAACAAATGTGTTGTTTGAGAAAAGCCACACGAAAATATCCTAAATGAAGAGAACTGGCGATTTTGATGGCCAATCCATTTGGCACCAAACTTTTCATTTAAAATGTTCTTGACGTTTGGTGCAGTTTGAGAGGTACTCCTCAAATAGACAGAAATTCATGAATGTATTCTTCATTCAGCTACCAATGTAACTAATTCTGCATTGAAAATAGGTTGAGTTGTTTTTCTCGTCATTCTAAACTTGAGGTTTGGTATTAAATAGCTTTTTCTTAGTATGAGTCATAAATATTTTTGATTTAGACTTTTTACAATGTCGCGTTGTATTCTTCAGGTTAGACATTTCAAGGATGGAAGCTCCTGTAATAACTTTGTTGTTTTTCCATTGACATAAATACCACTACTTTCTCTATGTATTCTTGTAGAACATACAAATTATTTTGTTTTTCTATTTTAGTTAAAACTTCTTCAACAAAATGAGTTGAAAAAATTCGAATGGTGTTTTTTCCAAAATTGAAAAATGGAATTATACAACTAAGAATTTGAACATTTCTTTTAAATGGTTGAACAGCGAATTGTGAAAGAGTCATATTGCCTTCAAAATCATAGTTTCGAAGTTCTCAACATCCCAACTCCCATCTATATTGTACACTTATAATTTTACAAAATACATAAAATAACATTTCATAGAAGATCATATAGGTTTTATCTCATGTTTTAATACTGCAAAAAAAGCATAAAAGAACTTTTAAATAAAAAAAAACTTTACCTATTAGTCACTATGAAAACGTTTCATTAGTTCCAATAATTTCTGTTCAAAAATATAAAAAAAACAATAAAACGACTAAAAGCAAACTAAATTAAACAAAAACAATCAAGGTAAAAATAATAAACAAATAAAAATGACGCAAAAATACACGAAATAACCTTTATAATAAATTCATTGAAATACTTATTTGAAATTTTTGTGTAAAGGTTAGTGAGTAGTGTGTTTCCATGTTGGAAAAAAGAAATTGCACTTGTAAATTCAACATATAAATACATATCGTGCTATTTAAAATGTAAGCTGATGGTGTAACTGAAGAGACAAAATAACCAACAGGAAGTGTTTCATAATCTTGGTGCGTACTGTGTTTGGTTAAAGTTTTAATTTAGTAGTTGACATTTAAACAATTAAGATAACTTTTAATTTTTTATTAGTATTTTAATAAGTAATATCAAAAATGACGTAATTTGATAATAAAAAAATATTGTAGGCGATTTTTATAGATACGGAAAAAATCTAGAACATTCCACGTCTGTAAAAGTTTCGTCTTTAAAACTAGAAAGTTTTCTCAATAATTTTCCTCGTCTGCAATAGACAACTTTCCAGACTTTGATGTAAATGAGCATTAACTATTTCCTTCTGTGTTATCTTTTAGTTTATCGCTAAATTAAGGTTAATTTAATTCATGAAAATATTTAATAATAATAATAAAAATAGTCCTAAAATCTTTTTACAAACATATTGTGTTATTATCATGGTTTCATGTATTAATTATTATTGCTTTTAAATTTATTTTGTTTTCGACTAGTTTATTTAAAATCGAGCAACGAAACCAAACTGTACAAGAAATCTTAAACATTTCCTTTCAATGCGTATGTTGAACATCTGCGCTTTATCTACACATCTGTGGCAGGTGCGTTATAGATGAAACAGAACATTTAAGATAAACAACAAATATTTCTTACGTCATATCACATTGAAAATGGTCTCTATTCTGTTTTATTAAGTACGTATTAAAAATTACAGCAAATATTTTCTTTGGGGAAAACGTAATGGGTTGGTTCATTACTGACTTAATTAAACATTTCCATTTAATGTGATGTTACATCGCCACATCTCCGTTAAGAAATTTTCGCTACGATTATTCATATTTAACTTTTGTCCTAATTTCCAAGTAACACTGTTGGTTTACTTAGGGTACATATGGCAAACAACTGGCAAAAGTTTTTAATTTTTTTTTTGTTTAATTTCATAGCGTCTTCATATTTCTATTTTAAAGTTTTTGCCAAAGATGTTTTTCTAAAATCTTATTAATCTAAAATGTTTTCATTTTAAATTGAGTTGACTTATTTTACTCCGAAGCCATTTTTTGAAATACAAATAAATTATTATGGTTTGCAGCGAGATATTTGTGAAATTTCTGAAAAAAGTTTTAAATGACGTGGAATAATGTTGACCATACATACATTCTTAAATGTGAGAGATGAATGTATATGATTACCAAAAGCATAATCTAAGATATCTGCAAAATCAGATATCTTAGATCTGATTTTGCATTTGTTATAAAATTTGATTAGATTTTAATCCATAAAGACCGTGGTGCTTTCAAATCAAATTGTTACTAACCTGAACTTTCTTAGATCATACAACGGCAATTAAGGATTAAACAATAATCGTGTATGAAGATGTGCCAATATCAAAGAACAGTGTAGAGAAATCACACAAACAATTACAACAGTTAATTAAAATTCAATTTCGATTCGATCGTTCGATCTGGATGATGATGATGAATTGTGGATTTCAATTACCTTTCTGTGTATGATACTTATTGAAAGGGTGACGTAATTTCCATTAGTGAAGTGAATAATAATTTTGGAAATAGGCGAAATATACATTATTACCATGTTTTATGGTATGATTTCATTTTAGTAACTTGAGATGTTTCTGTTTCCAAAACATAATGTTTATGTTCTATTCTAGACAATATTTGTATGTCTCTCTTGGTTGTTTCTTGAGTAGGTTTGATTGAATCTGGCATCCTGGAATTCTGTTGTCTTTGTGTATGAAGCTGCTTTCTTTATTTGATTCAGATGTGTATCTTTGAGTATAGCTGAATAAACAAACATATTTCTAGCATCACCAGCACTAAGTAACAAAACATCTTATCTTATCCGTATGTGTATCAGCTTGTCGATTATGTTACGATGCGTATAAATTATTAATTATACATAGTTATCATGCTATATGTCAAAAACTGTTCTGGTGCACTAACAACGACATCCTAGATTGACAGAGTCGTGGTACATCTATTCCTCGATTTCCACAGTAGTTTCCTGAGGAAATCGGAAAATATAAAAAAACGCATAATTACTTTCAATAAAAAAAACAAACAAAGGTAATAAAATATATTTGTTTATTAATTAGATACAACGTATAAATCAACAAAAAATAAAATCTAAAAGATAAAAATTATCACCATCTCTTCTTTCAGATCATCGACGTCAAAGTCTTCTTTGTAACTAGTTCGAGGTTACTTTCATCAAACAAAAATGTGTGCTGATTCCATATTAGAAGAAAAAACATTTACACCCTGAGGAGATTTTTTAATGAAATCTGTTATTAACATTTGTTTCTGATTTATTATTTCTTAATAGACTTCATTATATTAAGCCAAGCAGTGATAATATCATGTTGGAATCGAAGACCCTGTTTAATATTTGCGTCTTTTACCAATACCTTAAATTTTTTTCTAAATCAACCCAGTCTTATCAACAATCAAAACCAGATCATGAGTATATGAATCGTGTTGGAATTAAATGACATCCATTTCCGAGTTTGATACTCTATCCAAATCATTATCTTAATATATTAATGCCTTCTCCACGTTTTTTTATTACAATATATCCGACATAAGAAGTTGTGCTCGAACTTTTAGCCATTGTTTTTTCGACAAAATTTTCATTTTTAGTATCTTCGTTTGCAATATAGTTGATTTGAGGAAACATAACAGGAACTGTTATGTGTGTTGAAAATGTAGTTGATATGGAACATATCATATTTCTACACTTTCAATTGCAGGTATCAGATCATGCTTTTTTTTTATTGTTCTATTAGTTTTGTTAAACATGTGTTTATATGGCATATTTGATAATCTCCTCATAGTCAGATAACAACCACCTATTTATACTTGTACATAATTAAATCTGCACGTTGGCTTCTCCGTCCTATTTACGACAAATAGGACAAATTATTTATAGAAGAAAGACAGAAAAAAATTATAGTTGTAGAAGTTAAAATAGTCCATATCTCTGTAGCCTTTCCTATACAAGTGTTTTTTTGGACTTTGTCCAAAGCAACTGCGATATACTTTAATTTTTTTAAATAGTCTTGGACATTTGTTTTTAAATTGGTGTCGTTTACAAGCTTTATTATATCTTTATCAATACTTATTCTGTTGTTTGAGCAAACGTCGAATAATATTGACCAGTTTTTCAAGTAACTTTCCAAGCAGTCCGATAAAGTATTCCAACGAACATCCTGAGGCAATAAAAGAGCAGAACCACCAGCTTCTCGAAATTTTGCGTTAGCAAAATGTACATTTCTGAAATATTTAAATTTTTTTTGATATTACTCTTTATTCCTGGCACTTCTATATCATGGGCAAGTAAGTTTAATATATGGGCTGAACAACCATAAGTTATTTTGGTCACATTTGCAGCGTTATCTGTGACTATACTAGTTACATTACAATTGTATTCTTCACATTTCTTAATTGAATTTATAAGTAGCTGTACAAACCTTCTTGTTGCATAAATTTTCTTTAATTGTTCTTTGTAGTAAATTATGAATCTTATCAAGCAAGTCGGTAGAAACAGAATTCCTATTTGATGGTTTATATCCAGGACGTAATGCATTTATCATCTTTTTAAATTCGGGTTGTTCAACTGCACGAAATGATGTGTTTGTTGCATATAAATATCGGGCTATTTGTAGATCCAACGTATTCTTTTCTGATTGGCTGGTTCGAATAACAAAGCTTGAAATGCTGCTTTTAGAAGTAGACGGTTTTTTGGGGTCATCACAACGTCACTGTCATTTATACTTAAAGTGCTATCAGTAACAGAGATTGTTGATGTTGACGCTGACATAGATTCTGAAAAAAAAAGATTTATTCAGTAATTTTTGTCAAATCAAATCTTAATTGAAAAATTAGGTTTAACCTAACCTTGAAAGTATCTTCATCTGACTCGGAATCATAGATAGTTGACATTGGTAGCTGAGAATTTTCAGTTGGAACACATTTTTTGATATGTTTCTTCATACACAGCACTAGTCCAGCCATAATTACTTTACATTTTTTACATTTAACAGTCACTGATTTTTTGTTATTATCTTTAACAACATCAAAATATGACCAAATGGCATCTTTCTTCTTTCCCATAGACGACATTTTACAAAAGAAGAACAATGCAAAAAATAACTTACAGTAGACGTTATAGCAATAGCCAACTTGCAATGCAAATTTATAAATAGTCTGTGGTTCCTCCAAGCCAATAGTTCCTCATTGCAATTGGTTTTCTTATTCCGGGATTCACCGGCACAGCCTCACGGCGGCGGCGCGACGTAGTTCGTAACAGCTGATCGCGACAGTTTAGTACAGAGTCGGATTTCAAATAAGGTATCTATTATTTAGTAGAATAATGAATCAAACATTTTCAGTTAATATTATGTTATTATTATGTTTGAAAAAGTATGATTTAAATAATGTTTTTTTTCTAAGTTTTATTTGTTTAAAACATAAACTTTAAAAACAAAAAAAAAATGTTTTGTATAAAATTAGAAAATACATGTTTTTTTTCAACCCTGCTGATGACACTGTCGCTCCGAGTGATTTTTTCAGATCGTTGAAGGAAGGAACCAAAGGCACACTAATAACAGCAAGTGTTTTTTTCTGATTATTCTGTACTTGTACATATTCTTAGTCCTAATTGCGTTATGGCAGGTTTGACACATTCATGTACTTTATACCAAATAAATAGCTTCGACGAAGTAATTTGCACAAATAATTATACTAAATAATTCGTTTACGTACAACGACCTACTTGTACAAATTACCTCGTATAAACTATCTGCATAAAACACAGAACGTATAAACATTCCCTTACGCATTTCAAAACAATACGAATAATATGGCTGAAATGCGGCGCCACAAACTGAAGGTCATTGAAATGCTGTTATAAAACATCAAGAACTTTCTCGGTAAGTGATATATGGAGCTACTGTATAAAAGTCATTTTTGTTTATGTTATCATTATTTTGGATCTTGCATTATTATTAAACATGACTAATTATTTATCTAAAATCTTCAAAAATATGAATATCTATCCTCCTTCGATAAAACATTTTTCAACACTTCAAAACACAATAAAATCCATCAAAAGTTTCGAATCATAAAAAATGAGATTTAATCAAAACGAGAATGTGCCATTTCTTTAAACTTGAAAGATTCTTTAAACTTGGTCATTGAAAATGTATAATTTTTTTGTTATTAAGCGGTGGAATTAAAATGCCGGTAACGTAAACGAATGGTTGTAGGATACAGAAGAAATCGAAGAATAAAAAAAAGTAACAATAACGTATCGTATACATAGGCACCACCAGCACCAACAACCAACAGCAGAACCAAAGTCGACAACAGCAGCGACGGTGGTATAACGTGCGGGGTGAACAAACCGCGCGTCCATAGGACATTGACTTTCGCGTCGCGTCGCGTCGCCGGCGTCGCGCTCGCGTTTTGCGAAAACGCCCGAATCGATGATTTCGTTTGTTCCACTGCCTCCGATCGCGTTTTTCCGGTAGCGCGCGCAACTCATCCTACTGCCAGAGCGACGTGTGTCCGGTCGGCGATCTTCTCCGCTCTCCGTAATAACAATTAAGGCTTTAATAAAATGCACACATACATATGATAAAAGACCGTGGTCGCGTTCCAAATAATAACAACAAAAATTCTCGAAAAAAAGACTGTAAAGGTGTGCCCACACATTGCGCGGCATGCCTCGCGATTTCCGACGTGATCGCGCGAGGCATATTTGCCTCGCGCAAACATTTTTTGATATGTCCAAAATTGCTGCTGCGAACTCCGCGTAATGTGTGGACACACCTTTAGATTATTATTATTATTTATATTTAATTTTATTATATCCATCGATATATACATGCGAGGTAGAGAAAAATCTTGTAAATGTGTAATTAAGTCATTATTTATATCGCATCAATTTTTTTTTTTCGATATTAATTAATTTCGGCGTGTATAGAAACTATTATTATTATTATTATGTATCTGTAATTATTGAAATTTCCTTTTTTTCAAAAATAGGCTAAGTTTATCTAATGTTGTTATTTGTATTTATGGTATGTTCGAGATTACTATATATATATTATGTACTTTTTATTATTGTAATAACGATGAATGATTGATGATGAGCGAGTATTAAAAAAGGTATGTTTCTCAAAATGTATGTAATAAAATTTGTTTATTATAAAAACGTTATGTTTCAATTTTTTATACATCTTGTTCAATGATTTTTATATTTACCACAAAGTCCCGCCGCACCACGCCGTTAATTTCTTTAAGATCTCAATTAATTTGTGATTTACAGTTGCAACTAAAACTAATCATCCAATAATTAATGATTCTTAATTCTTCCGATTGGTACTAACCGATCATTTAATGGCTGATTAACTTTGATTAATCTTTTTATATACATTTTCTTAATAATAATATAATTAAAGAAGAATCATTTTTATCTGCAATCAATATTAAAATTCCTTATTTCAATGTAGAACAGCAAAGTATCATTTTGTTAAATAGTTAAGATTTTGGTGTTACAAATTAAAGTTATTAATAATTATTAACTTGTAAGACTCAAACAGGCGTCAAATGTATTTAGTTCTTTTAATTTGAAAGTATACAGTGAATTTCACTTAAGATGCAATATACTAAAATATATTTAGCATGTACAAATAAATAATTTAATATCATCAATACGATCAAATCGTCAGCATAATTCGTATAGTTATCAGCATGAAAATCTTCAGCATTATTTAATTCCACAACTAGCCCGTTTGTTAATAATGAGAACCTAAACTCTTCTTTAATAAGACGATGAGCAACTTACCACATTGCAAGAATTTTAATAGCTTCTGTGAACGCTTTGTTTCCGGGCCACGTCATTTCTGGATAACATTCCCTCTTACCCCCTGCGCCCCCCGATTGTGGTCGGGATATAACCGAGAAATAATTAAGTATTGAAAATTAATTTATATTAGACGATACAGTAAGATGGGAATTAAAGCTTCGCAAAATTTCTGGCGCGATAACTTTAGAAAGTGCAATAATCGATTTTCAATCAATTAATTTAGTTAGTAATATGTCGATCAACCATTGTGAGTCAAAAGTGTTCTAAAGTTGTGAAAGAAATTCGGGATTTTCAATAAAGTAGTTGTATTTATGACGTTATAAAACTTTGGAAATATCGGATTACGAGTTATTTCTTGTACTAACTGTAAGATTTTGGGTCAATGCAGCTATCATTATTGATTGTTGCTGAATAATTTTTTGATGTAAATTGGTTTAAAACATTCTCCATAAATCAGAATCATTTAAATTAAATTTTTTCTTGTACGCTTAAATATTCATTTTAGAATTAATGGTAAAAAATCCCAAATAATGAAGTATAAAAAATTGTTTATTGCCTTTAGTTTTTCTGGAAAATGGGTCAACTTTGTATTTTTAAAGAACAAGAGTTGTAGTAAATTTTATTCTTAACAATCTAGCTCTCTTTCATTTCTGCTCTCAGATGCGTCAATATCGAGAAAAATACGAAAATATGAACATTTGATAAATTTGTTGCTTTTTCAATTTATTAATGGGTGCCACTCGGGAAACGGAGCATGTTAGAATAAAACTTTTAAAGCAAAAGTTGTAGTAAATTTTATTCTTAACAATATTGCTCTCTTCCATTTTTACTCTCACATGCGTCAATATCGAGAACAATACGAAAATATGAAAATTGGATAGATTTATTGCTTTTTCTAGTTGTTCACGGTAATACTCAGGAAACGGAGCATATTACAAAAATACTTTTGAAACAGTAGTTATTGCAAACTTTATTCTTAACAGTATTGTTCTCTTGCATTGTTGCTCTTAGATCCGTCAGTATCAAGAAAAATACGAAAATACGTAAATTGGATGAATTTGTTGCTTTTTCAAGTTGCTCATGGTAATACTCGGCGAACGGAGTATGTTATAAAAAAACATTTAGAACAAAAGTTGTAGCAACGGTGATTCTTAACAATATTGCTTTTTTGCACTTTTGCTCTCAGATGCGTCAATATACTGAAAAATACGAAAATATTGTTGTTAATGGTGCCACTAGGGAAACGAAGCATGTTATAAAAAAACTTTTAGAACAATAATTGTAGCAAATTTTATGGTTAACAATATTGCTCTCTTTTACTTTTGCTCTTAGATGCATCAATATCAAGAAAAATACGAAAATATGAATATTGGATGAATTTGATGCTTTTTCAAGTTATTCATGGTAACACTCTGCGAACGAAGCATGTTATAAAAAAACTTTTAAAACAAAAGTTGTAGCAACTTTGATTCTTAACAATATTGCTCTCTTTCCTTTTTTGCTCTCAGATGCGTCAATATCAAGAAAAATACGAAAATATGAAAATTGAATGAATGTGTTTGGATGCAATAAAAAAACATTTGGAACAAAGTTGTCGCAAATTTTATTCGTAATAATAATGTTGCTTCTTTCACTTCATTTATATATTAACGTCATATATCGGTAGACTATCCTCTATATCTGTAGATCTACCGATAAATCAGTAGGGTTGGCAACGTGGTCGAGTAAAATACAGTCCTGCTTCGTATCTTGCCACTTTGTTTGATGATATTGATAAGTAACATTATTTTTAATCGTAAATGTACTCCAAAACCGGACGCATATTTCGAGATTTTAAGAAATTTCCGGTTAAAAACTCACCTTGTGTAATCTTATAATAAATCTTCAACTTTGAGTACCGTAATAAGAACACGTCCGAGATAACTCTATCTCATCTATTCGGTAAAATTCATTCAAATCATTATTAAAAATGATCCAACATTTTCGTTGAAGGTTAAAAAGTCTGTTTTAATGAAAATGTTTTTATTTAATTTTATATTTTGACGCCCCACTCTTAATTATTAGTGACCGTCAGCAACCAAATCAACTTTATTTGTGCCTTGATACAAAAATAACTTTCTAATTCCTTTTGAATATAAAAAATGAAATATTTCCGCCAAAAAAAATGATTACATGGTATTATATGATTAAAAATAATTAGTAATGCTTAAAAAAGTGTTGTAATATTTCGCCACATGAAACTTTATTACATTTTTTTTTAATAATCATCTTGACATTAATTTTAACCTTCGTACTTTATCGGTGTATAAATTGAAATCGTGGTCACTTATCGAAGCCAGTATAAACAGGATGAGTTCGTTTAAAAGATTTTAAGAGCCTACAAAATAAGTTGAACTGTCATCATGAAGTTCCTACTGTTAGTTTTAATAGTTTGCGGTGTTTTTAACGTATACAAAACCGCAAAAATTCTTGCGGTGTTACCAGCACCTTCTTACAGTCATTACGTAACCGGCTCAGTGTTAGCTACAGAATTAGCAAGAAGAGGTCACGAAGTGACTGTGGTTTCAACGTTTAAACCAAAAACGGTTCCTTTCGGTAATTATAAGTTTGTTGAAGTAAAGGGGATAAAAGATTTTTTGAAGAAAGAAGAGAATATTCTTCACTATTTCGAATTTGATAACTATAACAAACCATTTATAAGTTACGTTGTTCATAAATTTGCTTATAATGTAATAGAATTTTTTTTTAATGACGAAAATGTTAAAGAATTTATAAAATCCGGTGGACATTACGATGTCGTTTTTGTTGATGAATTTTTTAATGAAGCTCTTTATGGATTTTGTAATTTATTTAAAGCTGCATGTGTGAACTTGTGTTCGGTGAGCCCAACAATATGGTGTAACAGACCGACTGGAAATATTGGTATGGCTTCTTATTCATCGGGAATGGGTACGAATTATTCACCGAAAATGTCATTTTTTCAACGACTACACAATTTATTTTTATTTATCGCCGAAGAATTCATTTATCATGGCTATCATATACCAAAAATGGAAAAACTTTTACACAAAAGCTTCCCGAATTCACCGCCTTTATACGATTTAATTTATAATATTTCAATGGTTTTTGTTAATTCTCATCCGGCGATGAACGCACCACTTCCTTTAACACCGAATATGATCGAATTAGCCGGAATGCATTTAGATGGCATGAAAAATGAGAAAATTCCGGACGATATCCAATCCTTTTTAGATAAACATAACGAAGGAGTTGTGTATTTTGCTTTGGGCTCGAACGCTAAAAGTAAAGATTTTCCGAAACGCGTTCTCAAAGAGCTTATGAATGGATTTAAAAAATGGGGAAAACCTATTTTATGGAAATTTGAAGATGAACTTCCTGAAAAGCTTGAAAACGTTAAAATCGCATCTTGGTTACCACAAACAAGCGTTTTAGGTATTTTTTTTAATTTATATTATTAAATATTTTTATTTAAGGTTTAATCAACCCGATACCTGGTTTTCCGCTTACCATGAAAATTCTACAGGAGGATGCTCTAAAATTCCTCTTACAAACTTCTAGGACTTGTAAAGTGTTACACCATTAACAACTTGAAAAAGCAACAAATTCATCCAATTTCCATATTTTTGTATTTTTTTCGATATTGATGAATCTGAGAGCAAAAATGAAAGAGAGCAATATTGTTAAGAATAAAATTTGCTGCAACTTTTGTTCTAAAAGTTTTTTTGTAACATGCTCCGTTTCCCGAGTGGTACCATTAAGAACTTAAAAAGCAACAAATTCATCCAATTTCCATACTTTCGTATTTTTCTCAATATTGACGCACCTGAGAGCAAAAGTGCAAGAGAGCAATATTGTTATGAATCAAAATTGCTACAGCTTTTGTTCTTAAAGTTTTTTTATGATATGCTTCGTTTTCCGCGTGGTACATTAACTATTTGAAAAAACAAAATTTATCTAATTTGTATATGTTCGTATTTTTCTCGATTTCTACAGATCTGAGAGCAAAAGTGCAAGAGAGTAATATTGTTAGGAATTTAAGTTGCCACAACTTTTGTTCTAAAAGTTTTTTTAAAGCATGCTCCGTTTCTCGAGTGGTACCATTAAGAACTTGAAAAAGCAACAAATTCATTTAATTTCATACTTTCGTATTTTTCTCGACATTGACGCATCTGAGAGCAAAAGTGCAAGAGAGCAATATTGTTAAGAATCAAAGAGGCTACAACTTTTGTTCTAAAAGTTTTGTTATAATATGCTTCGTTTTTCCAAGTGGCACCATTAACAACTTGAAAAAGCAACAAATTCATCCAATATTCATGTTTTCGTATTTTTCTTGATATTGACGCATCTAAGAGCAATAGTGCAAGAGAACAATATTATTAGGAATAAAATTTGCTATAACTATTGTTCCAAATTTTTTTTTGTAACACGCTCCGTTTCCCAAGTGGTACCATTAACAACTTGAAAAACGACAAATTCATCCAATTTCCATATTTTTGTACTTTTCTCGATATTGACAAATCTGAGACCAAAAGTGCAAGAGAGCAATATTGTTAAGAATCAAAATTGCTACAACTTTTGTTTCAAAAGTTTTTTTTGTAATACGCTCCGTTTCCCAAGTGGTACCATTAACAACTTGAAAAAGGAACAAATTCATTCAATATTCATATTTTCATATTTTTCACGATTTTGACACATCTGAGAGCAAAACTGAAAGAGAGCAACATTGTTAAGAATAAAATTTGCTACAACTTTTGTTCTAAAAGTTTTTGTTTCTTCTCGCTGTTCTTGTATTTATGTATGGAAGTAGCTAAGTGTACATTTTCTTCTATGTTCGTTTTAAGTAGTATTTTGATGTTTCAGTTTGCGTTGAAAATGTTTGATTGATGTCGATTTTGAACGTAATTGAAATTTAGTCTTTTACAATTTCCACGCGATATTATCCACGTGGATAAATTGTGTCATTGTTTTTATTTATATTTATTTTTAATTAAAATGTTGTAGCACATAAAAACGTTATTGCTTTTATAACGCACGGTGGACGTTTGAGTATCATAGAATCTTTATATTACGGGGTACCGATGATTGGAATCCCTATTTTTGCTGAACAACCCCACAATATAGCTGAAATGGTTTATTACAAGTACGGAATTGGATTAGATTTAAACACATTCACCGCTGAAGATTTGTACAACTCTCTTCATGAAATAACCACTAATTCAAAGTAAGTTAAAAAAAATCGATTAGAAAATTATAAACATTTTTTGGAATAATTTCAAAGGTTTTCCGAAGAAGCTGAAATGCGATCGAAAATTATGCAAAAGAAAAATGCTTTAGACGAGGCGGTTTATTGGATCGAACATCTTGTCGAATTTAAAGGTGGTTCTTATTTGAGAACTGCGGGCGTTGATTTACCTTGGTATCAATTTTGGATGGTCGACGTGATTGGATTTTGTGTCGTTTGCGGTTTTGTTTTAATAACGATCGTTATATTTTCAATTTTAAAATGTTTGAAATGTTTAAAACGTAAACCGCTTTTTTATATTAATAATGAAAGTATTAGTATTGATAAAAAGAAAAAATAATAATCCTTTATAATTATTATTATTATTTGGCGAATATTTGCAGCTTTTTTATTGGCGCCTCTCGCATCTCAACCGTCAGCAGTCCTTATCATTCCAATCATCTTCACCCAGTCCTCTCCTCTTCATCTCCTGGACAATTTTTTTTCCGTTTTAGTTCCAAACATTAAGTGGGATTCTCTTTTTACTCATTTGGCGTAGATGTCCATACCATTTTAGTTGTAGTATTAGTCCAGCATAGTTATGCCGCAGCATTTTCTCCAAAACATCATCTCTGCTGCTAGCAGTCTTCGAGTTGTGTCCTTGTTTTTCAACCATACTTCTGACCCATACGTCATTAATGGTTCTATAATGGCCCTAAAAATATTGTTGTCTCCTACCCATATTCCCATCTGGTTGCATTTCCTTTCCCAATGTTTTAGGATTGAGTGGATATAGATCTTGAATATTGTGGGAGAAAGGCAGCATCCCTGTTTGACACCTTTTGTAGAAGAGAAAGCATCAGTTGTGGGCTTTCCTATCTGCCGCGTTATCCCTGTATAACGCTTTCACAGCATGGATGTAAATTCTGTTGATGCCTGCATCTGTTAGGGCAATTCATAATTTCTGAATTTTTCACAGATCTATATATATAATATGTATTTCCCTTCCTTTTGACAGCTTCTTTTCAACTAGTGTCTAAGCGTGAATAAATTATCTCTTTCTGTTTCTAATCCTTTATAATTAAAATTTAAATTGTGAAATTGAGTGAAAAAGAAGTTCACTCTGTATATTTCGTTAAACTTCGTAATCTCGCTCCAATCGATTTCTCTAATAATAAAATTGTTTTCATAACTCAAATCTATACTTGCAACCGTATTATCTACACTTTTCAATTGTTATTACATTATTATATTAATATTAAATTGAATTGATTCTGTTTCTATTCGTGAAACTATAACTTGCGGTTTAGTTGCGGTTCTCGTTAATAGATACATAACATGCACGTATCATAAATCCACGTTACAATCAGAGATTTTTGTCTTAGGACGTTTAAACCCGATAAGCCATTTCATAAATAAAAATGAAAATAGTCGTCGGCCTGACATTATATTATTACAGTTACGTTACATAGCGGGAGGTAAAAATATACCGCTCCTTACGTTGCTTTTGTTTCCATATTTCCACATAAAACATGTTTTAGAAAATAATATACCATGAGAATCATGAATTATTAATTAACATTTACCATATTCTAGAATAATAGGATCGCCTTTTTCTCGGTAATTTTGATGTGGTTTTAATGTTTTTCGGTAAAAACCTCATTACGGGATTTCGATAATTTAATTAATTTATTATGAGTATTTTCAATGTTAATTGAAATGAAATGATTTCATTTTATTACTTTTTATTAATACGTGTGTAATAAATTTATAAAGTTAATTTAGAATTAAAATTCATGTAATCATAATTTGTAGTAACTTTTATTAGTATTGTGTTGGTAATAAAGATAAATATAGATGTCAAATTAATTAACACTTTCTTTTATATATTTTTTATACAGTTTTTTTTTGTACTTTTATTTCATATCGCAACACCAAGCAGAGGTAGGAATTTTTTGACTAAAGTTGGCAGAAATGTTTACGTTTTAAAAAGTAGTAATTGATTAAAATTTTCATTCATATCATCGTTTTATCCTTGAAATACTAATATTTTAAAAGTATTAACCCCCCGTATTTAGCATTTCGTAGAAAGGATAACCACACTTTAAATAACATTCTTATAAATTTACATAGAATTTTGATTATGTGTATGTTTAGAAATTGTATAGCGTTAATAATACCAACACCTTTGAAAATTTCCCAAAGTGTTAATAAAAGTGTCCTCTTTCCAATGAACCAACCCGTTTTGAAAAATAACTTTTAGTTTTTAAGAATACAATATTTGAATATTTGAAGTTAATAAGATAATTAACTAAAATAATTTTCAAAATTCGCTATAAAATTAATTTCTTGAAGGATCCTTGTGGAAATATCACCAATTATTAATTAAAGTATCCTCTTTTTAATGCAAAAAGCCGTTTTGAAAAATCACTTTTAGTTCTTGAGAAATAAATTTTTGAAATGATCTACAATTTTTTCGAATTTTGCAATTTTTGCCGATTAAGTTTTAACAATTCGTATAAAATCCATTTCTTGGAATATGAGTATGAAAATTTCCCAAAGTGTTAATAAAAGTGTTCTCTTTCCAATTAACCAGTCCGTTTTGAAAAATAACTTTTGGTTTTTGAGAAAACAATATTTGAAGTTTTGAAATAATTTTCGATGTTGCAATTTTCATCGATAATTTTCGAAAATTCGCTATAAAGTAATTTCTTGAAGGATCCTTGTAGAAATATCACCAATTATTAATTAAATATCCTCTTTTTAATGCAAAAAGCCGTTTTGAAAAATCACATTTAGTTCTTGAGAAATAAATTGTTGAAATAATCGACAATTTTTCGAATATTACAATTTTCGCTGATTAAGTTTTAAAAATTCATATAAAATCCATTTCTTGGAATATGAGTATGAAAATTTCCCAAAATGTTAATAAAAGTGTCCTCTTTCCAATGAACCAACCCGTTTTGAAAAATAACTTTTAGTTTTTGAGAAAATCTTGTTTGAAGTTTTGATAAAATTTTCGATGTTGCAATTTTCATCGATAATTTTCAAAGTCGCTATAAAATTAATTTCTTGAAGGATCCTTGTGGAAATATCACCAATTATTAATTAAAGTATCCTCTTTTTAATGCAAAAAGCCGTTTTAAAAAATCACTTTTAGTTTTTGAGAAAACAACATTTTCTACTTTCTTATTAATTTCATGTTTATTCAAATATCGCAATAATGTTTCAATGTAGGGTATCACTTCAGAAATGCACCAGAAATTATAAACATAATGACCGGATAAATATTCCGGTATCCGGCTTTTCGCAAAATCACCATCCGTTCCATCACCACCTTTAAGTGATGTTTAACTACAGTGTGTTAATTAATTATCGTACCCAACGTCATCATTGCAAGTATGCAACCAATATCACAGTATTGGTATTGCAATAGGCGATTTGCGATATTGGTTGCATCCTTGCAATGATGATTTGTGACAATGATGTACTTAGTTTCTTGCAAAGAGATAGTCTTATCAAATCTTATTTTTAGTAAAACTTGAGATTTAAATCGTAAATGAAATGAAATACGTTATAAACTAAAGCTTTTTGGTAATTTTCTTAAAATTTCTAACTTATAATTCTTATTTTTTTCTAATTTAACTTTATAGAAAAAAAAAGACAAGTTGTTGAAAGACAAGGAAAGGTCGATACTTCTCCTTGGGATCCCGGAGAGAAATAGGGAGAGACGACGTCGTAGAACGCCCGCCCGGATCGCAATAGTACGGCCCGGAGCCGGGGCCACCGCTCAGAAAGGGAAACAGAGGGAGAGAGAGAGAGCTGTGAGGGTGGCGTCCCGGCGCGGCACGGTGCGGCGCGCTGCCCCCGTGACAAGTGTATCCCCCTACCCGAGGCTCCACCCGACCCCCAACCCAACCCCATCCAACCCCCGCCTGACAACTTTTTATGCCGAACCTTAAAGCCGAACGGTTCAACCATCCTCAATGTTTAAAGGCGATAGAACACGTTAAATACTAGTTTTCCATCCTTGTTCGTTTCATTTTCAAAGGAATCTTCTATCGATTCTCTTTTCGACACCCTCTTTATGATAGCGCAAAGGGTAAAAGGTGTTTTTCTTCATTCAAGAAAAAAAAATGAAAAGGATTCAAAAAATAGACAGCTTCTTATTCTATTTTCAGTTTTTTTTAGTTGTTATTATTTTTCAAACGAAGTTCTTAACACTAAGTACACTTTTTTGGCACTTTTCAACAATTATACTTTCTTTAATTCTACTTTATTTTACTCTAAAACAACATTTTTTATACATTCTTTTTTGCTGTTCCATAAAAGTACATAAACTTTTTGTTTGATAAAGTTTTTTTAAGAACTACAACGTAATTTGTGGGTTTAATTCGAAATGTTCGCCGTTAATATAAAAAAATTGTGGTTTATGAGCTAATCATTGAATCATCTCACAGGTTATTGTGACCAAACCCCATAGTTCAAAGTGTTGTACGGGATGTTCTCCAAAATATTTTTGGAATATTTTAAATATATTATATTTTGAAACAAAACCTTCACCAATTATAAAGTAATAATTGTAATTAATTAAATAATTTTTATCTCAAAAACTAAGAAATATTTTCAAAAACGGTTTGGACCACTAAATAGGGAAAGCTTTCTTTTATCTACTCAATAAGTTTCAAATCAATTCATAAATAAATCGATTTTATATGAATTTTTAAAGTTTAAAGAGAAAAATTGTTGAATTAAAAATCGGGATTGAACTTTAAGAATATTTTTCTCAGGAACCAAAAGGGATTTTTAAAAACGGTTGCTTTCATTAAAAAGAGGATTAATTTTTGTGTTAAAAATTGGGAAAATTAAAAAAATTTAATAAAAAATTGGTTTTTTACGATTTTTTGAAACAAAACCTTCACCAATTATAACGTAATAATTGTAATAAATTAAATAATTTTTATCTCAAAAACTAAGAAATATTTTCAAAAACGGTTTGGGCCATTAAATAGGGAAAGCTTTCTTTTATCTACTCAAAAAGCTTCGAATCAATTCATAAATAAATCGATTTTATATGAATTTTTAAATTTGAAAGAGAAAATTTGAAAACGGTCGCTTTCATTAAAAAGGGGATTAATTTTTGTATTAAAAATTGAAAAAATTAAAAAAATTTAATAAAATATTGATTTTATATGAATTTTTGAAACAAAACCTTCACCAATTATAAAGTAATGATTTTAGTAAATTAAAACATTTTTATCTCAAAATCTAAGAAATATTTTCAAAAACGGTTTGGACCACTAAATAGGGAAAGCTTTCTTTTATCTACTCAATAAGTTTCGAATCAATTCATAAATAAAT